GAAGCCTTTGTAGTTATTGCAGATATCGGGGCCCACCCATGTGTTCGTGATGTTGTATGGGTCGCTCGTGATTTTTTGCTTGAATTTTTGGATCACGGGGTAGACTATTTCGATTCGCTTGCTCTCGAAAGGGTAATAAGATGGTGGTGATGCAAGAGGAGAGCCATAACTACCACCACCACCACCGATGATTATCTCTAGGGCTTCTCTACCATTGGCAATTATTGGATGTGCTTGATTGGTGTTCAAACAAGTTGCATGGAACAAAAGAATTGCTAGTAGTAGAAGTAAGGCAAGACAAACATTAGAGTGGATCAACATCTCTCTCTCTCTCTCTCTCTCTCTCTCTCTCTCTCTCTCTCTCTCTCTCTCTCTCTCTCTCTCTCACTCTCTCTCTCTCTCTCTCTCTCTCTCTCTCTCTCTCTCTCTCTCTCTCTCTCTCTCTCTCTCTCTCTCTCTCTCTCTCTCTCTCTCTCTCTCTCTCTCTCTCTCTCTCTCTCTCTCTCTCTCTCTCTCTCTCTCTCTCTCTCTCTCTCTCTCTCTCTCTCTCTCTCTCTCTCTCTCTCTCTCTCTCTCTCTCTCTCTCTCTCTCTCTCTCTCTCTCTCTCTCCTTCCCCAAATTCCCTGCAAATTCTTTTTATATTTCTGTAGTTGGAATTATATTACAGATTACCCATTGAAATCTTCCGTTTCGAAAATCGAACAAATACGTCAAATTAATAGCCAAATAAAATAAATAAAATCCTAGCAATTAATTTTACAATCCTAATTCTCAATTTACACAAAAATCCTGGAAAATTGTACCTGCATATCAGTGATGTCCATCACGCGCCACCTCATCCCCGGCCGTTCTCTCAAATTCCTCTTCATCATGGCGGAAATGACCTCCCTCGAGAAATCCACATTTGTTATATTCCTGAAACCATCGTCGTACAGATGCTCCGACAGCCTGGAATTCCCGCACGCCGGCACCAAAATACTCAGCTCCTCCGGCGGCGGCGCTGACGGCGGAAATGAGAGATGGTTCCTGAGTAAGGTCCGGAGTTGGGGCCAATCGGCGTACCACTCGGAGAAATTACCGGCGCCTCTTGCGGCGTAGAAAAAGTCCCAATTCTCCTTGTTGGTGAAGTTTCCGAAGGCAATCGGCAGCTCCTTTTCAGTGCGGACGCACTGCTCTCCTTGTTGCTCGTCGTTTTGCGCCATTTTCACGCGATCTCGAAGTGAAATTGTGCGGTTATTTTTTTGGAAATTCAATTCAATTATCCCGCCCAAACGAACCTAACAAATTGCGATCCTTTTCTCATTGCAGCCCATATTTTCTGTTATATATAGAAATTTAAAGGGTAAATTACGAAACTCCCCTAAACTTTGACTAAATTACGAAACAAACCCACCCACACATAATTACGACAAAACCCCTTGACTCATTGTTGACCCTTTTTTTAAAACATTAATCACTAGTAATCGTGCCCGTGCGTTGCACGGGGTCGTATTCACGAAGAGAAGAAAATAATAATTTAAATAAATGATAGTAAAAATTGTAAAAAAAAAAAATCTATTAAATAATATTAAAGTTACATTACTATTACATTATTTTATTGTAGCCCGTATATTTTCCATTCTACAATATATATGTTGTTACATAAAATTTATGTTAAACAGCAAATAATACAAATTTAACAAAGGGGGCGGATAGTTCAAATACCAATTGTTTCTCACTTCAGTACCATCTAAATGAAAAATGGATAATGACATGTAAACCCTTAATGAAAAACAATACCAATTACATAAAAAATATCATTTTTCTTTCTTTGATACCACACACACAAACCTCTCACACCTCTCTGTTTATTTCTCACAAATCCTCCATCCCACTCATGTTCCTCCTTCTTCTTCTTCTTCTTCTTCTTCTTCTTCACGTGAGTTCTCCATCAGTTTAAATAATATACAATCTGTAATGAGGTTGGGATCATTGGGTTCTACTATGAAGAGTCATATAGTGGACGGTTAGGATTAGGAAGAAGACTGAAATCGGAAATAGAAGAAAAAATAAAAATACAAAAGAAATAAAAAAAACAAACAAAGAAAAAAACTCATATAAACGGTTTGAGCTACGCTTTCATATACAATCGTAAATGGATTTGTTTGAAAACTTAGTATGCTACATATGTGCGTGAACATGGAACCTGGAAAAGGAAAGGTATTATTCAAAATCTATTTGGCAAACATAATTTTTAAATGAATTGAGTTCTTTTCAAATATGAAATACAAATTTAATGTTAAAACGATAAATGTCAGATATATGAGCAATGATTTGTTACTTCTCATCGATTAAAACATCTCAATGCTATAAACTCGTTGATGCCGCCTTTGAAAAGTCAATTGTTTCCGACAGTAACATTTTAATGCAAATTATATGAAATTATATTACATGATGATTACGTACATACAGTACTGACAATGCTTAAAAACAATGTAAATACAATAATAAAAAAGATTAGAGTGAAATATATGTATGCAGTTTTTCATTTATAAATTTGTACAGAGGTTGATGTGTAATGATGAATGGGAGGTTTTCTATATTGAGAATTGAGATAAGATCGTGTTCTTGTAGAGGTTTATGAAGATCGTGGGTGTCATATGAATTCGATATATGGAGCAGTTAAAGAAACATCGTGATAATTTTACTCTTTCTTATGCTTTTTTTTTTTTTTTTTTAATTTAATTTATATATAATGTAGTTATTCAGTTTATTATTGGTGGCCATAAAATAAGGAAGTTTGTTTTTGTATTTCCATCGTGTATTCAATTTTTTGACAAAGTGGACGGTTATATTTTAATTTTTCTTTATTCACAAAACCGTATGAAAAAAATAAAATAAAAACTATCATAATAGAAAATTACTAAATTGTCTATACGTTTAGGTTTAGGGTTATAAATCAAAATATCTTCCTTTTATATATAAGATGTAAGGGCAAATTATTTTTGTTGCATGTTACCCCTTAAAACATTATCTTAATGCACATTGCCGCTTTAAAATGTTATCTTTGTTGCTTTAAAATGTTATCTTTGTTATCTTTATTTTTTGAATTTTTAGGGGGGAAAGTGCGAAATTGAGAAATTTGTAATGGGTGAAGTGCATTTTATCCATCATGTAAAGCCAAATATGTGAAAGATATAATTTATATTTCTTATTTCTGTAAAAAAACCTTGGAGAAACTGAGGGACGGTGTCCGAAACCATGTAAAAGTCCGTCCTAATTCTCGATCCCTAATAAAAAGAAGTTCATAATTTCGATCAGCTTTATTATGGGTTTTGTAGAGGCTACACCCGGTATAATATACACAATTTTAGCTAACAAACCACTTACTGTAATCAACAACTTGATGTGTGTATTATAATGGTAGTGGCTTCACCAATTCTTTATGTAATATATAAAGAATTGACACTCACGCAATGGAGGGCTGCCCCTGGCTAATGGATAAGCAAGCACTCTTATTTCATGATCTGGTGGAAGGGGAAGATGTTAATACAGTGGAAGTAAAGTTAATGAAGATAATTGTCCGTGTGCGCAACGTTCCGATGGCGCACAGATCCACTGAAACTGCCCTCCTCATTGGAAATCGGCTTGGCTCGTTTACCCAACTTATGAACACCCAACAACTTGATGTGGCTAGCTACATGCGGATTAAAGTCGAGATTGACACGACCGCTAGCCTCAAAAGAGGTTTCTTTATCCATGAGATAAGCGGAGCTAGGGTTTGGTTAGACTTTACTTATGAAAGATTACCGAACTTCTGTTTTTTATGTGGCATTCTTGGCCACGGCGAACGGAAATGCCCACGACGTTATGAGGATAATTTTGAAGAACCAGATGCAACCCTTCCTTATGGGACATGGCTCCGAGTGCAACATGAAACAACAACCTACCGCCCTAGACTACCTCTCCAACCGGTTCTCCTTCCTGGTCTACATGCTCGGAACCAGCAATTGGGCTCGACCTCGCGGGGTGGAGGAATTTTTTATTTTGGCCAGCGAACCAATGGAGATCGCAACCAAGACAGTTTCAACGGGGGGAAGGAAAACAACAAACTAATGGAACTGGTGGACGATATGCTGATTAATAATCCGATTCAAATGTCGTCCAATCTCAATACTACATCCATTCCACGGAAGAAGGTTTCGGCTACAAACAAAAACCGATCGAAGAGAACAGCAGACGAGCCACATATGGGAGACATGAGAGGTGGCAAACGAACACAAACACTCATCTTACGAGATGAGGATACTAGCTCAACGGCGGAGATTACCTCGCAGTCCCGCCGACCACAATGAGTTGCCTCTTTTGGAATTGTCAAGGGTTAGGGGTGTCCTTGACAATTCACACGCTCGGAGACATTCTCCGAATTCACCACCCCTTGGTGATGTTTATTTCGGAAACGAAAGCAACATCACACTTGGTCGAACGTTTGAAGAAGAAATGGAACCTGTTTGGTGTGGCTGTAGACAGAAATGGGCAGGCAGGGGGGCTTGCTCTCCTTTGGCAGAAAAATGTGCAAGTGGACCTTATCTCACTTTCGAACCATCACATTGATGTGGAGATCACTACTGCTCACATCATCGAAAAATGGCGGCTCACGGGCATTTACGGTTACCCAGAGCATGAGCGACGACATATGACGTGGGACTTGCTACATATGCTGTATGGGCAGAGAAATCTTCCATGGATGGTGGGCGGGAATTTCAACGAGATTCTTTCCTTAGAGGAGAAGGATGGTGGTAACCCTAGAACCCATTCAGCAATGTCAAGCTTCCAAGAGGCCTTAAGAGACTGTAACCTTTCAGATTTGGGCTTCACAGGCTCTCCATATACATGGTCGAACAAGAGAGAAATTCCATTTACAATACGATGCAGACTTGATCGGGTATGCGGAGACAACAATTGGCGGACCCTCTTCCCGCTAGCTCATGTTCAACATCTTGAATTTGGAGGTTCGGGTCATGTCCCGATTCTAATCACTCTCCAAAATCCGGAGTCTAAGCGGCTGGCGAGGAAAGGGCGCCCGTTTCGCTTTGAGGCGATGTGGATCAGACGGGAAGAATGCGCGGCCATTATCGAACAACAGTGGGCCGAACAGATGGCAAGCGATCCAATAGTTGACCTCCTCTCTAAGACGGAGGGCTGCAAAGCAGCACTTCTACATTGGAATAATTCTGACCACCATAATCCTAGGAAACGCATTAACCAAATTCAACAACGTCTGCACAAACTAAGCATGAGGAAAAATTCGGCTGAGGGACAAATGGAAAGGAAGGTTATGCAGGAAGAACTAGAAAAATTATATCAAGATCTTGACACTTATTGGAAACAACGAAGTCGGGTGCAATGGATGAAATAAGGGGATCGAAACACGGGCTTCTTCCATGCGAAGGCAACGATTAGAAAAAGGACGAACTGGGTCCATAAGTTGAAGGATGATTTGGGAGAATGGAAAGAGACCAAAGATGATATCGAGCACGTGATTGCGAATTACTTCTCCTCGATTTTCCAGTCCAACCATCCAGAGGGGAATGTGATTGAGAGAGTGTTGCAGCACATCGAACCTAGGGTCTCGAACGAGGCTAGCCAGATTCTTTCTCTACCTTTTTCAGCGGACGAGGTAATCCGAGCTATCTCTCAAATGTCCCCTACTAAATCCCCAGTCCCCGATGGCTTTCCGGTTTTGTTCTTTACTAAATATTGGAACGTGTTAGGGAATAATGTGCTTAATTGTGTTCTTGATTTTCTTAATAACAAAAAGCTCCCTAGCAAATTAAATCACACGTTCATTGTGCTCATTCCGAAAGTGAAAACCCCAGAAAAAAATCACAGAGTACCGACCGATAAGTTTGTGCAATGTTATATACAAATTCGGGTCAAAAACCATTGCTAATCGCATTAAACCATTTCTTCAAAATATTATCTCCCCCACTCAGTCAGCCTTTGTTCCAAAACGCCTCATTACTGATAATGTTCTCGTTGCTTATGAAATAAACCACTATATTAAATTAAATTCTAAAAAGAGAACAAACTTTATGGCTGCCAAGCTGGACATTAGCAAAGTGTACGATTGAATCGAATGGTCTTTCTTACGGAAAATCCTATGGCGATTTGGCTTTCCTTCCTCGTTGATTGAGCTGATTATGTTATGTGTAACTACTGTGACTTACTCTTTTCTTTTCAATGGATGCCAGTTCGGTTCGGTACAACCATCTCGAGGTCTTCGTCAAGGGGACCCTCTCTCTCCATACCTCTTCATCCTCTGCACGGAGGCTCTCATTGCTATGCTCCGCCAGGCTGAAAACGATGAATAGACAAGGAATTAAAATCGCTCCTACCGCGCCAAGTGTTTCAAGTCTGTGCTTCGCAGATGACACCATCATTTTCTGCAAAGCAACACCGTCGAATGCTCAGACCCTCCATATGATACTTCAAGATTACGCACTAGCATCGGGTCAAGTTGTAAATCTCGAAAAGTCGACCATGACTTTCTGTCCTATGACGCCGCATGAGAGCAAAAATATTATTCACAATATCTTGGGCTTTCAAATCGTGGAGAGCCACGAGAAATATCTCGGTATGCCACTTGCCATAGGGAAATCAAAGGCGGCCATTTTTGGATTCATACGTGATCGTGTGCAGGCCCGCATTGATGGTTGGGGTGAAAAACAACTCTCGAAAGGAGGTAAAGAAGTTCTTATTAAAACGGTTCTCCAATCTATTCCATCTTATTTGATGAGTTGCTTTAGTCTCCCACTCGGGCTCATTTATGATATTGAATCGGCGATTCAACGGTTTTGGTGGAGTAATGGAAAAAAACGCTCGATGGCTTGGACTTCGTGGATCAAAATGTGTGCATCAAAAGCACGAGGGGATATGGGTTTTCGGCATCTCCGCTACTTCAACCTTGCTATGCTGGCTAAACAAACATGGAGGGTACTCACAAACCCGGATCTGCTGCTGTCCAAGCTGCTCCAAGCAAAGTACTTCCCCTCGGGGAACTTCTGGTCCGCTCCGGTTGGGATCCGCCCGTCGGCAACTTGGCGGAGTCTCCTCCTCGCTCGCCCTCATGTCAAAGATGGTTTTCGGATTCGCATTGGCAACGGGGATCACACCTTAATCTGGGGAGATCCGTGGATTAAAGAGAATGGTAACTTCCGTATCATTACACGCAGACCACCGTCCTCATATTTTCCGGATAAGGTCTCCGACCTTATAATTCCCGAATCGCGCACGTGGAACTTGGAGCTGCTCAACGATACATTCTGGCCAGTTGACAAAAATAGGATTCTCTCGACTCCCATTGGCAGCGTTTATGCGAAGGACCGACTGGTATGGCACTATTCTCGTTCCGGTGAATTCACGGTCAGGTCGTGCTACCATACATCTTGCACCACCATGCAACTGAAGGAGGAAACACACATTCCTCAAATGACGACGACAAAAAGTTTTGGAAATTCCTTTGGCATCTTCACATTCCACCGAAAATCAAGGTATTCATTTGGCGGGCAGCCGGTGACATTATCCCGACAAATGTTGCCCTATTCCGACGACATGTCTCCTCTAATCCATTTTGCACCAGCTGTCGCACCCAAACCGAAACCACGACACATGCATTGATTTATTGCAGGGGATTAACTGAAGTTTGGCTGAATAATCCGTTCGATCTTGATGTGGCAACCGAACCAGCCAACTTCCGAAACTGGCTTGAATGGTTACAAAGGAAACTTTCAAAGGAGCTTTTTTGCCTAGCAATGGTTATTTGCTGGAAAGCTTGGGATGCAAGGAACCGTGAAGCGCATGGAGAGGGGGGGATGAGAGGTCGAGATTTGTGTAGTTGGAGCAAAAATTATCTTGCCATTTTTCGATCCGCTAGCACCGTTCCAACTATTCTCAAGAACCCTCCTCCTCGGGTGCATTGGATCCCTCCACCGGACGGAACTATCAAGGTCAATTTTGACGCCGCACTACCACCATCCCTTCCACACTACATGGTTGCTATGGTTGCCAGAGACTTCAAGGCACTTATGTTATCTTTCAATTCTTGTCAATTTTCTTTTGTTTCTCGCAATTGTAATAAGCTTGCGCATTCTCTAGCGAACTCTATAGAGCTTGCTAACTTGGAGGGTCCGATCCTCCCCCTTAAAGTGGCAAATATTGTCTAATAAGATCTCGTCTTTTCCTCAAAAAATATATAGAAAATTGGGAAAATTGTAGTTTTGGTCCTCTATGTTGGCCTATTTAGTAATTTACGCCTGTAACTTATCATGTTTTAGTTTTACATGCAATAACTTTGTAAATATAGTATTTTTAGTACTTTTTTGCATGATTTTTTATTTTATGACGCGACAAATAAATTTGACGCATTTTAATTATATGGACGTTTGGAAATTGATGAATTCAACATCCAATTTACCACTGGTAGAACTTTAATTATGTGAGACGACACATCTATGAACCAAATTAGAGGAACATTTATAAATTTCTACGAGGTTATTAGGTACATCATTAAACGACGTCTAAAATTCAAAGTTCGAGTTAAATAGGCCTAAAAGTACTAATTTTTCATAATTATTGCATGTAAAATTGAAACAAGACAATTTATAGGACTAAATTTCTAAAGAGACCAACATATTTACAATTTTTCCTATAAAGGTACGTAATTCCCCTAAACCTTGACTAAATTACGAAACAAACCCACCTAACATAATTACGAAAAACCCTTCTGACTCATTGTCGACTCCTATTAGACATGATCACCGGTTCGGTTAGAACCGGGGTCAACAGTTTCAGAACCGAACCGGGTCTGAAACCGAGAAAACCGGTTCGGTTCCGATTCCCCGCGGTTCTAACCGTTTGAATGGTTTCTTTTTTTTTAATATAAAAAAAATAAGTATTAATTTTAGAACAGTCAGATTTTCAAAAAAAAAGTAATAATAATAAGAAAACCACGTGGCAACTAAAACGGCACAATTTTCAACAAAAAAATATCCACATAGTGGCAAACGGTCAATTTTAAAAAAAGAAAATTGAAAAAAATCAACGGTCAGAAAATTTAAGAACTCTATTTTTCTTGAGACGTGTTATTTCCTATTTTTTTTTTTTTTTCTTTTTTCACCTATATTTTTTTACAAATTTATAAACCAACACCACTAAACTAATTAAAATATGTATAAAAAAAAACTCTACCATTTTTACTGGAAATCTCACCCTGTCCACATTAATTGAACAATACTTTCGTCAAAGAAAAACATTTTCAAAGGTCAAAAAAAGTAGGAATTCACGTTTTTTTTATGAGAAATAAATTAAGACTGCTTAATATAATTTCGTTTCCTCCAAAATTGGTCAGTTTAGCTTAATATAATTTCGTTTCCTAAAAAAAATTACATAATTTGTACGTCATATGATATGAAAGTTTAAATATTTTTTAATAAATATTTCATTGGAAAAAATTAAAAAATAATAATAATAAAATTAAAAAATAAAATAAAATAAAAATAACTTAGAACATATGAAGATAAGTGAATATGAGGAAGGGTGGTTGATTATAAATTTGAAGAGTATTTATGACATTTTATAATCTTTGACGTGAATTGAAATACTTTGAATATGGAAATATCACCACTCTTTTTTTTTAATTTTCACCTAAGTTATATTTTAAATTTTTTAAAACCACAACTAACCCCTAAGTATTTAAAAAAAAAATTGTTTTTAAAGTATTTTTTCCGCTGTTTTCTAAACAAAATTTAACTATTTTTTGAAGTTATATATATATATATATATATATATATATATATATATATATATATATATATATATATATATATATATATATATATATTAAGAACCGGCCGGTTCAACTGGTTCAAACCGGAATTGGAATCGAAACCGTTTGGAAACGAACCGTAAGAACCGGAAATCTTCGGTTCGGTTCCGGTTCCAGTTCCTCCAAATTCGAAACCAAAACCGGCAGTTTGATACCGGAACTGGAACCGAATGTCTAACCCTTATGTAGCACATAAACTTCAACTTCTTAATGTTTCAGCGTTTCGGACACGTCTCGTATCGGGCAGTCGAGGACACATGTCGGACACCTTATGAGTTATTTTGCAATTTGTAAAAAGTTAGAAACATGTTTGAATACAAAATTTTCAAATATTTTTGTTGCTTCCTTAATTATTTACACAATTTAATGATCAATTGCAAATTGATAGTTGATCGTAAATTTTATTTTGAATAATGTTTATATGAAAAAATATAAAAAGAATTTATATATAACTTAAAACTTGTATATGTTTATATAACATATGTATAAATAAACCCCTATAATTTAACATTTACATGTTTTCTCTAAAATCCCGTATCCTCATTTTTGGAATATACCATTTCTCCGTATCCGTTTCCCCGTATCACAGTTTTCGTGTCCGTGCTGCATAGGTTGACCCATATTTTTTTTTCTCACATAAATCATGTAACGCCTATTATACAGTCTTTAGTTAAATATGCGAGAACAAAGTACCCAAGTGAGTACATGTCTCTCGATTCTGCAGAATAATCAAAGGAATAGGCACCTTGACCATGTCGATTGACCAAATTCACTTAAAACAAGTTTATATGTAAATTGTCGCGATTATTATAACTCGGCCAATGCTGCATTTTAGCGATGCGAAAACGGCAATCGAAGCTAACAAGATTTCATCGGCTATAAGAAAGATTGCAGAGATAGTGCCTGTTTCTACTTCTTGTAGAACACTTGAAACATCAATTGATTTGTCGGTAGATGTATTTGACATTGCTTACGTCGTTGTCACATAGGCTCAACGGCCGCTTGAAGATCTCAACTAACACATAAATAAACGAAAAATAAAATCCGATGTGAATTAGTTGCTCATTCGTTCTAGTGAAATCAAATGACTATGTACTTATATTTATATTTGAAAGGGTTTTGCAAAATAAATAATATTTATAACTGCAAAACTTCAATACATTTTTCTTAGAGACCCTTTAGTCATTAATACATTATCTTAATACCCCTTACCATATACATATCTTACATAGATCCCCTCCAAGTTAATTATTGCTCACATAGGCCCATCGCCCATACATATAATCCACACACACACACACACTAAGATGAGTATATTCACACAGCAGAACACATTAAAAATGGTATAATATGTGCAAATTCATTATATCAATAGTATCTGGCTCAAAATCACTAAACTGTACAGTATATACAACTTGTAAACAACAAGTAAGATCTCTATACACCACCTGCATGCATTTGTATCTATCTTACCAAGAAGATTTGAATATCTGTTTCCATTATTCATCACCAAGAAATTCAAAAAAAAATTGCTCTCTTCATCATGATTTTCTTAATGGCTCGATCTTTTTCGAGTCAACTAAGGCTTGTTTGACCCAATCCCCATTGTTATGCTCTAATGATCTTCGAAGTGCTTCACAAGCTTGAGCGAGTTCTTCCTCTCCAATGAATGGAGAGTCCTTCTTCAGGGCGAAAATTAATTCATTGAAACCTTTATCAGTGTGCAAGCAAAAGAGGTTGCTAAATACCTGCGAAACAGAACAAAAAGAAATTAGGAAAAAGAAATTTTCGAACCATATAGTGTATATTATATTTTCATGCTATCAGTTGTTTCTCACCTTTTCGAAATTTGAATACACTGCAGCCCTCACACCAGTATAGCATGTGACAAACTTAACGATCAATAAACCTTTATCAGAAAGTGAGTCTTTTGCTGCCAACAGAAAAGGTTCCTCAACGAATTCTGCCTCTGGACTAATTAAACCAGAACTGCACAATAAAAGTAGTACTTTGTCAAATAAAAAAAGATGACAAGAATTGATTTGAGTGGAAGCTGTTTTTTTTTTTTTTTTACCTTGAGTCTGATGAGTCCACTTCGATTATAAGTACGTCAATTTTGGAAGAGTTTTTCCCTTCTTCATGAATTACAGTGCAACCATATAGTTATTTAATTTTGAGCATGTTATCTTGCGATTTACAACTAGTTAGTAGTTGTTGCGATTTTACCTCCATCAGAATTTGCTCTCTCTTTGACAAACTTCATTGCATCAGTAATATGTACCTGGACAGGAAATGAAAACTAGTTACAGTGAGAGCATGAGCATTACGACTCTGTGAAAGCAACAATAATATCACATTGTTAGCTAATCCTTTCTCTTGATACAAGGAACAAAACAATAACGATAACATGACTCTGTGAAAGCAACTTCTTCACATTACAATTCCAATTATCAGCACATAAATGCAAAATTATACCAAAGATTATATGTTCTGAATTCCAGAAAAAACCCTTTTGCACACTCCAATTTCCTATTTTGTTGTTGAAAACGACAGAAACTAAAATATTACCTTTAAGCCATCATCTTCTTCAAAACCAAAATACTCTTTAGCAACATTCAGAACGACAGGATCTGACTCAACGACCTAACAAATTAAGAATTAGCATATAGACAGGACAGTAGAAAAAAAATGGTAATTACAGCCATCCAAAATTTCTGTACCTCAATCTTTAAAGTCGGTACGTAATTTCTCATACACATAGGAAGTAGTCCTGCTCCAAGACCGATGATTACTGTTTTGACCTGAAAAGGAGGGAAACATTCAAATCTAGGCATCATTTCGAAAACCGAACCCACGACCCAAATTTTGTAAAGGTAGTAAATTATTATAATTTATTCCACAAGTGAATTACATATGTTTGCCTCTGTTTTGGAAAATCATTTAAGAAAAATGAGATGAGGTAGTAATTTAATTTGTTATCTGCTTTCAAGAGACAGAAGAGAAAGAAGAGAAAAAAGTAAGCTCACCAATCTACCAGCTGAGGTAGTTCTTTTTGAATGTATAGAAAACAACAGTAATCCAGAAATCATCCCCTTGGTTAATCCACTTCTCACATATTTGTGATCGACTTTCATATCACCACTCGATGCTTCTTCATTCAAGACGAATTAATGAACATGAATAAATATTGCTACTTCTATTTCTCAGCAGTAGATGACAGTAATTTAATTTAGAAACAATTGAAATGTTTTCTTTTTCTCAGGTTTAAGTAAAACCATATCAGGAAATATTGAAATCCAAGTCCAGTATATAATTTCTCAAAACTAACCTAAAAAGAGAGAGATATTCACCTTGAGAATCAGATGGCTGCGATTCAACCATCCTCAGTTTTCCTTTCTTCGCCTGTACTTTCTTATTCTGAACTTGTGTGGATAAAAGAGCTTCAGATTGCGCAAAAACTTCAGTTCTTCCAAAACGAAGGCGACGGAATGTGAAATCCTTAGATTTATCATATGTATTAGGAATATCACCCAGTGTATTGAAATAGATCACGTCCTCTACAGCAATCGGACCAGTCAAGGTAGATGTAACCTGGATAACAATATAAGGAAAATCTAAGAGGAAAAAAAGAGATGGCAATACATGAAGTAAGAGCAGTATATAAAACCTCTAATTTGAAAAGTGACGACATTTTCTCCTATAAGAAACCACCACTAAATAAACACAGAGTGATACAGTCCTTCGATGAGTGCTAAGAGAGCAAATAATCAATGAGAGAGTTGAACAAAATAGTATGTACAATGATCGTGTAGAATTGGTCAGAATTATCAATATGAAAAGGGCAACCAATAAGATGAAAGCAAGAAATAGTAGTTATTCAACCTTATACAAAGTTTTCTTCTGCTTATACCGTAAATCTGCATGCGTAACTCTGCAAAGGGATATATGTTTATGGGTAGTTAAGTAGGAGGACTAAGCGTAAACAACGAAAAAGTGCAAACAAGAATGGGTTTGGAAATAAATTTTCGTGCATAAACTAGCATTGGCAGATATGAAATCAAGAGCTAAAATCATTATCAGATGAGTTCTGGTATTGGATAAGTAGATGCTGATAGGATACTTACCCAACGTTAGCGTTTTCAATGTCATCCCCTGGGGCCAATTGTTTGATTAAACGAAATATATCATTCTGAAAGAAAGGAAAAAAATAAAATAAAAATATAAGTGTCCATCAAATATACAGCTCGCAAGTTAGAGCTATAGGAAAAAATAAAAAAATCAAGATTACCTCTATTTCATTCGCTAAAACATTATGGTTGGCATCCAGTACAACCTAATACCAATCAGTATGATGCTATGAGTGAAAAACGAAAAATGAAATATCGTAGTACACTAAATTATCATTGAGTAGAAAAAATTACTATCAACAGCCGAGCAGTATTTTGGCCTCCAACAAGGCGCCATGGTCGGGTAGTTGATACGAGGAGATTGTGGAACATTTGCATCTAAATTCCAAACTTCAGTCATACAACAGTTGGAATGAAACAAACAAAAATTAAGTCACAAACTATGCCAATAGCAAGTGGAACTCTATGGTGAATGATCATCTCATATAGAAGTTTTCTCTTTTACATATTTGAAAAAAAATAGTATTTAGTTTCCTCAGGTGCAGACTACTCTTTATTAACATTCATAAATGGACGGGGGTGATATTTAGAATGAACACCTCGTCTAAAAACTATTAGAGACTTGAATTATTTTATGTTTAATGACGGACAACAAAACAATGAAAGTTATTTCCTTGACACCATATTGAAAGCTAAGTATAAAAGCTATTAAAAATACAAGGCAATAAATTACTTAAAATTAAGGAAAGGCAGTTTTAAAAACAAGAAATGCAAGTTTACATTGGTTTATTTCGCATTACCAAACGCATATTAGGTATAAAGACTAAGTACAGACTCTTTAACGAATAAACACATAAAACACAATAAACACGTACCAGATGAAGAGAATGCTAATATTAATATTATGCAAAACTTTTTAAGCAATCTAAGTATATCTATCTTCACTTTTTTTATGGAACAACGATAGATTCTCAACTGTAAATAAAATGACCAGGGGAAAAAGAAGGAACTAACGCTGTGAAGGAATATCACATGATATTGATCGGAGAAAGATATTGGCAATGGATGAGCATCAAGCAGTAAACCACTATAGAAGAAACGCGATACTCCAGTTTCACCTAAAAAAAGATTTACAGCGCGACCAGGTTCAAGCACCCCAATGTTTCCTTGTACCCCTTGGTTCAGGTCATTAAGCGAGAGCCATGTATCAGTGCCATTAGAGTATTCTTCACGGACAGTATTTTCTCTATCAAGTGCTTCAAATAGTTCTCGAACCTATAACATGTTCAAATAGTGAACTTATTTCTCCAGATTTGGTAGTAATGCAAATGTAATGAACTTAGTTCGTGTGAGCTAGCAAACAGTACTGTTATCCCCTAAGAAAATCAAGTTCTTTCCTTTTCTCAAAGGGTACGTACATGGATGAAAAGAAAAGGCTATGTGTTTTCACCTGATTACCATGGGATTCTACAGAACATTCATCCATGAATGATATCTGAGAAATAACAGTTAAAATAAACTTCTCTGCGACCAACATAAAAGCCCGTTGTTTGGTTGTTCCTGAAGATGGTTCTTGAGCAACGGCATAAAGATTGACTTTCCATCCAAATCGAAACTTTCGAAAAAGTAGACCTGAGAACATGAGATGCTGAAATAAAAATCTAACTCCTCCTCCTATCTTTACATTCACCAAAATACTAAAAAAATGAATAAATAATTGATCGTAATTAGAGGAACAATACCTACCTACTACATGAGATTCTGCCAAGGTGAGACAGATATATTTTCCTCCAGCTTTTAACAATCTTTTAGCCTGTTAATGAGTCGAACTATATTGGAACAATACCTAGTACAAAGCAAAAAATGCTGGTAACTATTGGATCAAAAGTGTATCACAAACCTCAGATAAATATATTGTTCCTAATCTGGGGTCAATGTTAGGTTCCATTAGAGCATCCAGTCCTCCCTTATCGATGATGGCATCAACAGTCCCACTTGCAAACTTAATCAATAAAAATCATTAGAAAAAACGGAAAGAGATAGAGAACGCAGTTCCAATGAAATGAGTTCAAACACAGTAAGCCAAGCCAAAACATAAATGGATTTAAAGACACTCAAAACTTCAATAATGGCCTTTCTACAAATGAAGTGCTAGTTAAATCATAAGAAAATGGAAAGAGAATTATATAGCAAAGTCCGATGAAATAAATAGAATTAAGTAACGAGTTCATCTACATGGAAGATTTGAAACAAAAGAAAAGGAGGGCAAATACAGTAAGCCAACGCACATTAAAATGCTCTCTCAGGCAAAAGGGCGAACACATTGCATGCAATCTAAGAGAATAAAAAGATTGGGAAAGAAGACGGCGACGTCTTGGAGATTGAAGAAATTATCCGAAATTATAGGCTGGAAGAAATTATCCGAAATTATCAGAATTCGGTCACTCTCTCTCTCTCTCTCTCTCTCTCTCTCTCTCTCTCTCTCTCTCTCTCTCTCTCTCTCTCTCTCTCTCTCTCTCTCTCTCTCTCTCTCTCTCTCTCTCTCTCTCTCTCTCTCTTCAATTCTTATCTCCTTCCCCAAATTCCCTGCAAATTCTTTTCATATATTTCTGTGGTTGGAATTATATTACAGATTACCCATTAAAATCCTCAGTTTCGAAAATTGAACAAATACGTCAAGTTAATAGCCAAATAAAATAAAATCCTAGCAATTAATTTTACAATCCTAATTCTCAATTGACACAAAAATCCTGGAAAATTGTACCTGCATATCAGTCATGTCCATCACGCGCCACCTCATCCCCGGCCGTTCTCTCAAATTCCTCTTCATCATGGCGGAAATGACCTCCCTCGAGAAATCCACATTTGTTATATTCCTGAATCCGTCGTCGTACAGATGCTCCGACAGCCTGGAATTCCCGCAAGCCGGCACCAAAATACTCAGCTCCTCCGGCGGCGGCGCCGACGGCGGAAACGAGAGATGGTTCCTGAGTAAGGTCCGGAGTTGGGGCCAATCGGCGTACCACTCGGAGAAATTACCGGCGCCTCTTGCGGCGTAGAAAAAGTCCCAATTCTCCTTGCTGGTGAAGTTTCCGAAGGCAATCGGCAGCTCCTTTTCAGTTCGGACGCACTGTTCTCCTCGTTGCTCGACGTTTTCCGCCATTTTCACGCGATCTCGAAGTGAAATTGTGCGGTTATTTTTTGGAAGTTCAATTCAACTATCCCGCCCAAACCTAACAAACTGCGATCCTTTTCCCATTGCACCACATTCTTTCTGTTATATATAGTTTTTTTAATTCCGCATTTTTTCCACCATTTTTTTTAAAGTGTAAATTACGAAACTCCCCTGAACTTTGGCTAAATTACAAAACAAACCCACCCACACATAATTACGAAAAAACCCTCTGACTCATTGTTGACCCATTTTTTATTTAACATAAATCATGTAGGCCTATTATACTCTTTAGTTAAAAGGAAAAATCTAAAATTAGGCAACTATAAAATTTATCTTTCTTATTTCTGTAAAAATCCATAAAAAAAAGTTATAATTTCAATCAACTTTATTATGAATTTTGTAAATGCTACACTCGGTATAATTGCCCTTCTTGAATTTCATGTGCAATGTGTCTCATATTCATCAAACTGAAGATGCCGGTTCGATCATACACTTTTATTCGTCGTAGAACCTTGCTCAATTATATTCTTGTTGTTTGCAATAATTTGGATGATTCATTATATCAAAATATTCAATAGTAATGCCTCAAATAACCAGATATATACATATGTACATACAGCAGCAACACAGAGCAAGAGATTAATACAAATATACAGAAAAAATCATGGTAGTGGGTTGATCAATCTTGAGTCGACTTTGACACCTCTGGCCCAAGTCGTCTTGATATACTTTAATGATCTCGAAAGTTCATCACAAACTTCAGCAAGTTCGTTCTCCGACATTCTGGGAGACTCTTTCTTAAGGGCGAATATTATTTCGATGGAATCTCTGTCTACGTAAAAGTGATAGAGATTGCTGAAAACCTGTCAAATCACGCACAAATTAAGTATCGAAAAACGAATGCAAAGAGGAGAGAGGAAAGAACGAAGCAAATGTTACTTGCGTTGTTCTCACTCACCCTTTTCAGTGTCGAATACACTACCCCCCGCACACTAGAGAACTTTGTGACCAACTTAAAGATGAACAGACCTCTATCCGAAAGAGAATCTTTTACTGTCAAGAGAAAAGATTCCTCGACAAAGTCTGCCTCTGGACTGATTAAACCAGAACTGCACAATAAGATATATAGAGTAGCTAGCAGGTGAGAAAAAGATGACAAAAAAAACATAAAAAAAAAGTGATTTTTGATTAAAACCGACTTTACCTCGAGTCTGACGAATCCACATCAAGTATAAGCACATCAACTTTGAAAGAGTCGTCTCCTTCTGCATGAATTACGGTGAATGTGCAACCATACAATTACTTGTCGCTGCTGAGCATGTCAGTTTATCCTTTTACATTACTAACAACTAGTTGTGCTACTTTTTACCTTCCTCTGAATTTGCTCTCTCTCTGAGAAACTTAGTTGCATCGGTAATATGTACCTGAAATGCTTGCAGTTGGTCAGAATTTATATAAGCGGGAAATCACTAACTAATCTTTTTCTCTTGTTTTAAGAACAAAATTTGAAATGTACAAGAACACTCCAATTTCTATTTAGTTGGTACAAATGTCAGAAAGTAGAATATCACCTTTAAGAGTTCGTCTTCTATAAAACCAAAATATTCGCTAGCAACATTCAGAACCACAGGATCTAACTCAACGACCTGTCATATTAAGATTTGACATAAGGAGAAGACAATTGAAAATATACGGTAATTAATACAACCACAATTTCGTTAAACCTCAATCACTAGATTACGTAGGCAATTTCTCATAAACGTAGGAAGTGTTCCTGATCCAAGACCAATGATCACTGTTTTGACCTGGAAAAGTGGACCCCCGTCCGATGCAGATATCAATTTTCAAAGGTAAAATAGGTCATATAACGTAGGTTTTTGCCTCTTTTTTGGAGAATCATTTAAGCAAGAGAAGATGGCTCACCAATCCACCAGCCGAGGTAGTTCTTTCTGAATGTAAAGAAAACAACAGTAATCCAGCAATAAACCCCTGGTGGTGTACCGTTGCCAAAAAATTGTGTTCAAGATTCGGTTGACCACTTGATGCTGCCCCACATGAAAAGGACAATACAATAGTTAGTGAAGGTAGATAACAGTAACTTCAAAACGTTGAAACCCAAGGTAGTGTGGGCCTGAAACTACTGCAGCAAATACAGTTCAGAGAGTCTGGAAAAATGAAGTAAAGGTTTATCAGGTATCAATCCTTTAATTAAACAGCATACCATATATGAACCAAAAGATGCAGTTAAATTGCTCAATTTAATTCACAAACAATTGAACTGTTCTCTTTATTTTCTGTTTTTAAGTAATATATCATTTCATGAAATATTGGAATCGAAGTCAAGCTATCTAGTTTCTCAAAACTTAACCAACAAAGAGATAAATATCAGACATTCACTATCAGAACCAGATGAGTGCGAGTCGAATTTTTGCGTGTTTCCTTTCTTCCAATTTGTGAAATCTGCCGGCACTTTCTTATCCTCAACTTGACCAAAAAATTCATTTGGTCCTTCTCTGGATAATGGAACTTCAGAATGCACCCAACTCTCAGTTCTTTCAAAACAAAGGCGGCGGAATATGAGATCCTCAGGTGGATCATACATCACATCTTCTACATAGATTGTACCAGTCAAGGCAGTTGTAACCTGGACGAACCAAAATAGACAAATTTTTATAAGGAAAATATTTAATTAAGACAAAGATATGAAATAGACAAAGATTTAATTAAGACATTCAGTACAACTCAAGCAACAGATTTTGATTTTGATTCCCCTGAAAAATATGAGCAATATAGGAAATAAGAAGCATCATAGAGAACCACATATTTGAAGGAAAAGAAAAGAGGGACATACAGACGGATAGTCAATATCAACCATGAAATGTGTCTTAAGAGAGCAATAATCAATATGAGTATTGAAAAATAGTATGTAAAATAATTATCCGTGAACACCAACGTATGAGTACATAAATTTGAAATCTATGCAACTCTACACATGAAAAAGTGAAGTAATATAGATCCTAGATATCTCATAAGATGAGGCAAGAAATAGTAGTTCTCCAACCTGGTGCACAATTTTCCTTTCGTTAATCTCATCAACCAAATCATCTTCAGATGTAGCTCTGCAAAAGACCCATTTGATAATGAGTTCTGATTTCGGATATCTTACTACTGGATAAGTAGATGCTGATGCTATACTTACGCAATATGAATTACATCACCGGTTCCCACTGGGGCCAATTGATAGACAAAATTAGAGATATCCGTCTGAAAAGGGAAATTTATACAAGTTTAAGAATCCATCAAATATACAGATCAAAATTTAGATTAGCTGTGGAAATAAATACATATATTACCAATATCTCGACCCAGGTAACATTAGAATGACTCGAATCCAGTACAATCTAAAATCAATAATCATAATTGTGTGAGTGAAAATGAAATGTGAAAAGACAAGATATAGAAGAAAATACACTAAATGATTGGAAAGATTTACCATCAACAGTCGAGCAGCTTCAGAGGTTCCACAGCGGAGCCATTCTAGTAATTCGTTTGCAAGGTTCTTCTGGTAAGATTGCGACTGAATTCCAAACCTCAGTCATATAACAGTTGGACTGGTAACAAGTTTATAAGTAGCGAAGTATGCCGATAGCAAGTGGAACCATACGGTAATCGAAGGTATTACTAGGTTTGACCTATACTGAAAGCTAAATATAAAACTATTAAAAAGAAAGGCAAAAGTTGTTCAGGTTGGCAAAAGTTGAAAACAGAAATGAACTGACAGGAAGAAGAGGATGCTCGTATTTGATTAATATAATCGTTATGCACAACTCATTAAGCAGTTTAAGTATATCTATCTTCAAATTTTCCTGAACTCAAGAGCACTAGAATCTTAAAATGTAACTAAAACGATAAGTGAAGGGCTAAAGGGTAGAAAAGAACTCACTTTCCGAAAAAAAATTACTCGTAATCCACAGGAGAAAGGTTCAAGATCCAGTTGAGCATCAAAAACTACACCAGTACAGAAAAAACGGGATACTCCAGGTTCACCTAAAAAGAGCTTTACAAGACGACCGGGTTCAAGCTCGTTAATGTCTCCTTTCACAGATAGCTTCAGGTCGTCAAGTGAGCACCATATATCAGTGCCAGTGGAGTATTCTGCACGAACAGTATTTTCTCTTTCAAGTGCTTCAAATACTTCTTGAACCTATAACATGTTCAAAAAAGTTTAATTTATTTCTTAGCTTGAAAAAGTAAAAATAATTCGAAGTGCTTTCACCTGATAACCGTGGGATTCTACAGAATATTCATCCATGTATGGTATTATCTGAGAAACAACAGTTAAAGTACATTTCTCTGCGACCAACATAAATGTAAGCTGTTTGGCGGTTCCAGAAGATGGTTTTTGAGCAATGGCACACAGATTGATGTTCCACCCAAACCGAAACTTCCGAAAAAGTAGACCTGAGAGAGTCATATGATTGAAAAAGCGGCATAAAGATTGTATTGCCACCCAAACATCAGCACATGAGATACTGAATAAGAGGAAGGAACAATACCAAGTACATGAGGTTCTGCCAAGGTGAGACAAATATATTTTCCTCCAGCTTTCAACAGTCTTTTAACCTGTTAACGAGTCAAACTTTTTGACCACAACATAATAAAACAAAATTGTGTCATTATAAAACAAGACTATCATAAACCTCAGATAAATATAATATTCCTGATCTGGAGTCAAGCTCAGATTCCATCAGAGCATCCAATCCTCCCTTATCAATGATGGCATCAACGGTCCCATTTTCAAACTGAATCAATTACAAATCATTACAAAAGGAAATAGATAGAGAAGGGAGTTAAAAAAAAGTTGAATACGGAATGAGTTCATGATGCTGAGAACAGTTGTTGACGACTAGCAGCTAGATGCCAGTAAATTATTCGTGCTCAATTGATAGTGTAACTCCAGTTTAGCACAGATAGCCAATAAAACAAACACTTGGAGCACTAAAATTTCCAACTCATTCACCGTACATCACATTCACATTGTAGACTGTAACTGCACTTACATGGGCACTTACTTGGTGATTAGTACATCTAAATGAACTCGTCTTATTGAAAGCATACTCGGTCCAGGGATGGTGAGGTCTTTATTAAGAAGATATGTAACCCTCAGTCCAACAGAATTTGTCTAAGTGTAAACAATGTATCATAAGTAAACTGTCAATTCAAATGCTATGTTTTATTAATTAAGATTCTGTTTTACATCTTAACCTTGTGACCAGGCTAACAATCCCCCATTACTTACCCATTAAACCAAGCCCTGCCCCCATTGACTCGTATAATGTCATCGAAGAATTCACATAAATATGAGAAGTACATTGTGTCACTTAACTGACTCAACATAAATCGATTCAAAAGACAGTCTAATTCTTCATTTTAGTAATTCACATAAATATGCCCAAAGAGTAAAGTGCAGAAAATGTCATCATTTAATTTGCATCTACCACTAGAGTTATTGAAATTCTCTGACCCAAAAATTCCACATCATTACCACAATCTCATTAAGCATATCGGCATGGATTTTGAACAAATACACATCACAATCAGCTGAAAATCTTACAATTAATTGATTATCGGTAGAATTGCATAGGTTTGAAACTAATGAATATGTGTATAAGCCCAAAGGCCAAAGCCACATCGCCTAGGGTACTGAAATTGAGACTCAGAAAACGATCTTCGATTTTTGTTACCTGCATATCAGTCATGTCCATCACGCGCCACTTCATCACCGGCCGTTCATTGACATTCCTCCTCAACATGGCGGAAATGACCACCTTCGAGAAATCCACGTTTGTTATATTCGTGAAGCCGTCGTCGTAGAGATGCTCCGACAGCCTGGAATTCCCGCACGCCGGAACCAAAATGCTCTGCTCCTCCGGCGGATACGAGAGATGGCTCCTGAGTAAGGTCCGGAGTTGGGGCCAGTCGGCGTACCACTCGAAGAAATCGTCGGCGCCTCTCCTTGCGTCGAAGAAAAAGTCCCAATTCTCCTGGTCGGTGAAGTTTCCGAAGGCAATCGGCCGATCCTTTGAAATGTCGATGCAGTTTTGTTTCGCGGGTTGTTGTTCCTCCATTTTCTGAGTGAAATGTGGGTTTGTTTCGTGAACAGTTGAAATGTATATATAATATTTATAATAAAATAATATTAATATTATTTTTGAAGTTGAATATCCCGCCTAAACAAACGTAACAAACTGCGGTTAAGAAAGGGATTATTACTTAATTACCTTCTCCTCCCTCAAATGTTAATTTGTGTAGCTTAAAGTCCTATTGTATATTTTGCATTTACATATTTCTATTTTTTATGAAAAGACATTTCTACCCTTATATTCGCTTCGTTATTGTCTTCACTGGGGTTCTCCGGTGACCGCCGCTAGGGGCCACCTTCCCCAACAAGGTCTTGTTACGATTGGATCGGAGATCGATCGGAGATTTGAGAGAAAATAGAAACAATCTTATTAAGAGGGAAATTGAAAAATGCCACCCCTATGCGTTTTAGTCAAAGCCATATGCGAGTGTGTGTAACGATCACTCGCCATTTGTGCGACTAGTAATGGGATTTTTTTTAGATGAAATGACAGAATTGCCCCTCAAATCTTGGTACCAAATTGCAATTTTTAGGATATTTATTTTTCGACATAATTTTTTGAAAACTCATCGTCTTCCCCGTTTACAATCGAAATCGTCCTTGCCACGTGACATTATTCTATTGGCTAATAAACTAATAGACGAAGAAATAAGAAAAGCACTACACGGTTTTAACATGTAGCTTAGAAGTTATTGTAACATATAGTTCATTTACAGGTAGCCAATCAATGTACACTATTTTAGCTTTTAATCATGGTAGTGGTTTGATCAATTTGGAGTTATGTAAGACTCTTGTGGCCCAATCCTGATTGTTATGCTGTAATGATCTTGCTAGTGCCTCACAAGCTTCAGCAAGTTCGTTTTCCGCGATAATCGGTGAGTCCTTCTTCAGGGCAAATATTATTTCGACAAAATCTCCGTCTGCGTAAAAGTGATAGAGGTTGCTGAATACCTGTCAAATATGAAAAAAAAAACTGAGTATCGAAAAATAATGGATAGAGAAAGAAAAAAAAACCCGAAAGAAATGTTACTTCAGTTGTTCTTACCTTTCTCAGTTTTGAGTACACTGAACCTCTAACACTTGAGTACTTTGAGATCAACTTAAAGACGAACAAACCATTGTCAGAGAGTGAATCCTTTACGGTCAAGAGAAAAGATTCCTCGACAAAGTCTGCCTCCGGGCTGATTAAACCAGAACTGCACAATAAAATAGAGTACATAGGTGAAAAAAATGATACAAAAAAATAAAATGATTTTTGTTTGAAAGCGACTTTACCTCGAGTCTGATGAACCCACATCAATTACAAGCACATCAACTTTGGAAGAGTCGTTTCCTTCTGCATGAATTACGGTGTGCAACCATACAATTACTTCTTGTTGAGCATGTCAATTTAATCTTTTACATTACTACAACTAGTTGTTGCAACTTTACCTTCCTCAGAATTTGCTCTCTCTCTGACAAACTTAGTTGCATCGGTAATATGTACCTGAACACGAGGAGAGTGAAACTATGAGCAGCGTAGAATACATCATCATGACTTTCCCGATGACTATGTGACAACTTTTTCAGATTCAAATTCCGATTATCAGAAAGAATAACTTAAATGCGAAATGATACCAAAGGTTTTATGTTTTTAATTCACTTATCTTACAACTAAATCAAGTATTGATGTTAGAACCAAAACTTTCTTGTACACTCCAATTTCGATTTAGTGGGTGAAAACGTCAGAAAGTAGAATGTCACCTTTAAGCTTTCGTCTTCTGTAAAACCAAAATATTCGCTAGCAACATTCAGAACCACAGGATCTAACTCAACGACCTGTCGAATTAAGAATTAATATAAGGATAAGTCAATTGATAAAATGGTAACTAGTACAGCCAGAATTTCGTTCGTTCTACCTCAATCTGTAGAGAAGGTAGGCAGTTTCTCATAAACATAGGAAGTATTCCTGATCCAAGACCAATGATCACTGTTTTGACCTGGAGAAATGGGAATATTTTAGTTCTTTCTGAGCCTATTGGAGGCAGATATCAATTTTTCAAAGGTCAAATAGATGGCTGGCTCACCAATACACCAGCTGATGTAGTTCTTTCTGAATGTAAAGAAAACAACAATAATCCAGCAATAACCCCCTTGTGGAATCCCGTTACCAAAATTTTGTGTTCAACTTTCGGTTGACCACTTGATGCTGTCCCACGTGAAAAAGACGATAACATAGTTAATGGAGGTGAACAAAAAACTCTACTAAGGCAGTATGGTCCTGAAATAGAAGATTGCATCAAATACGAAAGAGAAAATAAAATTTAATGATTATACATGTAACATTTAGGTCGAACAACGAGGTATTTACAGTCCAGAACCTTTATTTTGTCCATGCAAGAATTTCGCAGATAACTTAAGGACAAGTAATGTTGAAGTATTACCGCAAACCCAAAATGGGGTAGCTAAACCGCATAAGAAAAAATAAGCTGGTAGATATCTTATTCTCATCTTCACCTGAACTGTCATTTGGTCCTTCTATGGATAATGGAGCTCCAGAATGCACCAAATTCTCAGTTCTTTCAAAACAAAGGCGGCGGAATATGAGATCCTTTGCTAGATCATGATCATAAATCACGTCTTCTACAAAGATTGGACCAGTCAAGATAGATAGAACCTGGATGAACCAAAATAGAGAAAGATTTAGAAGGAAAAGAAGATATGGAAATACATGAAGAGCAGTAGATATGAAATATCTAATCCGAGAAACTTGTATTTGCAAACTGACGACCTTTTTCCCTACACGAAGCCACTGAATAAACACAGTGCATCAGTTTAAACACAGTGAAACGGCTAATCGACTTCTAACGGTTCATCAAAAAATCTAGATGAGCTGGTTAGTAGAACTGTTTATATATCTTCAAGAGAACCAGATAGTTAGAGAAAAAAAAACAAGAGAGAACGTATAGAAGAGAGCAAACAATTAATGTGAGAAGTGAAATAGTATGTCAAATGATCCTGTTGAAGTAGTAATATTTATCAGTGATCACCAAAGTGTGAGCGCATCAACTTCAAAGCAATATCCCCATTATGGAACAAATTTACTCTACACATGAAAGGACAGCTAATACAACATCTAGAGGTTTTTCAACCTGGTGCACAAGTATCCTCTGCTTAATCCCATCAATCATATCATCTTCAGACGTAGCTCTGCAAAAGACCCATTGGAACAACAAAATGCCTATGAGGATATCACAATACAAAACTTTTCAGAAGTGGTTCACAAAACAGGGTATATACCATTGAAGTAACAAAACCTTGTGCATACAATACTTAAACTAATGGCACAAAAGATCGAAAAATTGCAAATAAAAATGGGGCCAGTGGGCCAACTAATAAAATATATCCCAGCGGAGGTTTGGAAACAACTTTTCAACTTCAAAGTTCAAACTAGCATGGCTAATACAAAATTAAGAGCTAAAATCATTATCAAATGAATTTTGCATGTAGATGCTGATGGGATACTTACACAATATTAATATCATCACCGATTTCCACTGGCGCCAATTGATTGACAAAATAATAGATATCCCTCTGAAAAAGAAAAAAAATATACAAATTTTAGAATCTATAAAATATCAAGCTCACAATTTAGATTAGCTATTGAAAACAGATTTCAATATTACCATTATATCGTCCCAGGTAACATTAGAATGACTGGAATCTAGTACAATCTAAAACCAATCAACATAATGATGTGAGTGAAATTAGACAGATATAGGAAGAAAGTACACTAAATTTATCGGTGACTGGGAACATTTACCATCAGCAGTCGAGCAGCTTTTAAGCTTCCAAGAATGCGCCATTGTCGGGATTCTGCTGCGATGATCTTTTGGGAAGATTGCGTCTGAATTTTAAACCTCGGTCACATAACAGTTGAACTGGAAACAAATGAAGTAGTGAAGTATGCCAATAGCAAGAGGAACTAACTTTCTTCAAAAATACTACACGAAATCGATCGGAGAAAGGTTCAGTCTCTGGAATAGCATCAAGAAGTACACCAGTATAGAAGAAGCGGGATACTCCAGTTTCACCTAAAAAAAGCTTTACATGACGACCAGGTTCAAGCTTTCTAATGTTTCCTTTCACTCCTAGCTTCAGGTCTTCAAGTGAGTACCATGTATCAGTGCCATTGGAGTATTCTGCGCGGATAGTATTTTCTCTTTCAAGTGCTTCAAATAGTTCATGATCCTATAATGTGTTCAGAAAGTAAATGTATTTCTCAAGATTAGCCTTACCAGATTGTTTGGAATCTTGACCAATGTTCTTAATATTCAAGTTATTTCCTTCTTTTAAAGGGGAGTACATGGATAAAAAGAAACAGTTAAGTGCTTTCACCTGATTATCTGAGGATACTATCTGAGACACAACAGTTAAAATAGATTTCTCTGCGACCAATATATAAGCCTGCTTTTTGGTGGTTCCAGAAGATGCTTCGTGGGCAATGGAATAAATATTGGTTTTCCACCCAAATCGGAACTTTGAAAAAAGTAGACCTGAGAGAGTCATATGATTGAAATGAGTATCAAGTCTAAACACTCCATAGAAAGTGTAAAATTTAGTGCAGAGAGTTACATAAAATGAGATACTGAATAAAAATCCAACTCCTCCTATCTTCACCAAAATAATGAATAAAATAAGAGAGATGATTTCTTTCACCAATTTGATCATATAATCGGAGAAGCAATTACCTAGCACATGAGATTTTGCCAAGGTGAGACAAATATATCTTCCTCCAGCTTTTAATAGTCTTTTAACCTGTTAACAAGTCAAACATTTAACCATAACAAGTAACCAGATCGAAATTGTGTCATTATCAAACAAGACTATCATAAACCAAACCTCAGATATATATAGTATTCCTGATCTGAGGCCAAGCTCAGATTCCACCAGAGCATCCAATCCTCCCTTGTCGACGATGGCATCAAAGGTCCCATTTGCAAACTGAATCGAAAGAAATAGTTGTTAACGACTAGCACCATAAGGGTTATTATATATAGCAAATTCTGATGAAATAAACAAAACAAATGACAGTTTAGCACAGAATAGCCACTAAAACAAACACCTAACTGTGCAGTTAACTCACTGACCGTAATTGTACATCTAAGATAAACTTGTCTTATTGAACGCATACTCAGTCCAGGGATGGTGAGAAGTCTCTAATAAAAAGATCTGTAATCTTGTGTCACATCGATGAGTGCATCGGGATCATCGATTCCGAAGACTGTCAAAGTTATTTAGGCTAATTGACGTAAAACTATGTGATGTATCATTTGACATATGCACTAATACCAAAAACTCCAAATTCTTCCACATTATGAAACCATCAGATGCAGCTGCACTGATATCCTAAAATATCACCAAATTGCAGATGGAGCAAAGGTTCTTATGAGCAAGTTAGATGTACAATCAGCCACGTACAGCACTTTTTCCACATTAAATATCCTTAACCATATTTTCTGTAACCAGTTAACTCATCTACCATAAACATGCTCTTTCAGACAAGAGGGAGAACACGTTGCAGGCGTTGATTCCTTACGTAAAAAGTTGTCATCATTTAATTTGCTGATGTTCTCTGACCCAAATTTTCCACATCATAAAACCAGATTAGACACATCGCCACAATCTCAGCTTCGATAATTCAACATATATGCCAGCCCATAATTCATTATTCAAATATGCTAGGAGCTTTTGTAATTAAAATCAACTGACAATTAATTTGATCATCATGAATAAATCCCTCGGTACAATTGCATGGATTAGAAACTAGCAAATTATGTATGCCCAAAACCACATCGCCTAGGGTACTGAAACTGGAATCCAACAAACGAGTTTCGATATGAAATTTTTTTTGTTACCTGAATATTAGTCATGTCCATAACGCGCCACTTCATCAGCGGCCGCTCTTCCACATTCCTCCTCAACATGGCGGAAACGACCACCTTCGAGAAATCCACGTTTGTTATATTCTTAAACCCGTCGTCGTACAGATGCTCCGACAGCCTGGAGTTCCCGCACGCCGGCACCAAAATACTCAGCTCCGCCGGCGGCGGCGCTGACGGCGGAAACGAGAGATGGTTTCTGAGTAAGGCCTGGAGCTGCGGCCAGTCGGCGTACCACTCGGAGGAATCGTCGACGCCTTTTGAGGTGAAGAAATCGTCCGAACTATCCTGATCGGTGAAGTCTCCGGAGGCCACCGGCAGCTCGTTTGTCTTCGCGGTTTGTTGTTCCTCCATTTTCACGCGTCCAACGTGTTTCTGAGTGAAATGCGGTTACTTTTTGTGAACAGTCGAAATATATATAAACTATATATGTTATATATATATATATATATAATATTATAATATATATACTATTTTGAAGTTTAATATCCCGCTTAAACAAACCCTAACAAATTGCGGTCATATTCTAATTCCAGCAAATCTTTTCTTCTATTTATAAAAAGTACTAATGATTTAATTGAATAAATTTAATATTTTTTTCAAAATTGATAATCTATTTGATGTTATTGTTGTAGATGATTTGATACAATCGGTAAAATAAATTGTATCTAGAGATAAGCTGAATTGGGTATCGGAAAGGAGGCAAAAGAAGAGGGGAATTAGGATTCAAATTAGGGCTTCGAATTCAAGTGAAACGACGGCGTATTGATAATAGGAAAAGTTGGGCTGAACTGAATAAGTGGGCCAAAGAGTTATGGGCTACTGGGTAAAAAGAAGAAAATATCCGGTTCTACGAGGAGAAATCCACAGCTGATTAAACCCGCACAACAAACAAGCCACGTGTTATCTTTTTATTTGTAATTCAAGAATATGCTTATTAACAAACTTGTGAGCACACTCTATATGTATTGTAAATAGTTATATATACACATGTATGATAGGGATTTAACTAGGTGAATTTAACTGGGTGTAGCATCACAAAATCGGACATACTTTCTCCACCGTTTGTTTTTTGAAGTAATGTCGATTTATATTTTCCTTTTTGTAGTTAGCATGTACGTATAATCTCACTTCTCGTTTATGCTATTTAAGACACTTTCGATCCGTGATGTATTGAAAATTGACAAAAAAATTGCCCCTAATCAAATATTATTTAAAAAAAAAAAAAAGAATGCATCAGATTTCTAATACTCTGTATATGTTCATGTGACAGGCTTGATCAATTCTGAGGCATCTATAACTCTTTGCCCCCAATCATAATTTCCCAGCTTTAGCGATGTTGCAAGTTCGTTACAAGCTCTGGAAAGTTGGTCCTCTGTCACGGGAGATTCCGAGTTGAGTGCAAATATTACTTCATTCGCATCATCTTGAAGCTGGAGCGTAAATACATTTCTAAAGACCTGCAATTTTATGCACAATTTAGATATTAAAAAAAAATTCGGTTGATCGTATTTTTATGTTACTTTATGAGTTCTCACCTTCTTAAAACTCGAATAGAGTGGAAGCCTCACACCGGAGTAACAAGTGACCAAATGAACGATGTATAAACCGTCTTTAGAAAGCCATTTTTTTGCTTGCAAAAGAAAAGGTTCAACAAGAAAACATTTTGTGGGGCAGATCAAAGCAGCACTGCCAAAACGAGAGTGCAGGTAAACAAAAAAAATTAAAATCAAAATAAATAAAAGAGTGATGACAGAAGAAAAAATGAGAAGAATGATGTGTTGAAAAAGATGTATTACCCGACTTTTTTTGAGGTCACATCAACTACAAGTACGTCGAATTTGAAAGATGGGTTCCCTTCTGCATCAACTACAGGAACAATCATTCAATTACGTGTTACGTTGTAGAGCAAACGTTTACTACAAATAGTTGTTACTCCTTTTTACCTGCCGTAGAGGCCTTTTCGAGAAACTCGAAGGGATTAGTAATATGTACCTGAACACAGAAAGGGAGACGGAGGAAAAACCATCTTCAAGCTTTTGGTTTAACATGAAATTAAACAATGCAATCCCAAACAAACAAAATAGTAATGGCAATGAAATTATATTTGTCGCAGCAAGAATTAGGACATAACAGGATAAGGCATCAGAAATACATTTCCGTTCCTCTAAAAAATGGTTACGACATAACGGCATTGAGTATCAACATTGATACTCTTCGATACCGTGCAATGGTAATATTTCCTCATAATGGTGTAAGATATCCTTACTCCCAACTAGACTTAATATTTAATTAGTGAAAACGGCAAATCTAGAACATTACCTTTAAGCGATCATTTTCTACTAAACCAAAATAATTTCTAGCAATGCCCAAAACAACAGGATCTGCCTCAAGGACCTGTCAATTAAGAACTTCCATGAGGGCAAGATAGCAAAATAAAATGGTAAACAGCGATTCCGAATTTCATGACACCTCAATTTGACAAAAAGGTAGGCAATTCTTCATAAACATAGGAAGTAATCCTGCTCCAAGGCCAATAACCACTGTTTTGATCTGAAAAGAGGAAAATGCAAACTTCAGTTCAAGATGTTTCCTCAAACTGAAGCCATGGACCCAAAATCAACGATGATGACTGAATATTCGTTTTAAGTTATATAAATATCATTATTTAAGCTGACTAAAGTAAGATAACAGATACATGTCGAATCGGATGGCTCACCATTTTCCCAGATGAGGTAGATCTTTTCAAATGTAAAGAAATCAACATTAATCCAGAAATAATCCCATTATGATGTAAGCTATCCAAATAGTTGTGACAAACTTCCATGTCAGCGGATGCTGCCCATACATAATAGAAGAAATGACATAATATTAGTAAATGAAGGTGGACAAATAAAGTTACTCTTAATTCTCAAAGTAGATAGTAGTGCGTGTTGAAGTAAAATCATAACAGGAAACAGTGCAATCTGATGCCAGTGTAAAATTTTCAAAAGCATCACCAACATAAGGATAGAGATCAGACTCTCACCACGATACCCAGAAGAGTGAGAATCATAAATTTTCTGCTTTCCTTTCTTACTGGTTAAAACAGCTTCAGCTAGCACGGAACCCCGAATGATCAAGCGGCGGATTATCAAATCCTTGTATTGAAAGTGACGACTAAGAGCATCATCAATCTTTTCGAAGATCACATCATCCACAGCGATTGGACCATTGAAACCAGATGTAGCCTGGATAAACATTCAAGAAAGGAATATCAAAAAGAAAAAATAGAGATGAGAACATTGAGAGTAAGAGATGCAGAAATGAATCTCGTTTTAAACAAAAATTATATACTAATTGTTGAGTTTAAAGCTTCCTTTCGGTGAGATGATAAATAACTCTATTTGTATACGATGGCCTTCTTTTTCAGGTTGAAGTGTTAGTTGAGATTTTCAGGAACTCAAAGCAAAAGGCATGCATTTTATAGAATAGATACCCTCATCATCAATGAATGGTACCATACAAATAAAAAGTTCTCAACCCACATCCCAATTATCCTTTCCCCTCTTCTTTCACAGTCCATGGGATTCAGTAACCACCAACACAGAAGTCAAATGCCTAGCCTAGTTTCTTATAGGTATCTAGATTCTATAACTAGTTCTATGCATGAAAAAAAAAACCCCAATAAAATGACAACAGAACAAGAGGTAATAGTTCTTCAACCTGGTACCCCACCCTTCTCAGCTTAATCCCATCACTTGCAACCACAAAACTGCAAAAGACCCATTTGATAAAATCATATTTAGTCATATTCGTTAAATAAAGCAGGGAAAAGTGTAATGCACACACATCACAAATAATTGAATCCTTTCTGTTTTCTCATCCTACTAGTTTACCATAGTATAAACCTCGTAAGTAGAACAGAGACCCGAGAAGAAAGCGCAGATAAAAAGAAGTACAATATCTCAATGCAAATGAATATGACTGTACTGCTTCTACTTTCTCCCACTAGTCCAAAGCATCAAGTGGCAATATGAAGGCACACCTTCACAGTCCCTTAGAAAAGACTACAGACCTCGAACTTTAAAAACCTTCTTTTTAGTCAATTTTAAATTTTAGCCTGCCCAACATTACAATACTGAAAAACATAACATATGCAGGGTATTGCCTGACTTGGTACATTTGACCCATAGAAAGATATTCCCCATTGAAGTGAGAAACTTATGCAAAGAAGATTTTAAGAGACTGAAAAATGCGTACAAGCATGGCACCAACTGATGGAAACTAATAAGTGGTTGAACAATATACACACCAGCAATGAAATCAATTTTCACAAATAAACTATCTTAGCTGAGAAAAAACTTAAGAGCTAAAAGCATTATTAAGAGGGACTCTGATACTGGCTATCTACTGATGCATAAGCAGTCTTCGGTAGGTACTTACGGAGTATGAACTCCAACATAACAATGTCCTGGGGCCAACTTTTTGACTAGAGGAGAGAGATCACTCTAAAAATAAGAAAACCAATATTAACAATCACATTTAAAGCAAGCAAGCTGCTCTTCTTCCACTTATAGAGAATAATGTTGGATATTACCTGGATATCCTCCATGGGGAAATAAGAATGTCTGGGTTCCAACAGAATCTAAAAAATTGATTGAAATAAAGTATATGATTAAAAGATGTAATATAAAAGGACAAGATGAATGAAGATATTTCACTCTATTTTTTGTTGACTGAAAAGATTTACCATTAGTAATCGAGCAACCTTAAACTCTCGAACGAAGACCCATTGTCCTTCCTCTGATGACATAACCCACTCAAGAGTTCGCACCTGAATTCTAAACTTCAGCAGCATACTACTTGGAACAAATATAAATAATGTAACACATCATGCCAATACTGGGTGGAGTCACATAGCATGAAATGGGATAACTTCAAATTACTAACAAAGAACAAGAAAGCAATCAAAGTTCCTAGATCTAACCCAACTTCGAATAAAAATATCAAAGCTATTAAATGGCTATATTTATGTATATACAACCACAAGAGAGTTAAGGAAAGAAAAAGCATGCTTATTCTGTATTACCAAAATGGATGAATGTTGTCCGGGTTGACAAGTTGAATCAGAAAGTTAATTTGCAGGAAGTACATGAATCATTTTCCATACCCTATCCTACTATAAAACTAGAAAAGAAAATGAAACAAACTGCGATAATGTATACATTAAATACTCACTTAGAATTATCCTTTCGATTCGTTCATTCATGAAGCACAACTTCTTAATCAATTTGACTACTACTGTCTTCACATTTGTTTAAAATTAACAATAGAATCTCAAAAGATAAATAACAGGTTTTGAAAAATAGAGGAACTAACTTTCGGAATGATGAGTACAAGAAACTGATTGGAGAAATATCCAGAATCTTGCTGAGCATCAAGAAGTATGCCTTTATACATGAGACGGGATATTCCATAGTCACCTAACGTAAGCTGTAGCCTACGGCCAGGTTGAAGCTCTGAAAGGTTTCCTTGTACCCAAATATCTTCAAGTGGATAGAACAGATCATCAGCGGAACCGTTGTAAAGAAAGCGAAAAGCCGATTCTCTTCTAAGTGCTTCAAGGAGTGCTCGAGCCTAAAACATGTTGAAATATGAAATCTATTTCTCCATACATGACAATAAACCAAATTTAATGTTTAGTTGAGAATAATGCTGAAATCACTTAGCATAAGAAAGCATATAACAAGTAAGAGCTATTTATAAAAACTATCTTTTTATATTTATAAAATGTAAATATTTCTTAATGTGTCTCTACTTTGTGGGTATTTATTAAATACGACAATATAATTATTATTTAAGTAGATTTTATTTATATCAAACTGTAATGGTATTTTTTGTAATATAAACTTTAACTTTTGACAAAATATATTGTGAAGATAGATATTTTGAATCCTGAGTAGAAGTGTGTGTCTTTACCTGATTGCCATGATAGTTACTAAAATCCACGATTGGTGTTATCTGATAAATCAAAGTTGAACCATCTTTCTCAGCGACAACCATAAAGGTCTGCTGATCGAGGTTACTGGATGATGGTTCCTGATCAACGGCATAAAGATTCATTTTCCACCCAAACCGAAACTTTTGAAATAGCAGACCTGAGGAAAAGTCACGATGAGAGATAGTATCAAAGGAATAAATACTAAGTAAATATCCAGCTTAAGTATTTGCTCTCAACAGAGAATATAAAAGAAAGGAAAGAGATTGGAAGCAAAGAAGAGATGAGACACTGGCTAACGGCCATCATGCTTCACAGATTATAGGAAAAATACCTAACAATTTAGATTCCCCCAATGCGAAACAAATATATTTTCCTCCAACCTTTAGGAGTTCTTTTACCTGGTAATACACAAGAAGATACTTAAGTTTTGTTTACAAATAACAAGATCAGCAATGGAACTGTCACAAACCTTAGTTATATATAGATTAGGATGTATTTGACCAAACCCGGGATCCATCAAAACATCCCATCCTCCCTTATCAATGACAGCATCAAAGGTCTCACCTGGAAACTGAATCGAAGATAAAACTGTTAGAATGACACAAGATAGAGTTCCATTATAGTTTAAAAATCAATCAGAAACACAAAAATTGATCAATTGTTGAAGGTCCAATTGCACAATAATAACTATTTAAGAAAATTCTATAGGATGTATATCATACGTGTATTAGAAACTCGTTAACCTATAAAGAAACAAACTGGCAGCAAAAGTAATACCATGCTCAGAATAGACAAGAGAGTATTATTCTAATCAACAGGACAAACACTATCTGTTGTTTTTCAAGAAACAAACATGTATATCACAAATCACTGTGTTCAATTGCATAAGAAAATAAGAACAAAGAAAGAATAAATTCCTACCAACTTATCCCAAACACTGTTAACTTTATTCCCTTTTGCAAAACTCAAAATATGAAAAATTATAGCCAGAAGTTAGAACTACACAAAAATTAGCATTTCAGAGAAACGAACAATGCTGGTGCTATATTCCATTGGAGTAATCAGTCATTACCCGCTGAATGCTGAAGACACAAACCAGTATTCATCTCAGAACAACTTTTTCCACATTAAATATCCTAACCATATTTTTTTTACCAGTTCCACAAATAAGTGCTAATTAGTCCTCCTGCTCAACTAGCATACAAATTCTCTTTCACACAAACGGAAAACGCATTTCAGATCTTGCCCCCATCCTTCAATATTTATCATCACATGAGTATATTTTAAAGACAATTAAGAAGTTTGAATCTCCACCTCACAAAACGAGACTCTACATCGAGTCGTCATAGATATACATATTTTTCTTAATTTGATTATCTTAATAACGCTACACCATTACTAATTAAGAGATAATTTATCGGCGCACTTGCATGGGTTAAAAAAAAAATTGCGGATACATAAATCCAAAATCACATCGCCATGGCCACTGAAACTTTCAAATCATCAAAATTACCTGCATACTAGTAATATCCATCACGCGCCACTTCATCCGCGGCCGCGCCTCCACGTTCCTCCTCAACATGGTCGAAATAACCGCCTTCGAGTAGTCCACATTCGTTATACTCGTAAAACCAGAATCGTACAGATGCTCCGACAGCCGCGAGTCCCCACACGCCGGAACCAAAATATTCAGGTCCGCCGCCTTCACAGCCGGCTGCGGCGGCGTCGGGGGAGGGTTCGCCAGTACAGACAACGGGAAAAGGAGATGGGTGGTGAGTAAGGTCTCGAGTTGGGGCCAATCGGCGTACCACTCGGAGAAATCATCGCCGCCTCGTGAGGAGAAATAGATATCCCAGCTCTCCTTGCTCGTGAAGTTTCCGAAGGGCACCGGCAGCTCCTTTGGGTTTTGCTGTTGAATTTCCCTTTCCGCCATTTTCATGCGTCGCTTTCGATCTCCACGTGTGAGTGAGTGAATTGCGGTTATTTTTTGTGCACAGCTGTATTATATTATATACTTTCTCTCTCTACATATATATATAGAGAGAGAGAGAAACTAACAAATTCGATCATATTCCAATTCAAGCATTAGTGCTATTATTATTTATTTAATTGTTTTTAATATAAAATTTATAAATTCAAATAAAAAAAAATATTGGATTTAAAACCCTAGGTTGATTAAATGAAATGGGTGCAGTGGACTAAGTCAATGAAATTCAAAAGCTTTAAGGTTGGTTTTCTGGAGGGAATGAGCATGATTGGTGGATGGTGAAATAAAATGAAAATATATAATCCCTAAAATATTTTTAAATATTAGAATACTCGAAAAAGTATAATCGACAAATTGAATTATATTTTATCTAATCAAATCTCTATAATAAGTAAAATCATAATTACACATTAACACTAAATATCCTGAAATCACTTTCTCCGACCCTCTTCGACTCCGAAAATCCACCAATATTAATATCAATTTTCCTTTTCTTTTTTGTTGCTAATTTGCATATATAATATGATTTAACAACTGCAGTAAAAAGTATTGTTCTCCGAAATACAAACAAACATTGGGCAGGCAATATTTAGAAGTGTTTTCATATATATTTTTATTTTATTTTGGGAAGAAAAAATTAGAGTAATTTGAAAAACAAAATAATATTTATTAATTGTTTGAGTAAATACAAAATTGAGAATATTCCATAGAATCTAAAAGATTCTATTAAATTTGAAACCGCAAGGGTGGACGTGTAAGAAGATTTATAGTTGAGGGTGGCCATTGTAATTACCCAAACATAAGAGGGTTTTCGTAATTAAACCATACTTCAGGGGCTTTAAGAAAACATAGAATCCCTAAAATGAAAACGTATAAATAGTTGAGAAAACCCACAAAAACAACAGCAGCATAAAAAAAGAAAAAGGAAAATGGGTGGAAGAACAAAAACGGCAGAAGAAAACAGACATATTCCCATAGATTTACTAACAGAGAATATTCTGCCATGGATTCCAGTGCTTCACCTGTTCAAAAACTTCAGGCATGTTTCCAAAGAATTGCTCCAATTGATTTCCAGCCCCAAATTCATTCCGATTCATCTGAAGAAGTCACACGAACGCAGCAAATCAGGAAGCCGATTCCTCATCACATTGCCCGACGGAGTCGTGGATTACGATGGCGGCGCCACCACCAAAATCCCTTACCCGCCTGGCTTTTCCGGCTGTTGCTCAACAATCCTCGGCTCGTGCGACGGCTTGATATGTTTGGTGGACAAAGACATCAAAAAGGTTTCGGTGTTCAATCCGTCAACGAGAGAGTACCAAAAACGCGAAGCGAAGAGATTTCTATGGCTGTCGTGGTTTAAGAAGGTAAGCTGGTTCGGCCGCCACCCCTGTACTGGGGAATACGTTCTGGTTGTGGGTTCGGAAATACGGCCTCAAGGGGGGTTCATCGTCGTCGTGTACAAGTTCAGTTCGCCGGATTCTTGCTTCTTTCAACAGCGAGGCTGGCGTGGTTTCATATTTTTCGATGCAATCGGAACCCTCTTGCATGGAGTTCTTCATTGGCCGGCATATATCGAAAACAGGGCCCACCACGTAGTTTTCGCGTACGATTTTCGTAGGAACGAAATCATGGAAATTCCTGCACCGGGTGAGTTTCCGTTTACGTTGGGAGTTGCGGGCGAGTGCTTGTTTGCGATTTTTAGGAATGCAGATAAGGTGTTTGAGTTGTGGACTATGAGAGAATATGGGGTGGATGGATCTTGGACTAAATACGCAAACATCGAGGGATTCGATTGCAATTTTCAACTCTTGGTGCCTTTAGGATTTTCTTCAAATGGCAATGATCTCATTGTGGATGCTGATGGGATGTTCTTGAGCAAGTATAGTTTCAGGGATAAGGCGATTACTGTTCTTGAAACCGAGAGATTAATTCCGGAAGATTCCACGAGAAAAGTGGTTCGTAGTGTTACTGCGACTGAGGCTCACAAGTTTGACAAGTTAGAAAATTGTAAAACATTTGCGTTTGCTGATAGTTTCGTCTCTCCACACCTAATGTATAATTGAGTTTCGAGTTTCGTTCAAGTTAGAAAATTACTCTCATGCTGATAACGCGTCGTGAAACGAAACCTTGAATTGACGATATAACTCGAAAAAAACAGTTGCATCTAAATTCACATTACCGAAAACGGCGAAACAGGATCTTCGATTTCAATCCAACTATACCCCGCTTCCTTCCTCATATTCCTCTGCTTCATCACCTTCCTAATATTACCCACATCTTCCCATTTGCCATTACATGCGTAAATATTCGACATCATCACGTAAACAAATTCACTATCACCCTCAAATTCCACCACCTTTTTAGCAGCTGCTTTCGCCACCTCCACATTCCCACAACTCACGCACGCACCGAGCAATGTCTTCCAAACCATCCCACAAGAATCGAACCCTAATTCGTTAATCATTTCCATGGCCTTATTCACATCACCTTCTATCCCCATAAGCCTTATGATTAACGAACAATGCTCTGCCGTTGGATCAATCATGTAATCATTGATCATCATTTCAAAGTACTTCTTTGCAACTTTAACAGGAATTCTACTATGCCAACATGCCGACAAAACATTCAGAAAAGTGATTTCGTCGGGTTGAAAATCTTTCGTTTTTTGCATCTTCTCAAAGAGCTTAATTAATTTTTCGGAATCGCCGTTGTGTGCGTAACCAGATATCATAGCATTCCATGTGACGAGATTCTTTTCTTGTAGTGAATTAAACAATCTTTCGGCTTCTTTTATTTGCCCACATTTGGAATACATGTCAATAAGAGCACTCCCCACAACAACATAAATGTCCAAACCACTCTTCAAAGCACAACAATGTGTTTGAACCCCCCATGTGATGGCTGATAAACGTGCAATGCCGCTCAAAATACTCGAAAACGTGAACTCATCCATACGAACACCATTACGATGCATTTTATAAAAGAATTTCATAGCTTCTCTGCTTCTACCTCTGTTTACAAACCCTGATATTATGGAATTCCAAGAAGAGGAATTTGGGTTTGGCATTATCGATAATGCGGCAATAGCGTCTTCGACGAGACCAAACTGCGCAATGCCGTGAATGAGTTCGTTGTATGAGACTGTGTCGGGATTTGGCATTTGATAAAAGATGGAAAATGCTTGTTCTAGCTTCCCATTTCTTGCATTTGCTGCTAGAACAGAATTCCATGAAATAATATCCTTCTCAACTGTATTTTCGAAAACCTTCATTGCCTCCTTAACGTAACCGCACTTTCCGTACATGTCAATCAAGCAATTCGCAACGAAAGTGCTGCACTCAACGCCATATTTGACAATCTTCGAATGCAACGACCCTCCCACTCGCACTAAACTCAGTTTCCCACAAGCAGATAAAGCAGCGGTAAACGAATACGAATCTGCAGAAAGATGGGAATTTTCCAGCTGAACAAAGAGTTCCAACGCTTTTCGAAACTGCCCAGAATGAATACACCCTGAAATCAACGAATTCCAACACACCACACTTGGTTCAGGAATTTCATCGAACAGCCTGTGGGCATTCTGGAAAAGCTCAAGCTTCACGTAGAAGTTAATCAAGGCTGTGGAGATAAAGATGTTAGAGCGGAACCCAGATTTCAGAATGTGACAATGAAGCTGTTCGCCATGTGAAAGAACGCCACCATTCGTACAGGAGCGGATTAAGTGGAGTAGAGTATATGCATTTGGGTTGGAACTAAAGCGGAAATGGTGAGAGGCTGATATATCTGAATATTTGCCATCTTCTGGTATGCAATTTGTCAATGTATTGAAATTCTTTTCAAGAACAACGCTATGTCTACTAATTCTACGGAGAAATGGAGTAGTTGATGGTAGATTTACTAACATCAAATCGGTCGATGTTTTGGAGTTGCCGATGAAATATATGTTTACAGTTTTTTAAAACCTGCAGGAAAGGTGTTTGAGTTATGGACTGTGAGAGAACATGGGGGAATTAGAAAGAATCGAATTTCCGAATCCCACAAATTTCCGATTTCGGAGTAATCATAGAAATTCGTGCACCGGGTGAGTTTCCTTTTACATTGGGAGTGATGGCTGAATGCAATATATGGTGTTTGAGTTATGGTCTATGAGAGAATATGGTGTTATGGGACCTTGGACTAAATACGCAAACATAGAGGTATTCTATTGCAATTTTTGACTCTTGTTGCCTTCAGGATTTCTTCGAATGGCAATGATCTCGTCGTAGATGCCAATGTGGTATGTTGTTGGCAAAGTATAGTTTTAGGGATAACAACATTGTTCCATAGTAAGTAAAAGCATGAACAAATTTGGTATAGAACAATATTCATGCATTTTTTTGTGGAAATAACTTCAGATGAAACAAAGAGATATGCGTCGTAATCGAACTAACATCCATTATTCCACGATATAGCTAAAAACACACGTCAAAAACGAAAAATCAAAGATTAGAAATCCAACAAATTATACCTAGATCAAGTAATTTTCAGTGGGAGTGTATAAATATGCTACATTACCAAAAAACACAGCTATTTTTACAGTCAAAAACTTAACCACTACCAATCAACCAAATCACTCCCCATCTATCATCATTTACATAATATTCTTCAAACCGAAAAAAGAAAAGACAAAAATGAATCACGACAACTTTTTTTTTTTTACCAACCATCACGAAATGTCCCCCAACTTTCTACTGGGCTTTCGGTTTTTCGATCTTCACATAGGGGAAAAAACCCAGAAAGTGCTTCACTTGTGGGACCCACCCTCTTTGTTGAGCACGGCAGTACATGAGGAATGTGTTAGCATAGTACGAGTTGAACCCCATGAAAATATGCCACAAGGCATGGCCTTGTGGATTAAAGTACCACTTTGAGATGCCCTTGCACAATAGACGGTCAACTAGCCAGCAGAGAGTGCCGAGAGAAAGAGTTGCCGCGTAAAGTTTTGCGAGGCGCTTTGCGGATTTGTCCTCTGTGTAAATGTAGTACTTGTACATTCTGGGAATGCAGAGAAGACAGAGAAGGGCGTAGTGCACCTTGAAACCGATATCGAATCGGAGTTGCGAGTGTGCAAATGCGAATCCTAGTCCATAGAGGAACAAGAAAGTGGGCATTGTGCTTCGGTAATGCCAATCCGGAGAGTAGAGGATGTAGATGTAGAGGAGCATTTCCCACACCATAGGTGTTTCATCTCCTTGTTGTTGCCTGAGAAAGAATTCAAACTGATTTAAGGCAGTTTTTTATTTATTTTTTTATATTCAAACACGTATGAAAAAGAAGCTATATCAAAATCAAGCTACTTTAAACCAACTGCTTCGTTACATTTATAGTGATCTTAACAACTTGCAAGTTGAGGAAAGTCATTTTAGAATAATGTAAGACAATTCTTTGACTACATACGCTATACTGCACCAATGTACACTTAACCGCATCGGTGAAATAAGCACCCAAATATTATCAGATAACTAGAGACTATGTGTTGTTCCATTTATACTAGACCAACTTCAAGCAAGGTCATGCACACAAAAAAATCAAAAAGATTAATCTTCGGAAATAAGTAACGTGCACACAAATCTAACGTACCATTCTAGCTAAAGGGTGTGCACTCCTAAGGTGGTTCTCTTAATGGTTGACTAAAAAAGCTGAGGGAGGTGGTGTTCATGCATGTTAAATATTTTAGGTTAGAATTGTTTAAAATCTACAGAGCAGATAGGTTTTACCCATAATCGAGCGATATATAGCACCAAAATCTAGTCTCAACCCAGAAACAAAGACTTCAGTCTAGATTCCCCTAGTCAAATGTTATGGATTTTCCCCCACCATATTAACATATTATGGAATAACAAGTTAATCAATTATACTTTACCCAACCAAATTAACAATCAGCGTAGTATAATTTTGTTGTAACCCTTGTCGTAGCATTATCCAAAGAGAATTATACCCGTAAAAATGACAATAGCAAGAGCAATGATTTGCATGTTCTCGATTAGCAGAAAAATTAAACTTCCAGCAAAGCGAGATTTTTAGCATGTGGTTATCACTAACATATGTTTTATAAAAGATGTGGCTCGTCAATTATACATCTCCTTAAGTAATATAAGGTGCAGGATCATCCAGCTAATATGTTTGCTAAGTTTATGCTCAAATAAAGCAGGATCGACTTTAGGGAGCAGAACTAGGTTATTGATTTTAGTGATTTGTCCTTTGACTATGTTTACTCAGCATACTTACCACGTATGAGAACATAAAGTAAAGTGATGAAAGTAAAAAACCATGAACTTTTAAACATTAAGTAACAAAGTTTAGATTCCAGCCAGTGAATTTCCACACAATATACCAGCTGACAGCAGCACTTAGGAAATATTATAATCCAATAGTCCTTATATAAGAACATACAAAGAGTTCCTCAAAGCTCTCTCTATCAAGGAACACTGCAGAACTCAATTTTGAGATAGAATATGGAGAGTCAACTCCAGCACATCACATGATTGTATCGATGCAAGTGAAGTAAAAGATTACATATCTTCGAAAACTCCACATATATATTATATATGAATTAATATAGAAGAATGGTGCCTATATAGTATAAGATTTAGTGTCTTTCCTGCTCTCAAATAACATTTGAAGAGAGATACTCATTTTGTTTAGTACTTCTTGCATTTATCATAAGCATGGATATGACAAAAATCAAAACAAAGCCAATAAGTTTGAGTCACAAAATGGTATACTAGCATCATCATGTAAGTTTCTTGACATGTTGGCAAAACGCACACCCTACCAAAGATTTTCCATAAAAAAATGCATCAAAACTTCTATGCGCATTACTTGCCTAACTGAATCAATAAAGTAGACAGACAAAGACATAAAGTTAAAACTTACAGCCGCTGCAACGTGGCATGATATAGCATGCTCCCAATAGCAAGTATCATATTTGATATGTGAAGGACACTGAACCTTTTCTCAAAGCGCTGTCTCAGTGAATTCACAAGACCAATCAGTGCTAAAAGGATGCATGGAACATTAGACATGGTGTTGAAAAGTTCGGCAAAATAGGAAGAGTATTTATAATTCGGCTCACACCAGTCCTGCTTAGATGTGACAGGCCCCCAGAAACTTGACATTCCATCTGCCATTTCTCAATAATTACGTCTGAGGTAAATAATTTCCACAAATCCTACAGATAACAATACAAGTTAAATATATGTTAAAAGGTAAACATTGGTTATAATAAACTTACAAGTTAAATCAATTTCATGATCAAAACCATTGCAAAGTCCTGATGTTAAATTCAAGCTACTGACTTCATGTTAAAGATACCCTCCAAATTTAATACATATTAAAAGGAGGACTTAAATGTATTTGTACGGAGATTCTAGCAAAATCTGTTCACTGACATTGACTTCTAGAATAGAGCAAAGCCTGAACATAACCTAACAAGGATAATAAAATCTCGACACAACAAGGCACTGAGGTTTTTTAGCATAAAGAAACACACATACTATTTATTTCTTTATACGACCATATATAAATTAATTAATGTTAATACAAGCTTTTATCTGTCCCACTATTAAAAGAAAATATCAACATTCATCAATCTCAAGAAGCAACTGGATATCATATCATCACTATCACATAACAGTTTTTTTACAAAATACCGGTGCCTCAACCACAGACACATTTTTCTCAAATTTTCACAGGCGATTAAAATGTCAAAAACTTTATATTCACATCGAATACTCCGTTCATTCGAGATGCGACAGTACTCTTCAAAGGGTTACAATATTCCAGAACAAAATGATGTAATTTCTGAGCCATTCACCCAAAAAATACTATGAGCAAAAGAAGCACAATTCGTCACAAAAAACCAATAATTCATTCCAAATCAAACAAAAACATTCAAACTCTAATCCACAAAACAACACAAAACTAAACCAATTTTATTCCACTGAATAAATTCCTAAAACCACAAACCTAGTCTGCAAAATTGCCAAAATTATTCTTCATATTCAGTATTATTCATCCGATTCTGACATAAACAGAAACACACACACACACACATACCAAAAAATAAAATTAAAAAATTCCAGTATGAAAAAAAGCAGGCAAATCGATTCGGCGATTGCTTTCACCGCCAACAAGCAACACAAAAAATCGATAGATACCAAAAATAAAACTGACCTAAGAACTCAGATCTGAGTCGCGGCCGCTGCACGCACCCAGAAGAAACCTCCCAATTCGTGCAAAGATATATAGATATCACCGCTGTATACGCGTATCTATATATGTTCGTGCGCGCGAATCAAAGTACATGGCCGGATTCCCTTTTTTTTTTTTTTTTTTTTCCTTTAATTTTATTTTTCTCTTAATTTCAATTGGGAATTAATTAATAACGGATTATATTGTATTCATATATGGATTTCTCCTTTTAGAGACGATACCTTAAGTGGGAGTGTTCCACACGCGCTCGACCCAAAAGTTGTAATTTGGAACAACTTTTTCTCATTTCCTATTTAAAGAAAATGTTTTTTCAATTTTTCAATTTTTTTTTTTTTTTTGAAATTGGAAGAACATTATCAGATTATATCATTAATTGTATTTACTTTCTTTTGTTGACAAAGAAACCTTGAATCATATATGTGTGAGTAAATTTTATGCTCTGGTAATTTATTTTTCTTGTTCTCCTACAATAGTCTACAAACTATACGAGATGTACGAATAGTATTGGATAAAATTTGTATGATAAGTTCGTCGGAACGAAACCTCAAATGGGTATAAATGTAATTAGGCTATGTAAGTTGCATATAGTTACCAACACCAGTGAATTTGCTGAAGAATTATAAACTATGTAGCATGTCGTGTCCGACAGCTGAGAACACCTGACGAACACCTAATGAACCATTTTATAATTTTTGCAAAGTTATAAAAACTTTTCAATAGAAAATTTCCAAATATTTTTGTTGCTTCCCTAATTATTTACATGATTTAATGATCAATTGCAAATTAATAGTTGATAATAATATTTATTTTGAATATATTTGTACAAAAATATACAAAAAATAATTTATATATAGAAAAAATTATACATGTTTATGCAGCATATTTATAAATATACATCTACTCTTTTAATATATGCACGTTTCTCTCAAGTTCTCGTATCCTCATTTTTTAGCAGTGTTCTAAAAATCGGCCGAGGCGGCCGATTAATCGGTCGACTCGGCCGAGGCGGTCCAAAACCTTTACGATTTTAGTGTAAAGGTTTGAAAAATCGGTTTTTTGCCTGTGAGGCGGTTTGAGGTGGTCCGAGGCGGTCTGAGGCGGTCTGAGGCGGTCCGAGGCGGTCAAACCTTTGAAGCGGGTCAAACTTCGGTGGCAAAAATCGGCAAAAAATCGGTCAAAAATCGGTTTTAGTTTTTTTTTTTTTTTTTTTTTTTTTTTTTTTTATTATAAATCAAAATAAAAGTTGGGATTTTAATAAAAAAAAAAAAAGGAGTTTATGCTTTATTTTGTTTATGTTAATTATTATTGTTAAAGAACTAATGATGTATGCCAATAATGTATGTAAATTCAAAAAAAATTGCTTTGCAATTTATATTTTATAAGGATATTTATGTATTATGATCTTATTATTATTAAACTTTTATTATATTAATAGAATATATACATGATGGAGATATAACTATGTTTAAATATTTTTTTATCTATGTTTTGAGTATTTATAAATAATATCTACAAATATATTATATTAAATTTTAAAAACCGATTTATTTCCGATTTACGATTAATCGTGAGTCGGTGCCTGACCGACTCGGACCCGATTACCGCTTTTTACAACCTTGTTTTTTAGACATTCCGTTGCCCCGGTTCCGTGTCCGTGCTACATAGGTTATAAATCAAAAGACAAACTAAAAAAAAGAAGAAAAAAAAACATAAAACCCGAAAAGAAAGTGAAACTCATTAACTCATTCATATATTATTACCTCCGGAGGGGCCAAGCTATGGACGTACGAAATTGCGTTAGAATTCCAAAAATCGTGAATCATAAAAGGAGCACTCGAATCATAAAAGGAGCACTCTGCCTTGTCCTTGAAACTCTATCACCATTGAATTCAAGAGGTTCCCTATTTCTTTAAAACAAAACAACTTATAATCACCATTGAGTTCTTGATTAATTTCGCTAATTTTAATTGAATCCAACTTATATACTCCAAAGTTGATAAAACTCCGTTGATATGAGCCCTGATCCTGTAGTCAAAATGTACTTTCCGGTGGAAGGGTCGCGGCCGAAGCAAATTGCGTAAATCAACAAGAACAAACGAAGTATTCGTAATGGTCGTATGCCCTACTTTCTAGTGGAGGGATTGCACGCAATTTGGACTAAAAATCAAACCAAACTGCTCGATACTCGATTTGCGATTGCATAATACAACAAATTAGTCACAACATAATGTAAAACAAACTTTTCCAATTATGTTTTGGTAAGAAACAAACTTCAAAGAAGATTTAGATAAATGTAATTCAACCAAACCAAAATGAACCTATAAAGAGTACTTTATTAAGAAGAACATCGGAATACTTGTATGTCAACGAGATGAACTTATTTCACCAGAAAACGAGCAAAGCATCAAACGAAATGAAACTCATTCATTCAAATATTACCTTTGCAGGGACCAAACTATCTACGTACGAAATCGCTATAGATTCTCGAGAATCGTGATTCTTAAGAAGGGTAATCTTCTTCTCCTTGAAACTATACTTTACCACCTTCTTCCGATCAGCATCCACAATCAGTTCATCGCGATCCGAAGAAAACGCCAACGGCACCAACAATTGAGTGTATTTAAATCCCTCAGTGCCTCCCTCAATGTTCGCGTATTTAGTCCAAGATTCCTTAACCCCATATTCTCTCATAGTCCACAGCTCAAACACCTGAGCTGCATTCCCAAAAATCACAAACAAGCACTCATCCACAACTCCCACCGTAAAAGGAAACTCACGCGGCGCAGGAATCTCCAGTATTTCGTTCTTCCCGAAATCGTAAGCAACAATTACGTGCTTCTTTTCGAAATGCGGCTCGTTCATGGGCTGAGTACACGCCGCCCAATGAAGAGCTCCGTGCAGGAATTTGCCGACGGGATCGAAATACTTGTAATCGCGGCCGTGCTTCTTCTGATGAATAATCGACCGGGATTTGCGGGCAGCGTGCGTCTTCAGCTCGTACACACGAATGTCCACGTGGCTTCCCTGCAACCGCGATCCAATCACGAGAACGTATTCTCCGGTGCAGGGGTTCCGGCCAAACCAGCTCGCGTAGTTCGTCAAGAACAACCACCGGAATTTATCCGCCAGGCGCAACTCGTATCTGTTCATCGACGGATTGAATACCGAGAAGCGCTGGTTAGCGCCTTCGTACAAGCAGATCAAGCCGTCGCACGAGCCGAGGATAATTGGGCAGCTGTCGTATCTGTGAGAAGAAGAAGGAGGGTAAGGGTAGAATCTGGGATCCTTGGTGGCGCCAGGGGCATAGTTGTAATATGTCATGGCGGTGGGATCTGCGATGATGATTCGGATCTGAGTCTCGTCGGCGGTAGATCTTTTGAGATGGATCTGAATAAATTCAGGGCTGGAAATCAGCCGGCGCCATTGTCGGGAAACGAGCCTGAATATTCTGAAGAGATCCGTCGCCGGAATACGCGACAGAATCTCATCTCTCAGCAAATCCGCCGGAATACGAGACAGAATTTCACATCTCGGGGAATCCGCCGGAATATTCCGATTTTCTTCCGTTGTGGTAGCCATCTTTTGTTCTTCTAGGGCTAGGGCGCAGATTAAAGATTTGGGGATTTCAACAGTTTATATATATATATAGTAAGTATATATGTATGTATATATATAGGTTTCGATTGGGTCTCAAATTTATTGGGGGTGGGCCGGTGGGGGAATGTAAGTTTTGGGTTTAAAGTAAATATAGAATTTATTCATAAAATATTTTTAGGGTGGTGATAAATGCAAGACATGTATTAGTAAATGTAGAATATTTTATTTAAAAAAATCAAATGCTAATAAATATCCTATTTTATTTTGTCAAAACCTCTTTTTTAGAAGTTTTTAACGACATGGAGAATATCACGCGAAGAGTTTTAATAAACATAGATACTTTATTTAAAAATTCAAAATTTAATACTCCCCCGTCCTAAATATGTGTCATTTTTCACCTTGGCACAAATCTTCAGAATTTCTATAAATATGTCTTGATTTTAGGAAAATATATATTGATGGACCAAAATACCCTTGTTTATTAATTAATACAGGAAGAGTGCTATAGAGTAAATAAGAGTAAAATTGAAAAATAAGCAATTAATGCAGCATTGGAATTGTAAAGTGACAGATTAATATGGAACAAATAAATTCTCAAAAGCGACAGATATTATGGAACAGAGGGAGTATATCTCATCTTATTCTTTCAAATTCTTTTTTATAAGTCTCCATCGACATAACTTTGAAAGAATATTACACAATTAATCATCATTAATCAACAAGAACATGGATTTACTGGTTTTGGAGGATGATACGGTTGAAAGTGAGGTAAAAAAATCATTTCGGTGCGAAAAATAAAAAATTTCTTGTTTTATGTGCCAAATTTTCATTTTTTCTGTTTTTTGTGCCAAATTTTATAATATATATTAATTTTGTTACTAATTTGGACCGGAATTATCTCAAGACATTTAACGAAGTCGATTCTAGTGAATATTTTCATTGGAGTTTATTCAGATGTGTTCGAGATTGAAAATTGTAGAGAATAAATGTAGTTTTGTAAACCGTTAATGAAAAATAATGGATGCGAATTAATTTTTATAGTAAAATATCTGTAGCTACTAAAATACGGATAAAAATAAAAATTAAAAAAAATATCCTACATTTACTAAAAGCCGTTCTGTATTCATCATTTCCCATATTTTTAACATGATAATATAAATATTTTTGTATTTTTTTTAATTATCTGTCCATTTAGAATTTCATATCAACACGCAATGACCCGTTTAAAAAAAGAGCACTCGTATTTTTTATTTTAGGCTATGTTGCACGGACACGGATACGTGGACACGGCGATACGCGGATACGGACACGGTGATACGACATTTCCAAAAAACTAAGATACGGACACGCGGGGATACGCGTAAATATAAAAAATATAGGGGTATATTTACAAATAATAAAAATATAGGGGTACATTTATAAATTATAAAAAATATGTATAAGTCGTCATCGCATAAGAGAACCGCTCGCCCTTGTTGCTCAGGTTCTTGGTCACCGTCGCATGCTAGACTTTTGGAGTTTTGGGTGGACTCACAAAGAAAACAGAGAAAATGTGTATTACAAATAAAAGAAAATGCGCATTTTTTTTATTAGGGTTTTCTTTAAGAGAAGTATCCCAACTTTTTTAAAATTGTGGGCAGTTTTTTATTAGGGTTTTCTTTAAGAGAAGTATCCCAACTTTTTTAAAATTGTGGACACTGCCCGACACGGGTGTCCTACTTTTAACGAAATTACGACACGGCCCGACACGGGTGTCCGAGAAGTGTCCGGGTGTGTCCGAGTGTCCAGATGTCGGATACGGGGACTCTTCACCTTCTAGAAGTGTCCGTGCAGCATAGATTTTATGTAATTATATTGGAACGGGAATCGGGTACAGATTCATATCCAATTATCGGAAAAAAGGATCGTCCCGACTTATCAATAAACTATAAATATATTATCTGAGGGGTGTAAACGAGTCGAGCTGGTGTTGAACTTAGTTACACGCACACGCACACAAAAAATACATTTCTGAAAACAGACTCTCGGACACACACAAAATACACCAAAAATGCTATCACATAGACACACGAAGTCGAACTGTTAGGCGGACCGACAGATCACGAACACACTCGAAACTTATTTATAATTCATTCTAACGAACTCTTAGCTAACTTTCCCGATCAAGTGTCGGTTAAGAAGAACCTCAGATACTTGTATGCCAAGAGACGAACTAATTTTATTAAAAAAAACCAGCAAAAAGATCGAAGAATTTTTATTTCACCAATCAAAATAAACTAAAAGAACTAAAAAAAAAAAAAACCCTCTAGAAAATTAAACGAAACTCATTCGTATATTATCTCTGGAGGGACCAAACTATCGACATACGAAATCGATTTAAACTCCTGATCACAACGATGATTCTTAAGAAGAGTACTCTTCTTCTCAACGAAACTATACTTTTCCACCTTCTTCCTATCCGCCTCGACAATCAGTTCATCCCCATTCGAACAAAACCCTAGCGGCACCAACAGTCGAACGGACCCGAATCCCTTAATGTTCGCGTATTTAGTCCACGATTCCTTAACCCCATATTCTCTCATAGACCATAACTCAAACACTTGATCTGCATTCCTAAATATCACAAACAGGCACTCATCCATAACTCCTAACGTAAAACGAAACTCACCCGGTGGAGGAATCTCCACTATTTCGTTCTTCCGAAAATCGTACGCAACAATTAAGTGCTCGCTTTCGAAGAGCAGCTGATTCCTATCGAAAGGACAAGTGCACACCGCCCAATGAAGAGCTCCGTGAAGGAGGCTGCCGACGGGATCGGAATAACTGTAGCTACGGCCGTGTTTCTTCTGATTAATTATCGAGCGAGAATTACGAGACGCGTGAGTTTTCAACGCGTACACGCGAATGTCCACGTGGCTTCCTTGCAGCTGCGATCCAATCACAAGAACGTATTCTCCGGTGCACGGGTGCCGGCCAAACCAGCTTGCGTAGTTCGACAAGCACAACCACCGGAATTTATCCGCTAACCCTAGATCGTACTTTCTAGTGGACGGATTGAAGACGGCGAATTTTCTGTGGCCTTCGTCGTATAAACAAATCAAACCGTCGCACGAGCCGAGGATCACTGGGCATCTTACGGAAAATTCACTAGGGTAAGGGATTCTCTTGCCGGGAGAAGGGGGTTTCATGGCGGGATAATAGAATCTCTTGCGGGGAAAGGGTTCCGTTACGGGGGAATTATCGCAATCGGTCATCGTAATAGGCTCCGCGACGAGGATTCGGGTTCCGTCGGCGCGTTGATTGGATCTGTTGAGATGGATCTGAATAAATTCAGGGCCGGAAATCAGTTGGCGCCATTTTTTGGAGACGAGCATATGATTTTTTAAGAGATTGATCGCCGGAATTCGAGACAGAATTTCATGTGTCAGTAAATCCGTCGGAATATGCTTCTCTTCTTCTGTTGCGGTAGCCATCTTTTGTTGTTGTTGTTGTTGTTCTAGGAGGCTCGTAGTACATAATATATATATATATAATAAAAATTATAGCGTGCGTGTATAAAATATTTTATTAAATAATTAATATCTGTTTTAATTATGTTTTTATTATCATTTAATTAAATATTTTCAAAGAAATATAATTGTTGCATAAATAATTTTAGAGACCTAAGAACATAAATTGGCCAATTTTGTTTAATAATTTCGTTTCCTAAAAAGAAATTGATAATATGTACGTCATCTTATATGAAAGTTTAAATATCTTGTAATAAAATTTGGGAATTGTTTTTTGCGGTCTGAAAATTGTTATTTGCGGTTTCTAACAAAACCCCCCAAAAAATACTTTATTTCATTAAAACTCCAAAACTTTCCAAAAAAATCCAAAAACCCCTCAAAACGCGTAAAAGCTCAACTTGGGCACCGATTCATGCAGTGCACGCCCAAGTTGGGCGTGCAAGCTGCATTTGGGCGCCCGAGTTGGGCGTCCAGTGCCAAATTTTATTATTATATTTTTTTTTTGTGAAAAAAAAGCCCTACCATTCGATTTGTAGGGTTTTTTAACATGAAATTGGTTCCGTAATCGACCTACCCAATGCATATTACACATAAAAGAGTCAAAATTAAATCAAAAAATCGAAGCCCAACCCTTTTTCAAGCTTGATTTCGAATTTTCGATTTTTTTTTTGCTATTTGCAGTTTTGGGGGGTTTTTTGATATTTTTAAAAGTTTTGGGGGGTTTTGTTATAAACCGCGAATAACAATTTTGTGACCGGAAATAGCATTTCCGTAAAATTTTCAATGCAAAAAAAAAAAAAACTAAAAAAATTAAAATATTTAAAAAAAAAATGAAAAAATAGAAATAACTTAGAACACATGAAATTATGCGACTCTTATACGGTTAACAAATACCCGGTTAACAAATACCCGGTGTACCATATAACTTCCAAACATTCACCAAACGTCAACATAGCTTCCAAAAATCACTCCACCAATTTCGCAAATAAGAAACATATTTCGAGTATTTCAATGTGCGAAAAACTAAACTGAAGACAAACAAAAAGAAAACTCTAAATTTCTTCCAACTATTTATTTTCTTACAAAAAAACCATTTATTAAGTAGCTAAATTTGATATCACATTAGCGACCGTTTAAGATAATACATAGTTGAGAGTGTGATTGTAAATAAAGTTTTTTGTTGTAATTTGACCATACCTTAGACGGTGGACGTAATTTGCCATGTTCAAATAATCAGAAAACATCGACCGTTCCCAAAACAAATTTTTTTCTCGTATAAATTTATTCCTCTATTTGTTTGAAAAATATTTAACCATGTTAAAATAAAATAATAAGATAGCTTACTTATCTTCAATTCTCCCACAAATTTATTCCCGGATTCGAATTTAATTACGTAATTCATCGACTTTACTATACCCTCCCTGATTGGTAAATTGATTTTAGAAATACATACAAGTCACAAGTCTTGTTATTTCCAGGCTAAAGCAATCGAAATCCTAACTTCATCTATATAAGCCAACAATGCAAATGGAGAGGAAAAATGCGAACTGATTCATTGGATAACGGTAACAAGTTAAACTCAGACGGAGCAGAAATTTTCAAAATTTCAAACGTGAATTACCGTGCGTGAAACTCTGCACCAATAGCATTCCAGCAAATGCAATCAGTTCTTCAGGTCAAAATGTTCCAGTTTAGTTGTTTGAACAATGGAGCACAATGCCTTATTCACTAATTCAGATTCCTCGACCCATAAAGAACTTTGTCTGCGCACAAGCTCATTCTTCTCTTTCTTCTTCTCCTCGATTTTCTTCTCTCTAATCCTCCAATACTCGAGTTTCTCTGCTCTTTCTTTACTCTGCACCAAAACCAAGTCAATTATATCACATTAACCACTGCATACATCTCCAACACGAACGCTATAATGGACAAAGAACCATCCATTCATACTCATGGAGGAAGAGAAGGAAGGAAAATAAAAAGGCACTCTTTGACGTGAGGAAAATGCCTATTGGAGGATCAATTTAGATTACAATTAAGATGCTACGTCTCGAGTATTATTTGTTCTATGATGATTCTTGCAAAAAAACTTTGATCATACAATACAGCAAATTCTAGGGAAAGCTAGGACAAGTAATAAGTGGTGTCGTCAATCTTGAGGTAAATAATTAACTTGGTATTTGGATGCACAAACTTCAAAATTGGTTGTATCTATTTCGTTCGATCACTTGTCAAGCTCACATCACTGCTTATGACAACCTTTTAAGTATCCTCCAACGTTTTTTTCTATAGGTATTTCTCTAGTTTCAAGTTTCAACCATATCAATTATTCAACATGTTTTCCTAGGCCTCGTTTGGTTGCCAAGATAAGATTAATTATTGGACCTTCAATGATCCAATAAAAAACATGCCTAGAAGGCAAGATAAGCCACGATAACATAATATTTGCGGGTCGACCCGACAAGTTATTGGGGATACCAAACATCAAACAAACTCCTATTATTTAGTTAATCATGGCTAATCCCCCAACCAAACGAGGCCTTAAGGTACCGTACATGCCATTACTAAATACTAAAAGCACTATGATATTTTCATAGACAAGAATCTTTCACATAACAATATGATATGGAATCTGAATACAGATCACGAAATATCATTCGACCAGTTCTACTGAATTTTGTCCCAAATTCTTTACTTCGAACGATCTTCACGAAAGCCAAATTCCGAAGCAGAAGATATAGCAGTTATGCACAAAATATAAAAAGATACAGGAAAATTTGTACACACACACACACACACACAATATAAGCAAGTTAGCTGGAAAACAAAAAGGCCAATCTTCAAGGGCAGAAATGTAATTTGACATACCAACATTTGGCGGAATTCTTCCTCAGCAGCTCGCCTCTCAATCGCCTCGGCCTTCTTCTTCTCTTCCTTGGCAGCTTTCCTCTCCATGTTTGCGACCCTCAAAGCTTCCTTTCTGGCCTCGTCCTTGCGCGATTTATCGATCCTCTGCAATTCCACTTCCTCAATGTACTCCTTCCGCATTTGCTTCACCTTACGGTCGTAATCGCGGCGGAGGAAGGCCAGATGCGCGGCGGCCTGCTTGGGGTCTCGCGAGGGTTGCCAGGAATTTATGTAGCCGCAGCGAGGGAGAAATTCGTGCTGGTTCCGACTGGAGGTTGGAGATTCGACGGCGGTGGTGGTGTGAGCGGTGGAGAAGCGGCGGAGGACGCCGGATTTGGACGGCGGGCGTTGCCGCAGTAGGTGGCGGGATAGTGACATGACGAATTTGTCCGTCTGAGAAGGAGAGAGATTCAGCTGTTTAGGGTAGAAGAGGGGTTTTACTCTTTCAATTTATTCCTGGGATTTTTATTTTTATTTTACAAACTCTGCAACAAAATTTGCGCTTTCTTATAGTCAGTCAGGACAAAATGAGAAAACGTGTTTGCAAGTTTAACAACTATAGACTAAAGCGTGTTTCAGTATTCCCATCAACATATTCAAACCAAAAGTAAAACATGTAGGTTACAACTATATTGAAAGATATATCGAGACCATCGCATTCGGATTTTCGCATAAATTGTTTAACCTGTAAACGAAAATGTGGGGTAAATTTCTGCTTATACATGCCTTTACTGTTACTTATATACACATGCATATGATATGATACACAATTCTCATTTGAATATACTATCAGTATACATCTGTAACTCATTCTATCGGAACACTCTTTACTATTTTGGCACCACGAACGCTAACTTCAGGTTGCCAAGCTGGCACAATCTAGCCGGATTTTTGTACACTGTCACCTTCGCCATGTTGTCATCTGCTAAAACGACATGTGCAATGCTGAAAGATTCGCCTTTCTCAATCGCAAATTGCCACTCTCTCATTGATATAAGAAACCAGTTCTTTCTGGCAGATCTGGTTGCTTTGACTTCGATATATTCCCTCATATTTTCATCGTCTCCTAATAAAATATCATAAGGTAGTCCGGTTTCGCTATTTTCGTTCACCCAGTTCACAAAAGCCTCACCGAATTTCCCCGCGAAGAATTTGGAAGCCACAAGCTCCCCCAATCTCCCTGTAAGCTGTGCCTGGTGTGTAAATACTTGATCTTTCTCGGTCGAATTTGTCGCAAGAAACTTCTTGCTATCAGATGCATAAAGATCAACAGAATCGAGTACCATAGTCGTGCTATAATCAACCAAATTGGTCGAATTGTTCGACTGGGTTTCTGAGATCTCGGTCTCGAGTAAAACTGCTCCCTGAACCACCGCCTTCGAATCAATGTCCATATTGAATTCACCGCTTATCCCAACCATAGAAATTTCAGATTGTTCAATATTTTTTTCTGCATAAATTACATCACCTAGTTTCTTCAACCCAAATGTACTGCCAGAATCGAAACCTGGGGCGGTTTTCCAATCGGCAGGTGGCCAATTTGAGATGACCCCAGTTTTTTTCTTGAGCAGCGACGAGCTTTGTTCCTCAACTTTTAGAGAGAGAAAATTTTCTGGCGGTTTAGTATGTTTGTCTGTTGATGAAGTGGATTGAATGGACCAGATCGATTCCTCGGCAGGTAGTTTAGGCACCTTCTGGCTGTTTGATATAAAGAGTTCTGTTTCCTCATCGGTCGAACCTGATTCAGCCATTCTTGTGATCATGAGAAGGAAGTTAGCAAAGTGCAGGTCATGAGTTCCATTGGTGGATAGTAAACAAGACAACTCTAAAAATATCGAGTGCGGATCTGATTCACGAGTGCAGTATAAGATCTTGTCCTGCAAAAAAATTGTTGATTTGGAAAAATGCGGTTACTGATGAAAAAATTTGTTAACCGAAAAAATCTTATATGTAAGCAAAAAGTACCTGCAGAAGGCAGTTACAGGAGTGTCTCGTCTTTGACGTAATCTGAAATTTCTTTATAGCGTTCCTGTAGAACAACTTCTCGACAACTACAATCTTGAGATTTGTAATGTTCTCAAAGCCGGACTGCTTGAGTTGAGAATATATGTCGGGGTGGGCATTGTAGACGTAACGCTGAGCATAAGGAAGAGCCCACCTCACCAGTGAGAAAATGACACTACAGTCTGCTGGACCATAGTAAATTGCCTCGCGAGTTACAATCTGCTCAAAGAAATAGGAATCAATTGCTACGATTTAAATGAGTACAAAATTTGTATTTTATGAAGCATCAACTAATAAATATGTTTTCATGTCCTTGCTTTACGATACTAGGAAAAATGATATGGAAGATGCAGTTATGTAGTATTATAATTCTTAAAAAATTACATTACAATGACATGTCAATGGTATCATACTAAAACTCCAGTTTTTCCCAACCTTAAACATTATGCAGATTTACTCCATCTATTCTGTTAAGGATACAATGTCAACTTCTCTACAACATAACAAAAGTTAAACATTATACACATTCACTCCCAATCTATCCTGTTGATCGAGTCCTCAATGCATTCTTAATTGCGAAAAAAACAAATGAACTCCTAAAATAATGCAACACTATATGGATATGTTGACATCCTTCATATTAACATGATCGTAAATGGTGGAATGAACTCCTAAAGCAATGGATGACATATGAATATGTTGCTTATTCCGCTTATGATTGCGAAATTAATTTGTTAATTTAGTTGCAGGAGAAAAGGAAAATCATACTCCCAACCCAACGAAATCTGAATAAATAAAATACAGAAACTAGGACATTAATGGGCATGATTTACTTTACTATCAGGACCCATGTCGGTCTATTGCTTGATGAGATATAAGAACAGTGTATTATTGACTTCCGAAGAAGTAAAATCACAAGACTTCATAGATTATCAATAAAAACATTAATATCAAGAATAAAATCTCATCGAACTAAAATTGTAAACGTATAAAATATGCATGATTGAGAATTTAAACAACTTAATAAGAAAATGCATTGACAAAATTCATTTCAGACCGTAAAAACACTCGAACTTCACTCAGATTCTTGGAAAATTTCAAGCCACAGTTCAAGCTCTTCTAAACATGAATGTATAGAATATATCAGCACTGCCAAAAAGCAAGGTCAATTGAGCACTTGAAATTTTCAAGCTCAAGTTTATGCTGATCATACAATGTCTGAGCTCGAGCTGATTTTCATGAAATTTACAAAATTATCCGAGTTCTTTAGAAATAGGTTAAACCTGAAGGACTATTTTTGTACTAAAGCCTGTTCTTAAAATTATTCATAACAATGGATAATCATTCAACGAAAATTTGTATTTGTTGGATAAGAAATTGATTTACAACCATTTTGAATTTCATGAACTATATCGGATGCATAGTAATCAGTAGGTAAAGATGAAATGGTAAAAAAGGCACAGAGAGTCAAGAGGCCTGTGACCATTAAAAAGAAAACAAAAATGAATGTTTGGAGGTATCAACAAAATTGCAAACAAATATTTATCTTCTAAATATTGCTTTACAAGTTGCAGGTCCAAATAAATGAATACTTTTGAATGGAGTAACAGAATATGTAAAAGATACCAAATCAACAAAGAGATAAACAAACTGTAGAGAATTTAAATAGCTCAAATGAAAGGTTAATTGTCAAAGTTAAAGCCCTTTAAGAAGAGGGAGTAAATAGATTAATTAACGATAAATAGTTAAATATTAACACAATATGAAAATTAAGATTGATTAGATAAAATAAATATAACAAAAAAAGGAAATATATAAGTTCACTTTCATTGTTGTTAAGAACTTCTTGATATTTTAAATTAAATTGCCAAGAGAAAAAATATTTTTAATGGCATAGCATGAGATTCAAATTTCGAGTGAGACTAGCATGCACGCCATATTATAATATGTATTCTGATAGGTATGCCTGTATGTATGTACATATGCTTTATGTGGAGAGAGAGAGAGAGAGAGAGAGAGAGAGAACCTCAGAGAGCGCAGGAATTCCTAGTCTTTTCAATATGGTCGAGACCTTTGCCCGAAGCATCGGATTTTTTTCATCAGTAGATTCCCCAAAGTGAAGAAAGTCAACACCTTCAAGGTCTCTGAACTCTGTTCCTAAGTCATCATCATCACACCAACAAACTAAACCAAATGACGAGTGTAGAGAAACCCATTTATCTAGTCTAGTAGGCAGAACAGTATTTTCCTTTTTCAGGAGATTTTCTTTCAGGTACTCAGCATCTTCAAAACTCAGTGATCCAGATTTCAGTGCATCATTCCACATTAAGAACACCTCAAACACCTATAATATAAATCAAACAAATTCAAGCTAACGTTCCTAAGTGAAAATCAACATAAAAGACGAGACTGTAGTTCCATTCCGAGGATTGCTTACCCTCTTTGCAGCCTGATGAGGTAGAGCAATGGTAGATAACTCCAGCAAAATCTGGAGGTAACTACACAAAGGAGGACTTTCATCCACCCCACACTCGTTCACGAAAAAGTCGTGAAGGTTTGGGTAAAAGTTATACAACATTTTCCTCTGGGGACTACTTGTGCTTGAAACACATACAGGATTGACCGACTTTACTGGGCTGACTGTGTCAATGGTGTCGTGCCAGTACACTTGCGAAGGAGACAAAAATGTCCCATGTACGAGATCCTCCTTCGGATAACTAGATGTATTTGGGACGAATATGAAAGGTCCTGAATGTAATTCCTCTATTATTTTGTTCTTTGAAAGAGTCATTTCTTTCCAGAGAAATGTGTAGAAGTTGGACATCTGTGACATACTGGCAAGATGAAAATATGATTTAGCACAAAGAGTACAAATATTTATTCAATCCAAAGAAGAGAAATATATTTAACAAAGTGAGCAAATGGTTCAAGAGAAAACGGCACCAACAATCCGAGACTGCCATGCAACAGAGTAAGTACTAAATATTCTAATAAATGACCATCATGACATACTTTCAGCCCTCTACTAGGAAGGTAACTTATTTCAAATTATCACAAAAACAAGGTCCAGCTACTTTTTGTCCTCTTTTCCAAATCACAATATATCTAATTAACTAGCCTGAAAATTTCATACAGAAGGCCTTCAAAATTATGCTAGCTAGTTAATTATTTTAAAGATTATACAATCATCAATACTTTCACTTTTCTGATTCCTAGTTTATGTTTATATCCTGAATTAAATAAGTATATACTCGGTAAGCACTGCAAATATATATTAACATTGCTCTGCAGACAATTACCTAGTTAGAAAAGATAAGAGTGTCAAGAAATTTAGCGAAGCGAATGTATTGAAATAAACAACCGATACATACAAGGAAAGATAGGATGGAATTCTGATTCATCCAGGTAAAGTAATTATTTAACAATTATACTGAAACAGAGTACCTAGCCGTGAAAGGAGATTCCGATTTGCTCCAAAGTCTAAGAACGGATAGAGCATCATCAGGAGTAACTCGAGTTTTTAAACCAAGATCAGCTAGCATCTTTTCACTAGTCACCTGTTTCAAATGGAAATTGTTTCATTAGTTTCTTCGTAAAGCACAAACTGAAATATATATAAATACAAATATATATATCACCACAAGAAATTTGATTTGTAGTTGATTTTAATGTGAATATACAATTCTAACAAGCAATGCATAGTTTCTACAACAGCCAAAGTCAAAATGAAAGCCAAAAATTCTTGTGAATAATATTCCAAGTGAAGTTGTTAATGAAGGGAAGTTATTTCATGAATATTACAGTAGACAATACTCTTTAAAATTAGGATTTCTAATGAATAAAAATATTACAAACTACAAAAATTTTAAAAAACTTATTATTACAAGGAAACAAATGAAACGCAAAATCCTAGTGTTACCGGCAGAAAAACTTTCGACCCTTGCATGACTAAAAAGTTGAAATATAATAGATCAACAGAATTTTGGAACTTTGAAGAATTAATAATGTGCATTCCAAATGAAGAAATTAACTTCCAATCAAGTTTGCACCAAATGTCAGCAAAAGTTACAGGATAAGTACGTACTTAATACTATATTTTTGAACATTCTATTTGATGCACCAATTATCATGCCAGCATAGAAGAAACCTAATTAATTAAATATCGATAAAAAGGGGAACGGCAAACCAAATTGTTCCAAAACAGAGACATGTGGAGAAGGGTACCAAAAACAAATATTGAAGACCATATTTTCTAACAAGATGCACAAGAACAACAGGTGATCACCCAGAACAATCTCTAACTTAAAATGTTCTGAATGAAACATAGAAGACCTTGAGATTCTACAAAAATTCAAAATAAACAGTATAGGATATTGACTAACCTTTGGAATAGTATAAGGAGCACTAACACCGAGAACGGATTTTACAGCCAAACAGTCATGGAACAAATCTTTCGGACAATGAAGTTTGTTGTCAATATTTGAAACAATCCAATGGGAATCTTGCAGGATGCTTATAAAAGATGAATTGAAAGGTTTGTGTTCCCCACTGGAACCAGTGCAGTAACCAGTAACTTTATCGCTGAAACTATCATCCCACAATTTATCAAAAATCTCCAAAAGGTATTTAGACTTTTCCCCAACATCACTTGAAGATAGAGACGACAGTAGGTGAAACAACTCGCTGGATCCCCAATTTTTAGAGATTAAACCAGCATTGACCCTTTCGTTGACACCTATTACATCCTGGGAATTCGTCGGAGATACATCAGGAACATTCTTCTCGATTTGAACTACTTGAACAAAATCAGTTACTCCCAATTCCTGGAAAAAACTCCTCCACTTCAACACGCCACCAGATATGGATTTGGTGATTGGATGCTTTATGTAGGCAGTGTCAATTTCATGCCATTTCAAATCAAGACCGCTAATTAGCTGATTCACATCAACGGGATTTCCGAACTCCCTATTAAAATGGATAGGCACCTCAGTAGTTCGTTTGAAGCCATAATTCGTCAGAATCATAGCCTTCTCATGCAACTCTGCAATAATGTGACCCCTTTCTAGGTGACAGATTGTACAACTTGATTGTAAGTGATACATTGCAAAGGCAAGGTACTCTATCACCAATTCTTCCTGGCCCTTTGCATTATTTCCTTCCGACAAGGCTGGTAATATGTGCACCTTTACAATGTCATGAACAGACAACCGCTGGACACCAACCTTGTAAAGCATCCTCGTAACATTCTCTACAATATTTAAATCAGAACACGAGGTCTCAATGGAGGTAGCTGCAGCTAATAGGTTGGGACTTACAATTCGCAGTTTTCCATACAGTTTTGGGAAAGCTTTGGGAAGACACTCATCATTAATCCCCTGTCCTACTGCCTCGGAAGGCAACCAAATCGAATCCTCGCCCAATGAGCTGAATTTACCATCTAAAAGAGGGATAAACGGGATTTTCCGAAGATTATCTAATAAGTCAGATTCAGCCACAGAATTCAGAGAAGCATGCATTATAAACTGGGATGACATCACATAAAAGGTGCTGAGCCAAGAAGATAACCAACTCAAGCCCATGGACTGTAACCCATTCTCCAAGCGGCAGAGTGAAGAAATAACCTTTAGTAAAATTTGTGGTCCATAGTCTTCAACACCCAGAGCATTTGCTAATGAATCCGAGAGAATTATATCTTTACTCAAAAACCGAAGACCAAGATGCTCACGGAGCACACTATCAGGTATCAAAGAACGAGTCTGGTGGGTCCAATTTCTCAGGGCCTTGCAAGGAGCAATCCATTCTATTTCCTCACCTTCCGGAATCAAGCATTCAGACATGCGTAATTTAGAAACTATCATTCGTGGTAGGCTAGAGAAAAACCCATGCACCTCACCCACAAGGGGAATAAAACTCATAAATACTGTAATAGCTTTTCCTGGACATCCTCTATAACAAGGTAGAGCACAAAATGACCTCTCAGCACTTACAAACAAATTAGGAAATTCTGACAATAACCACTGGTTCCACGGACTATTTCCATCAACTTCTTCCCTGGAAGAAGGCAAAACAAAATCTCCTTGGAGAATAAATTTAAGGCCATAAGTCCTCAGAGGAAGAAATGCAAAAACGGGCTGTTGATTCAGAATTGGGACATATCCTCCTTCACATTTCTCCTGCAATGTAAATGCTAAAGAAATTTCTGTTGTTTTCACATCAGAACGAATGACGTCAGCATTTAATTCCTGGGATACTACAAGCCAAGTTATTTTCTCATTACCAAGAGTAACTTCTACTATGCCATCACCTATAACCTCTTTCCTCATAACAATCAGTGAACCATCAAGTAAGTTTCTAAATTTAATGCATTGAAGACGGTGAAGAAACAGCAACAAAGATGGATGAAGATCCGAGAACATGGATAAAATGTTGTTTATGGCAACGCCTCCCAACATGTCTGGCCTAAAGGGGAGCACAATGCTTGTATTCCAAGAGTTCTGATCCTGGCAATCAGCATCTGGAGATGCCAATCTAGTATACAAGTCCATATCACAGGGAGGAACAACTGTTGGTAGAACAAAACCAATCTGGCCTTCCGTTATGTCGAATTTAATATGAAACCCATTTGAGTGTATTTCTGGAGCATCAGTAACCTGAGAATCAGACAGGGTAAAAAATTATAGGACATTGAAAAGCAAGGGTATGTAAAGCTTGAGCAATTAACAGCAACATTTAGATTAGAAAAAAACACACGAGCAACAGTTTATATGAGATTCACAGACAAGCACATAGAATAATATTGTTTATGTGTTTGTTTGGGCTAGGATACACACAGAATGACAAATGTAGCTCTTCAAATGACTTCTAGTGGTTCCATCAGCACACTAGGATCATAGGAGATGCGCATTGAGAGATACAATAAAATTTCTTACTTGTAGATTAAAATCATCTAGAAAAGACAAGTGGTGCCTTAGACCCCAGAGCAGAATCATTTGCATAGTAGGAGGCTAATTAATACGAACTGTTCAAGGATTATGTCAAATGATTTGAAGAATAAGCAAATAGACAGAATCATCAAAGTTACTAAGATATCTGGTAACTTCTTTCCAGTTAAGAGAATAATCATGCGTCAGTATACTGCAAGGATAAACTGGTAATACCTTTCCCTTAGTTCACAATTCCACCATGTATTCAGAGTTCAAACTATCTTATTAGATTAACATGCAAAGCAGAAATGAAACTTTCAAACTATCTTATTAGATTAACATGTAAAGCAGAAATGAAACTTTCAAAACAACAGAAATGTCTTTCAGTGGTACCCGAAATACTGATTTGAAGCCAATGCCCTTCTTCCCAATATATCCAGTATTATGACCCTTTTTTGTCGAATTTCCAACATCGCAAAGTGCTCTGATGTTATTGGCCGAAAAACCAACCTCGTTATTTAGCACAACTATGCCTTTATCCTGAAGAATGAAAGTAAGAGTGGGTTCCACGTGTTCAAGGTAGATATTGTCATCAGCATTTTGAACCTGTAGACAAGTTCCAGAGAGAAAAGTAAATGTCAAAAATTACATGAAAAGCATTTAAAAGTTACAATGAGAATCGAATGCTAACTAAACAAAGGAATCATGAAAATATTATCAGAATCATGGCTGCAGAATTCAAGTACATAGAGACTGTATGCCAACATTGGCTTAACCTCGACTAACCACTTACTCTGTCCCTGTTCCAAAACTACCATTCCTTATTCAGATGTTCCAAATAATGTTCCACTTTCCTAAAAATAAATTTAATTCTGAAGGTACCTCATCTAGAAGACTTGGCATTAATGCTGCTAAATTTAACCCTGCTTTGAAGATCAAAACCTAAAATTATGTTTTCAACTTTCATGTAAAACTCAATGTCAATTGAGATAGGATTTGAAAACAATGAGGATATACTTATAAACTTGACCCTAAAACCCTTTTCAGATTTGTGCAAGTATTCTATATTTTCTGTCGGAGCTGATACCTACTTGTACCCAACAGTCACAACCAAGTTCAATAATCAACATAAGATACCAAATTTTGCTATCAGGATATGGCTATATGGAATAATTAGAAAGAAAAAAAAAAAGTAAATAATACTAGTGTTTAGTTTATCGACATGGTGAAGTTATAAGCTTTTTCTGGGGGTGTTTCATTTTCCACAAGGTCAAAGAGATATGCTAAAACGAAGTTTGTAGGCATAGACATAACACATACCAGCTCTAGAAGGAAATGTGAATCCTGGGAATATAACTCATGCGAAAGACAATGGAGCGCCCTGCCTAGTCGCGCATGCTGCTTCTCTAACATGCTACTTTTATTATCTGAAAGACTTTGATCTAGACCAAATTCCTCTTGCCTGATAGATTCAATAACTTTGGCTGGATCATAATCAATAGGAGTATCAAACTTTGATATTGCTTTTGAATTTGCAGCCCGGCCGTCAATTGAAACCTTAGCTGAACCAGCCCCACCACTTACTCCTTTACCTAAAGAAGCAGGGCGCTTGTCCAGTCCACCTTGCCCAGTCACTGATCTTGTACTGGACTCAGAATGAACCACATCTAAGCATGATGAACCAAGGGAAAATCCAGTTCTTGGAGAAGAACAAAATGATTGGTAATCGCGAACCCATTCCATTAATCCAAGAGACATTCCCACTTCATGGAGCATGAGAAGCTGCTCTATTTTCTTGCATTCAGTCAAGATAGCTGCAGGAACATCATTCACAAAAGACTGTAAGCCTGCAATCAATACATCAGCAGCAAAGCTGCAAAATTCGATTGGCAGATAGCTCAAACAATCAAGTATGAACTTTGACATAACTGGGGCTGCTCTATTAAGTACACTTCTATTATTGGGTAACTTGCTAGCGAAATCACTAGATGTGCCGTTGCCAACTATAGAATCATAGGATGGATTCCTATGCCTGAGAGGATTCATATCATTATATAATTCCTTCTCCAAATAATTATTAATTATCACTTCAAAGGCCTGTCGAGCATGGCATTTTAGAAGGGATAAAGGAACATTCCGTTCACCGCCATATAATGCAAGCAAAGACAATAATTGCACTGCTGTTTCAAAGGAGGATCCTCGACTGAAAACTTTTAAGAATGAGTCCATAGTAGCTGAATGGTCTATACGGATCACCTTGCCATCCTTAGTTATCAAACAAAGCAACTCTTTGGTGTTGACCTCCTTTAACAGCCACTCCACAAGCGAACCAAGAGAAGGAGCAAACAACATGTCCCAATGTGACCACAAGTTCAAATCAATCATCATAGGGGCCTTGAGTAAGAGCTCAATACAATCCTTGGTAGTAACTGCCCCAATCATTCCTTCTCTGCATGCTCTATTATTAACAAACCCTCTAGTTTCTTCCACTGTTTTCTCATTTTCAATTAAAGAATCACCCATATAATTCAATCTTGACAATGGAGTCGAAAACAACACGCAGTTAGAACTAATGCTGCATCTTTTTGTAAAATCTGCCATAAGATCGCTGTTCACCAATTTAATACATACTAAAGGAAACTGCCTAGATAGCAACTCAGAAACATTCCGCATGTTTATAACTTCATTTTCCCACAAACCATTTGAAGCTTGCGATAGTAACACATCTAACTGAACTGGCAGTAAGTGAGCCTCCAAAGAAGAATTTTCTGATATGTCGCCCATAATGCACTTCTGTAATGCATGAGGCAACATGTGCATATATTTCTCTAGAAACATAAGATATTCTCCATAACCAAGGGATTCAAACTTGTTAATGGAATATTGTTCAACTAGCCAATACTCGCACTTGCAGAGCTTTCTCAAGAGATGTACATTATTTTCTCGATACGGAGTTTTGCAGCTCAAGACGTCATCCTCGAAATATCCAGAAATCTTCTTCACGATATCTTCAGCTATAACATCTATATACATGAATAAACGAAACATATAAAAGAGAGAAAAAGGCAGAAAATTAACATCACGAAAGCTAATGGATAAGCAACTAAATACGTGAGCATTTTCGATTAAACCAAGCCTCTATACCACCAATTACCAAACAAATAAAAAATATATAGATCCTCGGTAACATACGAACTCAATATCAGCTGATATTGATTAGACAGATTCTGTATTTAATGCTTTGTAAAGCTTAAATAATATCACATTTCATAGGATTAAGAAACAGTATTTTATGTCATACAAAGAGAGAACCATATTACACAATATAACATCCATTGACATCAATCCTACTTGAGATGAAGCTTTGGGAAGCAAAATAACATTATCTAGGAAAACAGCAATGTCATAAATTGATTTTTTTTAACCCAGCTTTTCAAACTAGAATTATTTAAGTCTTAGTTTGACCGCAATATACCCAATTCATGAAGAACGCCACATGCGATCGAGAAAGTGGTGCTAACATACAAAACTAGCCATAATATTAAACACTTCATGAATGAAGCAAAATGGCTCACCATGTTTACGTGCAAGATTTTTTTGTGCTGAAACAGCAACATCCTTCTCAGATGGTTCAACATCGATGCTTATGTAGTCAGCTGAACTGTCAAATGGTTTGTCGTCCATGCCTTTCTGGTTAAGAGTTTGGAAAGTGTCGTAAATACTATCACACATTCCAGATTTAATACATGCCACCTGTAAGATGCTAGTTAGCCAGAGCAATGTACATTGTTCAACCTTCTTCTATAAGCAGAAAAGTGGCACAGTAAGCTAGATGTTAAGGGCCAGTATGGTTGCTTAGCTTTATCAAAAAAATTACTCCAAATCAGGTTTTGGTGTTTTTAATGGTCTTTAAAAACGAAGACCCAACGGTGGGGTATGCAAATATCACCCTAAAGTGATTCACATGCTGTCAGCTTTTGTAAAACATATTTTTAAAGGACAATCAAGGAAAAGTAATCAATTACTTAACGAACAAAGCAAGTTAAAGATAGACTAGAATCAATTTATGCCAAGTAATTACAACAAAATCTCGGGAAATGAAATGGAAAAGACTGAATGTACTCACAGCAGTATAAAGCAATCCAACAAACGGGTACACAGTAAACAGTTGTGCCACTTTCCTCTTTTTCATGTTGTTGTAATAGTGAAGCATCCTCAAAAGAACCTAATTTGCAAAAGCAAAAGTTATAACTGAAGTTTACATTTGAAAAATAAAACACCAAGAGAAGGAGTCCTCTAAAAAATTCCCTCATTGCATGATTTAGAAAAACTGTATCATCCAAGTGCACAACTCATATGAGACACAGATATTATCTAAATTGATTAATTAAGCTCCATGCTTATCATTTTCAAATCAAAAATCACAAAGCACGAAGGCAGAAAAGAACAGTTATTTCAGTCATACAGTTAAGAAAGAATTAACTACACTTCAGTTTATAATTTAAGTGCGACAAAAGAATAGGATCAGACATAACCCACTCTCTATCCAAAACAACCAAGTCCAACTTGATGGGGCACATAGTTTAAAAAGAAAAGAATTAACTACAGTTAAGTTTATAATTTAAGTGCGCCAACACAATATGGATCAGAGATAATACGTTCTATATCCAACTTAGTCCAATTTGACTAGGCAGAGTTCAGAAAATATTGTGCCCAAAATATTGTGGTTGAGAGCCAGTGGTTGCATTGTTACTTTTAACTTCTAACTGATAGAGCTCTTCTGGGTCCAGGAATGGAACTTTCTTTTGGAACAGCCAGAAAAGAAACTAGGAGAATAAATTTGGAAAACTCAAAACTCAACATTAATAGATGACTAAGATGGATGGCCAAACTCAGAATCAGACCCTGAATTACCACCAAATTGCTCTCAGCTACTTTATGGGCTCTCTCAAATTCAAAGCAAAATACTAACAGCTACGAAATACTAATAACTACCATCACCGACTCCAGCAAAATTGTGGTTAAAGGTTAATTAATTAGTTAAAAAGCACATGCATATCGGCTTTGACAAACTTTTCATAGCTATGTATGAAATCAAGAGGCTACCTCATCTGCATCGTTTTCTCGGCATGTATCTTTCCAAGTTGTAACGAACATTCTTAATGATTCAGCAGAAAGAGGATGATCAACTATACCATATCTATGAGTGCGTGTTGGCTTGAGATTTGAATCATACATGTTCCTTTGATTCCGGTTGCTAGGCTTGGTGCTGCCACTCATGTTCTCATATTTCCTCTTCCTTGAAGGAGGCTCATTATCTGCATTGCACCTTACCCCACCACTCTGCATGCAAGATCCAGACTCTACTTCACTTTTGAAACCCAGCCTTGTCCTTTCTTCAGTTGCTGATGGGTAAGGGCATCTAGTGACACGGTCTGATCTACTATTTTGAAGTGGCAAACTGCAGTTGCTCTCTGTATTCTTCTCATCCTGATTCTCATCAGATTCATTAGCGTCACTATCATCATTTGAACTTGACGGCATGAATCTTATGTGTTTGCCACAAAATTGGCTATTTGAAGAGGAGAAAGACTTCATTCGCTCAGATATTGCAGTAAACTGGTCATCCATCACTTTTTTCTGTTTTGAAAAAAGCGGGCGCTTCTGACTCGTTTGAGCGGATCTCATTCTAATTTTCTCATAACATTTTTTTAATACCCCATCTTCTGTTTGCCTCGTCTTTCTTATGTTACTAACATATGATCTGGACACAGGAGGTAAACAGAGTCAGGATATAAAGAAAAAAATGATAATAAAACCAGCAATTACACTATTTTCTGTATATACTCACGGAGGTATGCAAGATGGTTTTTCAAAAGGGAATATAATTCCTCTATGTAATACATTCCTAAGTTTTTAAAAAGACACAATGAACAGCATTTTTCCATCCAATCATTTTAAACAAGCGTTGTAACACGGCCATCTTTTGTGGTGTCATGTATGCTACGACAAGGATGTGGTTAAAGAAGACAAGACATAGAATGTGAGACTCCAGAGTATCATTCCAAAACAATTGACACTAGTGTAAAAAAATTACATATAAATGGGTTTATTGCTAAAAATTAAGGAACCTGGAATTTTTTAAATGATTGGAATTCAACTAAATTTACTGCCTAGTTCATTGGTCGGGACCAAACAAGAAATCCCCCTGTAAAATATCACTAACCCTATTATGTCTCCCCTATCAGGCAGGCATCAGATATGCATCTCTATGAAAATACTACTCACACCCCAAACCACCTCATCACTCCATATTCATGAATTAGAAACATTTAGAAAAACATAGCAAAATCAAGTAATTCTATTGAAATCCTGCACAAAAGATTACAGAACGAATAAAATAATGTTAAACTAAATTTACACAATAATACACAAATGTTTTGCCAAATTATATAAGTTCCCTTGTAGTTATACCGTACTTTAGCTATTAAAAATGCTTTCAAAAAACAATAATAATGAAGCTTTTGAACCCGCAAAAAACAAATTGAAAAAAAAAAGAAAAAACATACCCAAAGTTCTGCATACGCACACAAAGCTTTTCCCTCCCACTGACAGATTGCTTCTTACAAATAAAATCCACAAAGGTATCAACTTTAATTTCTCTTTTACGGTGAGTATCAATGAACTCGCAAAGGTAAGAAATTATATCTTCAGTTGTTATTCTGTACACTTCTATCACTTCAGAAGTCAGAGAAAAATAATGCACAGCAAGTGGGTGTCGTACCAAGGAACCCAATCCCAGCTCTTCAAACCCTTGAATGCCCTCGCTCTCACAGATTGCCACTTCCAAATCATACAATGAAGTAATTCTTCTAACCGCAACAAAGCAGTGGATGAATGCATTGATCTGTAATAAAGTAATGAAAAGACAAAAAAAATACATATATTATGAGTTCCACGAGTACCAAAAAACATGCAATAATAGAAATTCAATGGATGCAAAGAAGAATTTAACAAACTGCTATCCTCTATACTAGTGTTCTTGATTTTTATATTAATAAAATTAAAAAAAAAAAAAAAAAAAAAAAGAGAGAACCCAAAAATCAGTATTCAATAGTTTACTGTTAGCTAACAAATTAGTTTAAAACTAATGCTCTGATGATAAATGCACCTATATGCTATTTATTCAAAAGACACTAAGAATACTGGCAATTCATCCATTACCCAGTAGCATCTTTATCAGATTTATACAGATAAAATAACAATCACAATCACACAAATTACTTCTTGCAGCCTAAAATTTAAACTACTTACTCAAAAGACAATGTTCCAAATATTCTCAGAAAAGGAAAAAAAAAAAAAAAACGGGTTGTAGAAAACCAGGGCTCGAAACTATGTCATAAATCTGAATAGTTCTCCCAAGAATTACTGATTTATATCTTCTACATAGATTCGTTCTGAATCAAGGCCTTTATTTCATGAATATCACATCTAATTTTTTTTAAACATAAGGAAGCAGAAAGTTAAACTTCATAATTTTCATGAACACCACATCTAAAATTCATGAACGAAACAGAAAATCATAAGGCTGAACATGAACAACTTCCAGAAGGAAAAAATAAAAAATAAAAAATAAAAAAAGTACAGCACGCACACCTTCCCTTCGGTGACCAATAAGCTATTAAGCGAAGGCACTTGCTGCATTTGAAACCCCAAACTCTCCCAAGACTCCGCCTTCACCATCAACAAAGCCGCCTGCGAGACTTTCCAAGCCGAAACATTCTGATTCGACTCGAGCAGATCGTTCCGAGCCCTCGCCACCGCCTTATCGAGTTCAGCAATAACCTCGCTCCGCGCCCTAACGTGCTGCACCCGAAACTTACCGTTACTGCTACCACCACTGGGGCGCGGCGTATGAGCATCGGCGCTCTCGGGAGGGTTCGGTTGAATAGGGAAATTAGTGTTGGCGAATTGAAGTTGATCCTGTGGGTAAGGGTTGGGGTTTTGCATAAAGGGGTTATAGAGAGGCATGAAATTGGGGTTTTGTTGGAGGAATGGATTGGGGTGCGGATAAAAGTTAGGGTTCAGATGAATTTGTTGGTGATGCTGTTGTTGTGGCGGCTGCGCTACACCGCGGCCGACGCCGCCGGGCCGGTAGGGCCCCGGGTGTCCGTACATAATACTAGAGAGAAGAAGAAGAAGAGTTGTTACTTGTTAAACGCGGGCGGTGGGCGGAGCGAATTTTTATCTTTATATAGGGTCTTTTTGAGGAATTTTCTGATTATAGAATCTAGGGTGAATTACCCAAGCACCCTTGGATATTACGAGTCTTGCATTTAAGGACCAATATCTTTTTGTTTTGCACTTTAAGGACCAATTTCTTTTTTCTTTACATGCAAGTTTTTCTTACCAAAAAATACTCACTTTATTTAGATTGTTTTGTATTTATTTTTTTATACATGATACAAAATAAATTTTTGAAAATTCTAATTACAAAATTTGTAGGTATTTTATGAAATTTTCAGTCGAAATAAATTATGAAAAAAAATAGTTTATGGTGTTTTTTTTACCATGGTTTAATTTGAATCATGCAAATTGCAAAATATGAATGTTGTAGCTCTATTTGTGAAATTCAAAATGAAACTTAAATCGACCCACTAGAACATGGAAGAAGAAGAGGTTGAGAATCTTTGTTATGTACTTTTCATGCAACTTAAATCATTGTAATTTGACTTCATACGAGAAAGTCATATTCCACACACACACACACACACATATATATATATATATATATCGCAAATATGGGAATTTTAAGAAAGTTATAATCCAAATATATATCACAAATTGCAAAATACGAAAATTTTAACTTTATTTGTAAGTTCTTAACTTTGAAGTGTCTCAATTAGAATCAACTAAATGAGAAATGTATGGTAAAAAATAACACTTTCAAGACTATTGATCACATACTGTGAGATTCAATCAGCCGTCGAATTGAGAATTAAGATAAAAGAAGATGAACTGAATGTGATGGTACAACGAAAGAAGAGAGATAGAAGATCATAGATTAGTACATGACAAAAAGACGTGGGTTTAAGTGACTCGAATGAGTAGACGGGATCAAAAAGAAAGAATCAACGGTCTAGATTGAAGATCTAGAGAAGTATCTGGCTTTGACCGAGACTTGGGCTTTTGTGTTGTTGGGCTGATTTCTAATGGGCTAGATTAAATAATCCAATTGGGCCCAAAATCCAACATATTCAAAATCAATTATCTGTAATAAAATGGGAAGACAAAAATCAACCTTGGAATTCAATGAAAATTTGGATGAAAAAACAACACTACACAAATCAATGAGTGGCACCTGCAAACCTCTAAACTTCTTCCCTTTTGTTGTTGGTGATGTACTACACAACGAATAAATTGTACAAAAAAAATATTAAAAAAAAAAATCTTATTTCTAAGGAATCACAATGAAATTACATCTACATCCTGCAATTTACAACAAATTAAATATCGAACAGAGAGACGAAAGAAATGGAATGACCAAACTTAAAACTACATGTTGCTGAAAAAACTTAGGCCGGTAAGTGAATACGCAATTTATCGGCAACATAGAGGAGGTGGCTTATATTTGTCGATGGATAATGTTGGAGTAACTTAAGATTAGAAGTGAAGTCACCCGCAAGTAAACGCTTCCTTACAATGATCAGCATTGCACAACAAATTCGGAGCAGTGTCTCCTGCAAATTGTTCAAATTCTTTAGCGTCAAGTAACCACAAAGACTAGTTCACTTCAAGCACTCCTATGCTAGCTTTTCAACCGAAAGAAGTAAACATACAAACAAGAAAGATGAACCGATGGGTATTTGCAGATTATGAATACATGGGAATTACTATAAGTGAAAATAAAAGAAAAGAAACATGCTTCAAATTAGCAGTAATAACGAAGAGGAACTTGACCAAGATAAGGCTTATTTAAGTTTCCAAGAACTACATGTTTATCTTTTGCACTAGTCTTCACTTTTATGATGCTTCCTTGTGCATATCCAAGATAACACAAGTACAATCGAAAACTTCAAAATCCAAGTACTGGATTAAAAATGTGTCTTACCTGAGGACCGTCGTGGTCACTTAGAAGTGTGTCCCAGATTAAGAGAATGTCCGGAAACTCAAAATCTTGGGTCAAAAGGAGTGTAATCCACCTGAATGCATAAAATTGGGGATTTACCTGCATACACGAAGGACAAAGAACTGTGTTACAATGTTATTCACACGAGATACACATTTAAAGTATCCAAATTCACCAGATCATGAATGCATATCTTTGCTAATAGACATAACACTTGGTCACAAAGCAATGAAATGCCTGAAGTTCATAAATTGCCGGAGCCTCGCAGGGCTTAGACACAAGGTAAGTGCACTCTTTATGAGTGAAGCAAGGAAACACATGATTCTTCAGCAAAGAAAGACAATACCAGTAATTTAAAAAAAAAAAAAGAAAACGAATATATAAAATGTCAAACAATTCAAATTCGAAAGCAGCATAATGACAACAAATGCAGTTGTAACCTACTAGTGAAAGATTGAGTCAAGCATTATCAATCAGGCAGTAAGTCATCTAGGTTGACTAGTGTTCCAGTCATAAACATCAATGCTAGATCACATATACTAGTAGGGCTAATATTTGGCTGGAACCACAGCAGTGAAATGCCTCAAGTGAAGCAAGTCCAGAGGTCTCATGGGGTTTCAGGTGAAGTGCATGCCTTATCAAAGTGGGGAACAAAGTGGCGTTGTTTCCTATTTCGTTAATTCAGCATACAACTAGATAAAGATCAACTCAATGATATATTTGATAGTCCAAGTTTTGGTATCTTTTGCTCCCACTTTCTTTGTATGAATAAAAAAATCATTGAATGCTATATCGGACTATACGCATACAGTATTTTGTCACATAATGATTCACTTTGTATGCTTCATCATTCCCACAGTAAAACGTAAGATGCAGGTTGTAGAAAGTAGGAAGTGTTCATACTTTAGTTGTCATCTCAAGATGACGCCAGAGTTCTTCATCATGCTCCTTTAGAAGTCGTGATAATCTAGTAATGGTGGCATGAATCCCCACAACACTGTTATCAAGTTGTTGGACAAAATTATCCCGAAATCCACTTAACAACTCCACAAAACAGAAGAAAGTATCTGCTTCAGCAGAAGCCTGCAGGACTTGTGAAAAGCAAAAAGTACTGAAAAGGAATACTAATATGTAACTATAGCATTAAATGCTGCATAAATAAATTACAAAATAGAAATATCACCATATTCTTTTTTTTTCCTTTTTGTACTTTTTTTTCAAAATGAAGCAAATGAAATTGGTGCTAACTTCCTCGGTGGGGTGGGTGAATGTTTTTCTGTATGGTAAATAATTAAATATGTGGTTTCCTATGTTTTTTAAAGTAATGAGAATCTGAGATTTTCAAATGTATTGAGAAGACAAAAAACCCAAGGAGGCCATATTTGATTCCAAATAGCTAGTAACATTCAATGAACTTGCACTGGAATAATTAACTTATAATTTGAGTTTTTGGATTAACCATTTGTTTAAAGACAATAAAAGGTTGCACAGTATCACCAGACACAAATTTTAAATCAATTAGAACTTTGTCAGAAGCTAGACGACCAAACATAACTCACCGCATTTTCTTCATTAGGGTCATTTTTTAACACGTAGAATAAAGGTGCTATGATTTCATTCATGCCCTGCACATATCTTATCCCAGGATTCAGTTTGGCAAATACAATCAATATGCTCCTCAAATCCTCCTGAAAGCAAAGTTCACGGGCAAGTAAAATACATTCACAAGCATGCACCAATAAAAAAGAAAGAGAGAATAATAAAAGGACTCACTTGGTTGGATTTAGCAAATGCTGAATCCCCTGAGAAAAAGTGAATGTCCGGATGAGTACGTTTGACATCTCGGTCAATCTGTTCCATGATCCCAGATTCCTATAGAGTACACATAAAGAGTTAAATGACATTAAATCTTGGAGTTGACATAGGTGTGCTACATTTCAGGCACAGTATTAATCAAGACCGACTGACCAACAACTTTCAAGTTCAAATACATAAAAGGTATCGTTGCAGGTTGCACCTAAGTGACATAACATCAAGATCTCAGTTACGATGGAGTTGGTAAGGATAAACCTTATATTTCTTTTCCTTTCTTATTTATATTTTTGTTATTATTATTATATATATATATTTTAGAGTATCAGAACAAACTCCTAGTTCAGGATTGGAGCCTTGGAGTAAATGTACCTGAAAAAATTGATTCCATATGCTACTCTTCCCAAGACTTAAGGGATGCTCTCCATGGGTTATCTCTGATCTTGAGAGGAAACCCTTGATGCCATCTACTTCATTGTTCTCAAGACTTGACTTTTCTAACCTCCTCGTAATCTCTGACTGACTAGCCATGAAAATATTCAGAAAATGCCGAAAAATTGAAACATGTGAAGTCGATTGGACCAATTCACAAGAAAAATACAGGTGCAGATAATTAGTTTGTTTCAAGTGTACAAAATTTCCTAAACATTAGCTTCCTGCTTATTAGGTATTTGTAGAAGGCATTGTGTGTCCTGATGGTATGGGGCAAGCAATTAAATAATGAAGTGTCTGCTTCTTTGTGTGTAAGGTAAAAATAAAAGCATCAAAAGAGGATGTCTAATCAAAATATGTTCTGATATACACGGATTATCACATTCAATATGAGATTTTCTGCAATAAGATTTGGTGGGAAGATAATGATGAGCAAGTCAAAATTCTAAGATGGCTTAGTTTCAAGTATATTAGTACCAAAGAAATCTCATCTTCGACAAGTCATTAGCGAGCAAAATAGATGGCCAAAGAAAATTCAAGAACTTACGGGATTCATCAATAACTCCTCTCTGAATTGCTTATATTGAGACCTTTTCTTGGCTAACTCTGAAGGCCAAAGTGAGCGATCGGATGGCAGATACCCCAATAATAGCTGAAAAGTCAAGTAAGATCACAATCTAGTTATATAATTTAGTCCCAAAGCAGCTATATATAAGTGGACACATTCTTCCCTAAATGAACTTCTGCATTTTTATTTTCATTTTTATTTTTGTGCGCAGAAAGGATGCAAATATACAATCCAGATACACATTAATTCACTATCAGCATCATGTATCTCATCCTGAAGAAAGGTTCATTTTGAAATCATTACCAGTCTGAGACTTCCAGCAAAATACTAGCTCTGCAAGTTGTCGAGCTTCCCAAGATCTATAGTTCCTGGTCCCAGATAAGTGTTTTATCATGAACATATAGTTCAATATTTCGTACCACAGTGTACTAATTATTTTGTATTTCGGTGAATGTTTTTGTGTTTTCTCTGCACAATCCATAATTCACTTCATGAAACTTAATGTCAATTTATTTATCAGTGCAGTTTAATCCTATTCCAGTATTAAAGATATCAAACGTCCTCTGTTATGAATAACTGATAGTAATTGGCTATAAGAAACTTTTACTTCTGAAACAACAAATTATTTGGAAAACCTCAACTTCCATTTTCTCCAATTAGGTACTTACTCATTAGGTATATCACTAGCAATACCAAATAAACTTCGAACATGCAAGAATTACATCTTCCCTAAGGAAACATGTACGTCTGTTACCTTCCACACAGTTGCACGAATGCCAGCTCCATCAGGGATGCCTTGTGATGCTAGCCTCCTCAATTCTCCCATATTTATGAATTTCCTTGACAGCTAAGGTACATTTAAAAAAAAGGAAAGAGATGCAAATTATTGAATTAACTCAAAAGATCAACTAGAAAACTCACAGGAAGGGGTACGAAAAAAAATGCACACCAAAAAAAAAAGATCCAGACACATGGTGTATCTTTAATGGTTCACCGCTGTACTCGGTGCATAATCTCCTGTACCTGGACCTGGGAGGCCAATATCCCCTGCTTTATCATATGAGGTTCCACTTTCCTTGTGCGTGTATGTTTTCAGAGATAAGAAGACCCAATCCATTTACATCAGATATTAATACTATAATAAGAGTATAATCATTTACATCAGACCGGGGCAAGAAGTTCATCTGTGGTAATCCTAGTATCCATGTACTTCAAACAGAGAAAAGACCCTCTCCTTGAACATAAGTCTGTTGATTTAAGCTGAATGATTCCGCAGAATAGTTATTTCATGTTATCAAAACATATTTGATATTACCATCAGAAAGATGACTGCTAATTTTCAACCCCCCCGAACACACACACATGCCTTTAATTGATGAGGTTTCCCTATGCATTGCACATTGAATGAATCCTACTGCAATGACAGATCCGTGCTTTAAATTGTATAGGTAGATTTACGGTTTTTTTACCTATATGCATGGTTAGTGTAACCCTTAGTGAGTGCATTCACAACACAAAGAATATGAATCAAGACAACTATCAACAATCAGTTAAGTATACTGAAGAACATCATAAACAGCAATATGGAGTTCGAATTTGCAACCATCACTCCCTTCTAGATCAAAGACTGTCAAATTGCATATAAATATCATGGAGGAAATTATGATTACGAACACAATCGCCATTTTTATTTCTGAGTATGTAAAAAGTGGGATAAAATTGAAAAACCTCTTGTACAAGCTGAGCCTTCCTAGACATAATCTCAGCAGCAGGAGTCGCACTCGCCACAGCCCTAGCCGAGCCACCACCAGCTGACGCCGTAGAGTTGGCGGAAGAGCTCTCAATTTCCTCATCGCTGTGACAAACGCTACTATTACTACCATGATAGTTGCTGCTCAACGGATCCCTAATTTCCACCTTTTTAGCGCGAAAGGAATAAGTACTCGGTGGCTCCGGCGGAGGAATCGGCGACGGCGGCTCGATAATAGGGGGTGCGGCTGGCTTAACGGCGTCGAACTTAGGCGGTGATTGAGGAGACGACCAGAGGGAGCTGTTGAGCCAATCGGGGACCCGTTTCTTCACCATAATCGGAGAATTTATCAGGGAAATTGCGAGTAGACTAGCTGATGAAAGCTGAAGAAGAACAGAAAAGCTTTATTCAAAATGGGGACTTTTCTCGTGGAACCGTCGCAGGGAATCAGCTGTGTTGTGTGTTTTCTGTTCCTTGGAGAGAGAGAGAGATAGAGAGAGAGAGGAGAGAGAGTGGGAGGAACGAAGTTCTGTTGCCAGGTGGATTGCTTGTGGGGTCACGTGAGTTGCGTGTGTGTGTGTAAATACTAAATAGTTGAACAATTTGAAATTAGTACACATTTCACAATATTTTCATTTAGTTATCACTTACGAGCTATGTAGCACGTAAACTTTAATTTTTTTATACTTTCGTGTTTTGGATACATTTTATGTCCGACCCTCCATGACAAATGTCGGACACATAATAGGTCATTTTGCAATTTTTAAGAAGTTAGTGACACGTTTGAGTAGAAAAAATATCTTTTTTTTGTTTCCCTAATTATTTACTCGGTTTAATAATCAGTTGCAAATTGATAGTTGATATTATAATTTATTTTGAATAAGTTTGTATAAAATATATAAAAATAATTTATATACCATATTCGTAAATATACCCCTATATATAAACATTTTCCCCCAAACTCTCGTATTCCCATTATTAATGCATGTCGTTTCCTTGTGTCTGTTTCCTTGTTTTCCCATACCGCCATTTTCGTAACTGTGCTGCTACGTAGCTTATGAGCAAATATAACGATATATTCATCGCATAATCCTTGTTTTTTCATTGTTTGTTATATATAGAAAAAGGATGTTTTGTGGATAGTTCAATCAAAACTAAATACACATACATGTTTAATATTCGTATGTCCTTCCACAATTTTAGATAAAATGTATTTCTTGACTTATAAATATTTGATTGTGGTGCAACTAAAACTACAGTTTTACACAAAACAAGTATAATCTAAAAAATTCTACAAATTTGACACCACAAGGCTGGATGTGTAAAAAAATTAATACTTGAGGAGGATGATTGTAATTATCCACACATGAATTTTTTTTTCGTAATTTGACCAGAGATGACTGTAATTTACCCTAAAATAATTGCAGTTTCCTCAAAATTGCAAGAAATAGGGGCAAGAGAGGACAATAAGCAAAATCCAATCTTGATATTGACATAGTAAGTAGACAAAAAAGGCAGCATGCTGCTGCACATGCAATTGCCTCATTCAAACTAATAATATCTTGAATATAGTTCATCAAAATAATAAAACGAGAAGAGTTTACAACATTATATAAATGTCGAATGCAAACCGTTTGTTCTATGCTACACCCAGTAAACTTCACCTGACAGTTCTTTTTTTTCCCTTTTTTTTTTTATTTTTTTTTTTTTTTTTTTTTTATCATACACGTGTATTAGTAACTGCCCGTTTATATGCGTATCCAACATATCCAGTACGTGCACGATTGTGCGTAAATCTACGATGTAAAACTAAAACGAGACTTGACCATTTATTAGTGACACTATTTTCTTACAAGAAATGACAATGCTTTATTTCCCATTCATCGTAACTGAAAACATGCTTTTCAATACGTATGCATATGTCATTCGGGAATCAATTCGATTTCATAATGCAGCCAACAAACAAGCAAACATATCCAAACATCCAATAAACTTTCGATGGTTGTTCAAGATGATGGTCCAGTGTTTCTATCCACCGTTTTTAGAAACAAGCCTAATCAATGACCCCCACATAAAAAAATAAACGATAAAACTCTATATATATAATGGTATTACTTGAAGTTCTACAAAAAAATCTATATGAACTCGAAGCGAAAAGTATGCAAATCAAATGTGTTGTATAACATTTTGTAATTGGGATTGTTCTGGAAAATGGACCCTGATAGTATGGTGCTCCACTTAAAAAATAGCACCCGATTTAAAAAAAAAAAATTACAAATATGCCATTTACAGAAACTTACTGTGAAGTCGTCAGGCAGTTCATCTATCTACATACTCTGGAGAAAGAATAGTCCTCGTAAGCTCCTTTAAATTTGCTAATACATGGCGTGGACCTAAGCTCTTGACACCAATGAAGTTCAAGAGCTGCTCTAAATCCTGCAATTATTACATTTATAAATAAGTGAAACTGCATAAAGCTTTAAAAGGGAAACAAATACTACACTTAGTAAAACATGGATCGATCAATAAGAAAGAAGCCCCCTGCTTGCAGTGCTATAATTCATCTCTATTATAAAGAGCTCCAATTTAAGAAAACGAGAGAAGAGTCACGTAATTCCTCAAGAGCTGCAAACAATAATAATAATAAAGTTCACGCATTTTCAAATCAACCATAATCAAGATTATAGTTTCTATTTTCTTTGAAGAAAAGTTATACATCATGGCTTGGTACTTAGAATATTCTAGTGATTTTACCTTATCAAAACTTATTCTTTCAAGCTTAAGCTAATTAATTGACAGAACACGTTAGCAGGTCGTGCTTTTGTTAAAAGAACTGTAAGATTTATAGCAATCATTACAGGAAAGGCGAAATAGAAAAAGTGAAAACACTAATTGAATTTCACTATGACTCGGGACTTAATTATTGGACGCATTTCGTATGTGGGTCCACTAAGATATATATGACTCGGGACTTAATTATTGGACGCATTTCGTATGTGGGTCCACTAAGATATATACAGATGAGCAACCAGCAGTGAAGTATCACGTCTCACTGCCTCTGGATTCAAACAACAAGGTACACAACGCTGTGAATGGTTCCAAATTCAAATCAAGAAAAAGTCAATGTCGTATTATTTCATCACTCTGTGAATTTTGGGTACACAACTCTGTGAATGGTCCGAAAACACTGTAACCAATTTAATGTTAAGGAAAAAAAAACGATTCTACATATATATATCTCCAGAGTAACAGAAACAACATATAAGAACAGTCTTTCATAATTTTGATGTCAGAGGAAACATGTTTTAAATCTGCAATATTATCAATATCTACTGCCAGGTGCAAAAGCACAAAAAGTAAGGGACAAAACCTAAATTAATAAGGATTAAAATTCTAAGTCACCGAATCCATATGATGTATGGGCAAAATACGATTGGATTAAATTATAAGGTAAAATATGATTCAGCACAGAGCAGATTCAGAAATGGTGCACACCTTGTTTAGCAAGAATACAGCATAAGCTGCTCTAGTTGAGTCTTGACCTTCGACAAAAAGGGGAAATTCTACAAGCTTCGTGCTTGTCGAAGTTATTGAATCCAAAGTCGTGCTGGATGCTGAATGTTCAATAGACGGTGAATAGTCACGTATATATGATCGAGAACCTCCTAAGCGTAATGGATAACGCAGAGGAACTTGCATATAAGAAGCAATAAGTGAGACAGCCTGCATAGTCAAACAACCATAGTGATTAAAAAATATTAGCTTAGTGTTGAGTGCATTAGAAGGTTGCTATGCAATTAAGATGCATACACCTAGGATACAAGAGCTTGCCAATTTGACATTGACCTAGAGACACAGAAATGCATCATACTGTTCAATATATTTTAAATGCAGATCAGACCAAATTATGATGTACTAAAATTGAAAGTGAAGAACACACATGTGCTACATATCCAAGGGCAGTTGAAGATCGCTGAAGCTCCTTCTTGTCAGTGAATAAACTCATCTTCGAAAAAGGAATCACGGTAAGGTGCAGACCTGATATCGTCATTGTGCCCTGGTCAACAGGTTTTGATCCATCGGGAACACCTGAAATTGGCAACACAGGCCAAGAAGCACAGAAATATTTAACATGAATATTAAATTAAAAATGCTCACATTAACCAGGTTGAAAAGAAACTTAAAGTAAGTCCTTAACTGTGCTGCCTAAATTATAATTGAAAATTGTTACGTGAATCATCTGTGTAAAATAAATCTTACGCCTTACGGTATTTTACAGATCTGACTATAGTTTGGCTGGTTCTGCACATAGCAACATTCATTGCATGGAAAACGAAATTCTCGAAATCCCACTGGTTTTTTACCCAACAGATAATGAAACTAACATTTGGTTAGGCTATAGATGTAGAACATAAGTTGAGAATTGAGATGACTAGTTATGTAGCTTCGCAGTAACTTGGTCTTGCTGGTGTTATTGCCGAATCACTCATGGAATGATTTTCTACATCTAGGTTCTTCTCGTTCCATAATCTGCCTTAAGTTTTACATACAACATTCAGACCGAATGACTCTATGAAATTACATTGCTGCTTCCACATATCATGGGTAACATAGGAGACATTTTAAATTTGCCTGACGAATCTTTAGATTTCACTGTTAGCTATCATTACGACTCTAACCATGAAATGATACGTGAACCCCTAGTTATATATGTTTACTATCTTCGTTTTGCTAATGCTGTTGCTTTAAATCATATTTGCATTGTCTCATTCATGATTTAATACATGTGTTTCGGTAAAATATTTCCAACAACTTCAAAAGATATAAGGCACATAAATACAGTTTCTTCAGGACTTCAGGTAGAAGAGTATCCGTAACTTGAATAACCCTCTAAAGCAGGGGAAAAAAACAACAATGTTTCAAGAGACAACTATTTGCCTTCCCAGTTTTACATTCTTATCAACACAAAATATGGTATCAGAGTACAGCACATAATATCTTAAGTTCTTCAAATTAGTATAAGATCCATTACCTGACTTAATGCTGCTACTAAATGATTCTAGTTCTTGCTCGGGAGCTTTTCTTATCACAACCTTTACTGGATACAGCGAGGAAACTTGTGACACCATATACTGCTGCCTAAGTCTCAATAGTTTCTGCAATTTTTTCAAATGACCATAACCTTTTTCTCCAGCAAGCGACTTGATTGAATCCTGAGGTATTGGAACAAAATCACATTTGAGATAACAAACTCAAAATTACCATTACCGATATTAAATAAAATGCAACAATTTCATAGCAATATAAAAAATCAAATAACTGCAGACCACATAGGGTGATTAGAGTGCATGCTCATAATACCATTTAGCAACAAATATATAACTTTTGCTCCTAACATGAGTGCAGAAGTTTAAACTGGAAAAACACAAAAATAATAATGACAATAATAATTAGAATTTCACACCGTTTTTTCGTCTTTCATCTCTCGGACAATTTTTTTTCTTCCTTTGAATCTGATGTTCCATCCAATAGAACAACAGTTATAATTTGGGAATTAGCTGGTTGATATGTACTGCTCTTTTTGATGGTTTTAATTTAATAACCAATAGGTAATAATATAACTTTAGGCTATAGTCAGGCTTTAGCATCAACACAATAAAGAAGTAATTCCCCCCGCAAACTCATTCAGAAACTGTAAAACATTGTGGACCACTATATACCTTCCTTGGTATGAATCTATTTCACGGGGATCTTCAGTGACTACATTTAAGGAATGTATCCAGGCAAAATGATTAAAACAGAAACCAAAAGAATAAGGCAAAGGAAAAGGAAAAAGGACAAGGATAACAACTTACTAAAAGTATTAACTCACTGTCAGAGTCCAACTCTTAAAACAAAAAATGTTAATAATTTGCAAGGTGGTGTTTAAGACTGATATACTGTCATTACCACTCAGTCCTCATATCAGCCATTCAATCTTCTACAGCTACGTAGATTGAAAATGAAAAAACAAAGAACGAATTGACAGTATATTCAGCCTTCTATCTGGCCGTACAAGTACAAAATTACGTTATGGCTATAAACAGGTAAGGTTTGATGCTCCAAGTACTAATTACTTTCAGTGGGCATAACTGAAATCAAATTTAGAGAAGTAACCAATATAACCTAAGATTACCTGCATATGCGTCTTCGCCACAGAAAGAGAACTTCCACCAGCCAATAGAGATCTAATTTCAGCATTAAGCCATTCCTCTTGTTTTCTTACTTTCTCCTTTACTACCTTGGAATGCATTGACATGTTTCCCATCACCAACTTACGAGATTCCAATTTTTCACGCATCTGATCAAGCTCATTCGACCGACTTAACGACTCAGCTTCTATCTGCCCATCATAATGCCACCAATAGATTTAGCAACATGGAGGAAAGTAAAAGTGAGGGAAAATGAATCATAAGTAAGTAAAAGAGATGCAAAAAAAATCACTTAGATCTGTCATTTAGTAAATGAATGTGTTGCTTTTACTATAATATAAACAAAAAAAGGGATAAACAGGAAAACTAAAGTAAATACTCCTATAATCCATGAGATTGGCAAAAACCAAATTAAAAGAATCTTCTCAAACTAGTATTGTAGCTTACGTGATTCCCTGCAATAAATCAAATTGTGTAACTGGTATGTTAAAGATACAAGTGTAGTTAGGTCACATGTCATGCGGACAACTTGTATCTTAAAGATACAAGTACCTTTTTTCAATTTATAAGATACCTTGCTGAGAATACAGAGAAGTATGTTAGAATAGTATGATATGCATTATAACCGGTCTACGTAATAGGAAAATATCCTATTCAACAATATTTCGACATTAAGAGGATTTCTATCCATTTACCAGTTCATATGTTTTAGATTTTGCTGTATTAAGAAGGACCTTTAATAGATCGCAAGACATAGCTGAAGAACAGTTTTCCACGGGATGGAAAAGGTACTTTCGGGAATAACATAGTGTAGTGAGACACATCATGCTTTCATCGTATCAGGCTACTACTATAAAATGGCTAGACCCTTTGGCATGGTTACGTGGAGCATCAATCTAAAATGAGCATATTATCATGAATTATACGAGGGCATTATAAACTGATTTCCAGTGTAACCACCACATTCTGGTATCGATGACAGTTAAGGAAGATGACTTCATTCCTTAGCTTAGAAGAAAATCAAATCAACTATTCTTTGACTTGTGCATCATAACTTCCCAATTAGAAAATTGACAATTGACAAATTTTGAGATGTCCGTGTTTGAGTGGCTAAACTAGAAACACCTACGAGTCTAATCCCTTATCAGATCAGTCTATCTAGTTCGTACTTTAATTCTCAAGCTGATGTGCATCTATTTACTTAACTACATGAAACGAAATAAATCATATCTAACATCCATTCAACTCCAACCGGTTGATAAAGCTACGCGAAGATGCATCGACATAAACAATAGTTTCTCCTGTACACTCTCGCCGATATTAAAAATCAAGTAAAGCCACATTAAAAAAAATTACATACACTGCATATAATCTTAATTCATTTTCCGTTGCTATAATTCTTACTTTAGCCCCCAAGAGAAGATAAGAGGGGGAAAAAAGCAAATAATTCTTACTTGAATTGAGGAATGAAGCTTCTCTTCAAGCAACAATTTCTTCTTCTTCGCTTCTTCAAGAGCGGAGGTCAAACTGCACAGACGGCCGAGCTCCTGTTCGTAATCCCCCCATTCCACAACCTTGGTCCGCTGATCCTCCTGTACTACCCGCTTCTCCTCTTGTACCTTCACAATTGACTTCTTGGAAGACTCCATTCACAACTCAAGATCGAAGAATCGTTAACAGCAGATCTTCTCGATTTCAACGGGGAAAAACGATAGCCATCCCCACAGCGCCTCTTCACCATCGTACTCCGAATAACTATTGGGGGAAAACAAAATTAAAATCTAGGGTTTGGATTCTCCGAACCTTGCACTCATTGCTGCACACAATTTCCCCCCCAGAAAATTGAAGAAATCGATATGGAAATTACAAACAGTTGGTATTGGTCGATTCTTCCCCACTTCTATCTGCTCAATTTCTTCTTCTGCTGATGAAATTATCGTCACTCTCAATTTATTTTCTCTTAATGTATGATTATGTTTGTTAAACCGTTTTAAATTGAACTCCCGAAAACTTTTCAGAGAGATTAAATTACCTTACCACCCTGAAGGTTTAGTATAATTACATCTAGAATCTCTTTGGTTAAACAAATTGCGTATAACTCCCTTAAGTTTGATATTAGCTAACATTTTAACCCATTTGACCGTGAATTTTTCTTAATTCTACTTTTACCCTTGTCCAAATATTTAATAAATTACATTGACTTCCTAAAGTTAGATATAACTCCTCTTACGCCTCTCAAATTTAAAAGTAGGGTTTATTAGGGATAACCCCATTGTTCATATTTTCTAATGAGGTAGATCCAATTTTTTTTCTCCTTTTTGAGATAGATCCAATTTTGCCAACTTGGCAAAATATATTATATAATTTTCCTTTAATACCCCTGTTTTATTTTTAAAAGGCATTTATTTCCTTTACTACGTGATTTGAGATTTGCTGATACGTTGCCTAAAATCACGGAATAAAATTACGTGAGATCATTGGCCGTTATATCAAATCGTGTACAATATTTTTCGAAGGTTCTCTTCAGCGTTCCAGCGGTTCTTTATCGTCTTTGAAGATTTCTGCACCGTCGCTGAAATAGGATCGAATTTGAGCGTTCGTTGTTGGACGTTGTTAACCGGGTATGAATGCGTTATTCGTTTTTATTTTTCGCTCAATGTCTAGGATTGTCGATTACGGTGGTTAGAAATTTTAAGGGTTGTGTTGATACTTGATTCTATGAAGTAGAACGTTTTTTAACAAAATTACGTCGTCATATATACATCGTTATTTTTTGCGGATGATGTTTGTTTGGAAGAGGATTGACAGAGTTAGAAGAGGATGCTTCACGCAGATCGGACCAGAGTTGTTTTATATGAGTTTCGTAGTTGGTTTATGCAATAATCGGAATAATTGTCCGCTGTGGTCGAATTCATGTTTTTGATCCCGATCGATAGTTGGTTTATTTGTTTATAACAGCCGATTTAAGTGTGCTGGGTAGTACATTAAAATATAGTTCGTAGTCTTTTTTAAATTAGCGTATGGATTTTGCATTTTAAGTTTATTTTTGATGATATTAATGTATTGTCATTCAAATGTATTTGCAGTCTATTTAATCATTTTTTAGTATTCAGCATTTTTAATTTTGTTTCATGATTTTAGGTTTTTTCGATGGCGAATTTCGTAAGGATTTTGTTGAGGTTTGGTGGGTTGGTTGCTATAAAGAGGTGTTTACGATGTAATGGCTCGGTAACTTCGGTTAAGTTTTAAACCGTTGTAATACAGTAGTATACTATTATGAATATCGTATGATACTACCATTATCATTTTATTATACTATTATGAGATTATTAATGTATTAGAGTTTTTTAACTCGACATATTGATTTTATTGTGTTATGATGTGTTTTATGTATTTTATCAAAACCCTAGATTGAAATTATGAGATTATTAATGTACTATTTTATTGGTTATGTTGGAATATTTTACGTTGATGTTGTTCTCAATGTTCTTGTCATTTCAGTGGTATATTGTTTGTAACACAATTCATATCACTACTATAACCGTAATATACTATCATAGCAGATCAATGTACTATATTGAAATTATTAATATACTATGTGGTTGAATAATACGGGATCCATAGTCGATTAACGAGATCCATAGTCGAATTAGATGAATAAGATAGTCTAATACATGATATAAGGAAAATTACCCTAATTGATTAGTATTTCAAACAAACATATTATTCAGTTTCTATATATATTATTATTTTTCATATATATCATTATTTACCCTAATCGTTTTCATATAATAAGGAAAATTACCCTAATTGATTAGTATTTCAAACAAACATATTATTCAGTTTCCATATATATTATTATTTTTCCAATAGTCATTTAACTAAACCCATAGTCGAATTAGATACATGGGATAGTCTATTAAAAGATATGAGATAGTCTATTAATTTTAATACACAAATCCGCCGCCGTCACTTCTCAAATCTAGGTTTTTGATGATTCTTCGGCCCATAGTCGATTAACGAGATCCATAGTAAAATTATACCAGTGGGATAGTCTACTAAATGATATGGGATAGTATATTAATACAGATGTAATTCGACTATGCATCTCGTTAATCAACTATGGGCCGAAGAATTATCAAAACCCTAGATTTGAGTAATCCTATATTTGAGTAACCCTAGATTGGAGCAGTGACGGCGACGGCGACGACGGCGGCCAACGACGATATCACTTCTGGTGGATGTCCTGCCCATCAATTGTTGCAATATCACTGATTTAGTGCTCGAATGCGGTATGCGATTATAACAGATCTGCAAATACACAAACGTGATAGTCGATTTAGCCAAAACATATCAATAAATCGATGGATGATAGCGATTCATCGAGTGGCGACGACGTACCTACGGCAGCTTGCTCGGAGTGCACGAAAATCGTCGTTTCACGGCAGTGCAGACATCTTCCCCTTTCAATCGGCCGCACCGGGAAGTTGTTCTGGGAGGTTTTGCAGTTTATTCGATAGTGGGGTTTGGGATGATAGTGATTTAACGGGAAAATAGGAAGGGATTTGATTTTATTTCAAAAGGTAAAGTAACGGGTTTTGTGGGATTTGATTGAGGGTAATTATGTAATTAGGAAAAGTTTGGGCTCTTATCAAAATGGCAAATATAAATTTGGGTCTACCCCTATTATTTAAATGTTTAAGGGGGTTATATCTAATAGACCCTTAAAAGTATTACAAACATCCTTTGAAGTTTCCTTTTAACAAAATATTGAATTGAAATTCATTAAATAATTTTTTTTACTCAAATATTGAGAATAACGATAAGTAGTGGAATATTTTTTAGGTAATCAATTTATAAATGTCAATTGTCAATAAATAAACTTTAAGGGAGCTTCAAGAAATTTCAAGCAAAACGGGCGGTTTATTTGATGCTACACCTCCTGGAACACACCAGATGATTATTAACTGTTGATCTGCACAAAATCACACACACACATGGGTATATGTACTTAGTGAGTGGTAATTTAACCACATCAATGGTTAAAAATTACCCGGTATAACACATCAATAACCGAAGCATACACCTAATAATTATAAGGATTAAATACACTTTGTACCCCTAAAGTATACCTATATAACACCACCCTTTTAAAGTATCATATGAAGCACTTAACCCCCTCAACATCAATTATTTTATATTTTAAAATATAAAACATAATAAACATAACAATCTAATAATTATCGGATCATATAAAATTGTAAAATAACTAAAATTATATTTTTCGAACATAATTAGAAAAAGTAATATATATTGTATAATAATGAATGGAAATATATTATAAAAAATTAATGAACTAAAATAAATTTAAATACTTAAGATTACTATTAGTTGTGTATTGATTTTTTTTTTTAATTTTATCGATATGAATATATTCGATTAATTTGTCAAACAACAATTCTATGTTATTATTTAAATATGTACCCAACGCAAGATAATATTTTAAAATTTTAGAATATTACCTTTTTCAACAGATATTTTTAATTGCATAATTTATTTACTCGTTTGAATAAAAGAGAATATTTAAGGTATTAGAATTTAAAATACAAATTAAATTGAGTTGAGGGGGGCAAGTTTTACGAATAATACTTTAAAGGGGTAAGTGTTGCAGATGGTATACTTTAGGGGTGTAAACTGTATTTAGCTCTAATATTAAAAACACCGTGATAGTCACTAGTGTAGGGTCGAAAATCTACATTTATGAAGTTTGACGGGTCCAAGTGATAATAAACTATCCATAAAGGACCAAATCAGAATTTCCCAAACCTCAAAAACCCTCCAGTGTTCCGTTTCGGTTCTCTCACATCCCCGATTCATCATCTGTCATTACACCTAACATTTCCAAAATCTGAACTTCAATTCCACCACAAACCCTAACTCAATCTCCAAAATCACTCGATCGATTAGCGGATCGAAAATTTCCCCCAATCGCAGTGGTAGGTTTTCTCGTAGTGAAGTCATAAATGGCGGGGGTATCATTGAAATGTGGAGACTGCGGAACGCTGTTGAAGTCGGTGGAGGAAGCGCAGGAGCACGCGGAGTTAACCAAACACACCAATTTCGCCGAGTCCACCGAGCCCGTGCTTAATCTAGTCTGCTCCGACTGCAGCAAGCCTTGCCGCTCGAAAACCGTAATTTTCTCGAATTTCGATATGTTTGATTTGCTTACGTGCTTGTGTTATTTATTTAGTTGTTTTTTTTTGAGAACTTTTGTTATCGCCTTTTTGTAATTGCGCAAATTCAATGATCAGCGTCAACACTTTTATGCTTGCAAGTTTATTGTGTTTATAAATGTTATTTGGAGGTGTAAGATGCTGGGAAATGGGGGTGTAGTTGCAGGACTTTGATGATTGCTAGGGCAGTAGGGAAAACAAATTACTTAATGAGATCTCAGTATTCTTGCTTCATGTGAGATTTTAATTTTATAGTTATTGATATGTAGAAGGTACATATGTATATGTATATACAGTGATCAGTTGTAAATATTGGTCAAGGGCTTCTTCTTTCCCAAGAAATATGGTTAGGGCTCTTTAGATTAGCGTGCTTATGGTTCTTTTGCATTTATTGGTAATGAAGGCGTTAAACTTTCTAAACATTTAAAATATATAAGGATCTAAACCATTCATCACTGAAAATAGTTTGCTGTATGATCAATACCATTTGAAGATTTTCCCCTAAAAATTCTCCAGTAAAAAAATATATTCTGTAAATCCATGAAAATAAGCATAGTTATGTGACTGAATTTTTTTAAACAGCATGCAGATATATTTCACGTTTTTTTTGGATCATTGACTATACTAGCTAGTGTATATCTGTTCCAACCTCAGCCTTTACCAACTTCCACTGGTATTTTTATTTTGACAAATGTAATGTTTGTCTCAATATCTTAAGTTAAGATTTTTTAAGAATAACCTTACATTCCTATCTTCATTTTCACCTTTCTTATTCATTCAATTTTAACTATTTGTGTCCTTTTCTTGGGTATCTTTTCCTTCAAAGCTCAGCCTTCTGGTATAATATTAAACCCATAAGCATATACTAACATATTTCATACTTTTGCATCAGTTTTTTTATCTGTGCACTTATTGTTACGCTATGTTGCATCCTTTTTAACCGTGATAAAAAAAATGGAAAAGCATGCCCATATCACTGGTTCTGGAAAGGAGATAACGGTTTATTTTACAATCCTATAACAGCTTTAGAATTATCATGTGTGCGTGGCTTCAGGGTCTTTAATTCATTTTCTGTTGACCACAGGAGAGAGATCTGCACACTAAGAGGACAGGGCACACTGAATTTGTGGACAAGACTTCAGAGGTAACAAAGCCAATAAGTTTGGAGGCTCCAAAGCTTAAGGATGATGTGGATATGGAAGAAGCAGGCGATGGCAGTACTAGTCAACAAGAAGGTAGTCATCATATGTGTGATTTTTTGGCCCAGGTGCTTGATCATATATTTGAATTTAACCTTTTCTCCAGCTAATTTTTTAATTGATTTCGAGCTGATTATTATTTGTGTGTAATTTATGAAAATAATCCTTGGTAGTCTTGATTAGTTTGGTAGGAGAAAAATGTAATGAACAAGCACTGTTTTTAAATTTTTTGATGGGAAGAAAGACCTTTCCAAAACTTACTACTCAAGTTTATTGATATGTCTACTGTGAAGTTAGTTTGTGCAGATTTTGACTATCTCTTAGTAATGGGGACTAGAGTTTGTAGTAGTGAAGTTAGTTTGTGCAGATTTTGACTATCTCTTAGTAATGGGGACTAGAATTTGTAGTACATATCTTTTTAGTGGAGTTGAAAACTTTTTTCTCTATGCATGTGTGCCTTGTTAGTGCATTTTGTTATAGCTTATTTCATCAGCTTACTTCCGCTCCCTGATGCTTTTCCTCTGTCTAGAAATGGTAGTTCCTGAAGTCAATCAGCAGCTATTCTCAGAGCTTGAGGAAATGGGATTTCCTAAAGAAAGGGCAACTCGTGCACTTCATTACTCTGGTATGCTCTCTCGTAAATACGAATTTATTTCTCGTCATATTCTGTTTCTCCCTGATACTTCACACACATTTAGTTCCATTTAAGTTTACAGTAAGAACAACTTTCATTGAATCCCATATGGCACAATTAATATTAGGTCGAACGCCTTATGTTTTGAAAACCTTGAGCAACGGAGTACATGTACTATAAATATTCTTTTTTTAATGCAGAGTTTACATATTAAGTATCTTCCCGCTGTATATCATGGTAGCTATCCAATAAACTTGTGGATAAATAGGATTTAGGCTTTATCAATAAATTAGCGATTATTTTTAAATAGTAGCGTAAATCGTAACCAGATATTGCATCCTTCTGCATGGTTCAAATTGATGTTGATCATTATCCTTTGAGTGTATCACACAATTAGCATACTTGGTGTGCATGCCTATAAAGAAATCATAAGTAGAACAGTTAGATGTTAACCAGTAGCTAAAATTCATGCAAGAGGATGTTTCTTGTATTATAGATGTTCTTGGCTATTACTTAAGAATAAGGATGAAACATTTAGATGATTAAGAAAGGCTGAAAACTTTAATGCCCCGAGGGAGAAATAAGCAGGTTAGAATCCTTGTCGTTTAGTGAAAAGGATTAGGGTTTCTGTCTAATGGAACAGTATTGGTAGGTGCCGATAAATAATGAAAAGAAGCTCTTCTAGGGTTGTCCACTATCTAGTAATGTAATGTCATCAATTTCTAATGTGGTCGAACTTCTGATAGTTGTGAATTGGATATAATAAGAATTATATAGTTTTTACAATCAAGAACTATTATGCGGTTTGACAAGGATGACTACAGCATACATTTTGAGATTCATGTATTAAGCTTGGTGTGTTGTGTATTAGGATTTCTTTATTCCCTTTTAATTGCTTCATCCTTTCTTTATTTCGCAATGTTAAAAGCCATTGCAGGACCAGATAGATAAATCTAATATTTTTATAATTTCAATGTAATCTGTAGAAGTTATGGGCTGATGCCAAAGCAATATATATATATATATATATATATATATATATATATATATATATATATATATATATATATATATATATATATATATATATATATAAGTACACGCACCTGCATAACATTACTTTTTGTAGGGTTTAGCACATGTTTGATTTTCTGTGTTTTTGTAATTTCTTTTTAAATGAATTGGTGGATTATATATACTCCTTGATTTTTCTTCCAGGCAATAGTAGCCTTGAGGCTGCTGCAAATTGGATAGTCGAACATGAGAATGACCCGGATATCGATCAAATGCCACTGGTATGATACTTTTTTTCTTATGCATTATTGCGTACCATCATTACTTGATATTTTGTTGTGATCACACTCCCCATCCCCACCGTCTCACACGTCTCCTCCCTCTTTTGAAATAGAACGTGAAAGGTTAAATTGCTAATACCCCCATGAGGTAAGACTAAATTACTAAAACATACTCTTGTTTGTGTAATTATATTTACCCTTTCATTACCATGACAAAATCTTTTAGATTCTAAGAATATTTATCCAAATATTCCAATTTTACCCTTGTAATTATCAAGGGTGCAATTGAAAGATTTGATTTATTTATTTGGAATTAATTGTAATTTTTAGATAATATAACATTCATCCGATTTATAAGATATTGCACGACTGATTTTTCCCCTCCCAGCTCATTTGCCTTTTCTCTATCACATTTACATGATATCCTCTAACGTGCAAAAAGAAAAGAAAAAATGTATTGCGTTTGTCTGTAACTTTGAAGTTCAACTTTGTGTGTATAAAAATAGTCATCATATACGACCCTAAAAGGCGAGAGATATATGAATGAATATAAATTACAAAGCTTCTAATTTTGTTGGTAAAAGTAGAACTCCAAGAACTCTAATGTTGCGAAAAAAATGTATCTATTTTCTCTAGAAATAATACAAATATATAACTGATATTTCATTATCAAGATATTTTTTGCAATTTTTTAATAAATTATGGGCAGTTTTGGCATTTGATATTTTTCATTAAAGTTTGCGACCTATCATTAGTTTGAGGGTAAATGTAAATTTGCAAACAAGAGGGAGATTTTTGTAATTTAGACATACTTCAGGGAGGTTATTAGTAATTTAAATTTCTATTTTTCCTTTTTTTTTGTGCATTACCTCACTGGTGCTTGTTCTGGATAATTTGTAAAAAGAGCTTATTTACTAGGCATATGTACCCTAGGGCCTCGTCATATTACGCGCCTAACTCTATATGTCCGCTCTCGGTAATTTGTTAATGTCTTTTAATTTTCTGACACATTTTTACCACAACTTTTGTTTTAATCTCCCCTGCTGCTCATATTTAGGTACCTGTCAATTCGAAAAAACCTGTTCCAAAGCCATCCCTCACACCGGAAGAGATTAAGCAGAAACAACAAGAATTAAGGTACCCTTGGATTCTTGATGTTATTTTTTCCCTCATCTTTTTTTCTGACAACTTCTGCACTGTTTGCTTGTTGATGGAAGCATTGTATTGATAATGGCTTTCTGCCAGTTAAAACACAGACTCACTCGTTTAAGTGACACTTGCTATAGCAATCATTTGCTGCACTGTCATTACCAAAATCTTAACTAATTTTGTCGTCATGCATGATTGGGATTCTGTTTTCGTCCACTTGAGGTCTTGGTGTGCTCCTATTTCCAGATGATGTTTATAGCATGTAATTTTTTTTTTTACATGGATTTGTTTCTTCATTTTTTTGCCATCCTCTGACCACTTCATTAACTTCAGGGAACGGGCTCGCAAAAAGAAGGAAGAGGAAGAAAAACGAATGGAAAGAGAAAGAGAGAAGGTAGATTTTGTACCCCCTCCAAAATTTATGTCTAGATTCCTGCATCTAGTTCTTAATTCTCAAACTAACTATTGGAATTGGGAACCACAGATTTATTACTGAACTTCTTATGTATTATAATGTTCTTAGAATCATATGCACACTTCGTATAAATTTATTCTTTTCTATATAGTAATTTGCTGTTTCTGCATTGACCTATTATTTCTTGTAATTTCATCACCGAACTCTCCGTAACATGGCTTCAAACATTATGGCAGGAAAGAATTAGAGTGGGGAGAGAGCTGCTTGAAGCAAAACGCATTGAAGAAGATAATGAAAGAAAACGGTCTGTCACACTTGCATATTTCTATTTGAATTTTGGCATTAATGGTGGATATGCTCAATGTGTTGGGGTTTGTTCTTACAGTATACTTGCACTGCGGAAAGCAGAGAAACAGGAAGAACAAAGAGCTAGGGAGAAAATTCGTCAAAAGTTGGAGGAAGATAAGGTCCTTGTGCTATTCTCCTCCTATCTATTTGATGTCTGAATATAATGATTCAGGCATTCAGCAAGTCGTTGATGTATTGTATTTGTTTATTCTGTGTTCTGTAACGGGGATTGGTTTTTGTTTTTATATTCACTATATGCTATCCGTTCAGTATCTAACTACTCTTCTAAGAGGCAGATAGACAATACAAATCCATGATTGGTTAGAGTATTAGAATAAATTAATAGAATAGTATTCCCTTCATTTTTGGCTGAATCAATTTGTTTGAGCTCTGACAGGCAGAGAGACGTAGAAAACTTGGGTTGGCCCCAGAAGATCCAGCTGTTGTAAAGCCTTCTGCTCCACCGGTGGAGGAAAAAAAGGTATTGCTTCTGCTGAATTATAATGTATTTATAATAATAATAATATTGTCTGCTGTATTCTCTTTTAAGCTGATCTTCTTGAAATACATCTGCAGAGCTTCTTGCCTATCCGCCCAGCTACAAAGGCAGAGCAGATGAGAGAGTGCTTAAGAACCCTTAAACAAACTCACAAGGTAGTAACTACATGTTCTGGCTATGAATAAATTGTATAAATTTGAGTTAAAAAACGAGTGTTAATTTTCTTTTCATTGGTATGGATGATTTTTTACCCATTGAAAAATATTCTGCAAGTTCCGGAGAAAAGAGAGATTTCTATTCAGGATTTGTAGTTATGCATTTTCGTCTTTTGATTGAGTAGGAGGATGATGCAAAAGTGAAGACCGCTTTCAACACACTTTTAACTTTCGCAAAAAATGTTGCAACAAATCCAGGCGAGGAGAAATTCCGCAAAATTAGACTCACCAATGCTACTTTTCAGGTTCATTTTCTTCCGATATTTTTGTTTTTGTATATTTGTTTTAGTTGACTTTCTCTGAACAAGCCTTGACTGAAAATCTCATATGATCGTGGATAAATCCTTCTGGAGTCATCTATGTAAAAAAAATAAAAATGATCTGTTAGAATCCTGGACCCATAGGTAAACTTTGTGCAATAATTGAGTGTCCTGTGTCTTTCCCCGTTTATTATTGAGTCGACTCAGAGACTCCCACCGTCAAATGCCAAATCTATACAATAAATATTTTTTATGCTCCAAATTAGCCTTTGAAATTGTTTACCTAAATACTAGTTCGCCGTTGAGAACCTTGGTGGGCAGAAGGCCAAGGGCTTGATTTAGCTGACGCAATCTCTCTGCAATAGATATTTCTCTCTCGTAAACATACCACGTGACTAGTTATAAGTTATAACCCACAATCTCAAAATTTCATACCAATCCTTGTAATATATAGTTTGTTGATTATAATACGTTTGTCATGATTGACAGGATCGAGTTGGAAAACTGAAAGGAGGCATTGAATTTCTCGAACTTTGCGGATTTGAGAAAATCGAAGGGGGCGAATTCTTGTATCTACCACGAGAGAAAGTTGACATCCCGGTGCTTCACTCTGCAGGAAGCGAGTTAAACAGTGCCATCAATAATCCTTTCTTCGGAGTTCTTTGAATCTTATGCACTTTAACATAGGCTCGTGTTTATCATCCATGTTTTACCAATATACCTATCACTTCAGATCATGGTTCGCGGGAACGGATTTTCCTATGGGTTTTTTCGTGCTATAAAGCTACTGCAGTATAATTACAACCAGTTCTTCGATTTTACTTATGTGCAAACTGTCATTTTTTCAAGTATGTTTTATTTGGTATGATAACAAGTAAAACAAACACAAATAAGATTGAAGACAACACCATAGATTTTGCTTTTTTAATGAATAAGACATTCTTTAGCCAAAAAAAAGAAAAAACGAAAAAAAAAAAGTCTATCGAAAATTCAAGATATCGAACGAGTCTCCGTTTGCAAAGGGAAATACAGACTATTCCGATATTGAACTAATTCACTGCAACATGTGCTATATAAATTATGAGTCTCGGTCCCGTCAATTTCTTCAAACGTCTTCTCAGAAGGGCTATAGTAGACGAATGTGTTCTCATCCAATCGAATTAAAATCTTGTTTTCGACGAAACAAAGCACTCCTAGCCACCAATCCCGAGGCTTCCTTATTTCAAAAGTTAGCAACTCCTCCCAATTAGGGTTTCCCCCGGCATCAATTCCCTTTTCCTTTCTCCAGATCCGAAATCGTAACATATCATCGTCACCTTCTCCGCTGACGCTGTACAAACACATGTTCTCTCTCAAACAAGCCACACTGATAGTAAGGTCACAATCACTATTCAGTTGTTCGGGTTTCTGCAAACCCTTGAGCTCGTCAGTTCTCGGATCGAAATACACTATTTGAATAGTGTATTTGTCGTCCCTTAAAACCCAATAGGTAGCTCCATCAACAAAGATTCCTTCAAAAAAGCCACGGTATTCGATTCCTAATTTCTTTTCCGACCAAGAATTGTTCTTACACGAATAAATCGCGTAATGTTTGTCGGTAATCCAAACAACCTTGATATCATCCGTTAACCGGTCGTAACAAATCCCGCGATTCTGTGTACAAGTTCTACTATACGCGTAGGGGCATTCGAAGTATATCTCCCTCCGAGTAGATGGATTCCACAGCACATGTTTTTCGCTATAGTCGAACCTACTGCTGCCCAAGAGTAGTACGCCGTTACATTCACATAATACTGTTTCGTAGGGAATACTGTTACTATTCGTCGTCGATGGTATCGGTACCGCATCGGCGGCGTGGAATTTCCGACCTTCCAATTTAAACAAAGGATACCCTCCTTCAATACGAGGTCGTTGCTTAGATAGGAAGAGATTGTTTGGAGAGTTTTCGAGATGATTTCGGACGAATACGGGATCGGAGATTATCGTATTCCATGACTTGCAAACTGTTTTGAATCGAAGCACAGACTTAACTGATGATAATTTCAACAGGATAATTTCGATGATCTCAGGTGGAATATTCGTCGATGATGCCATGTCTCTTTTCCAATGTGTTAGTCGCTTTTTTTAGGGTTTAGTAATAATATATTCATAGAGCTTTACTTATATATATATATATATATATATATATATATATATATATATATATATATATATATATATATATATATATATATATATATATATATATATATATATATATATATATATATATATATATATATATATATATATATATATATATATATATATATATATGAAGTCGATCGGTACAGCTAGGTTTTATTATGTAACAAGTTTTTCAGCCTTTTTATTTAGCCCGGCCCGGTGGAATATTCGACTTTCGGCTTTCTTTTATAAATTAATAGAGTTGGAGCTAACAAAGTTCTATTAATTTAGTGGAATATTATATTGTCGGATTAATAATTTAGTACGTTAACACCAAGTCAGGAGCGAGATAAATTATTATTTAAGCAATTATTAATTTATCATTGTTCAAATGTATCAATGTTCATTTAAGCAATTATTAATTTATCATTGTTCAAATGTATCAATGTTCAAGGTGCCGTCGAAACTCGATCAGGGATTGTGAAGCTAATGGATCGAGCTTACTTGGTTAGGGTATTTTACCGGCCAAGTTACAACGGAAGATACGACGATTCTGGTAAATGGAATCGAAACAACTGAATAACAAAAGTTCTTCTGTTTTACTTGTGTGCATGCATACTGTCATTTTTTTCAAGTGTGTTTTATTTGCAAAGACAAGAAATGGAACAAGAAATAAAGAACAGTAGTATAACCAATTTCAAAATAAAACGGGAAAATTACAGTTTTCATCCCTTATCTACCACGAGAGAAAGTTGACATCCCGGTGCATAGACGCTTTGTTTATCATCCATGTTTTACCGATATACATATCGCTTCAGATCATAGTTCGCGGGAACGGATTTTCGGGCTTCATTAAGTCGATATATAGATACAGCTAGGTTTTATTATGTAACAAGTTTTTTCGGGCTTTTTAATATGGCTGAGCCCGACATGGAATATTTAAGGTTTGGTTTCATCGGCCCAATCCATAATCCAACCTAATTGGATAGCTTATATCTGTGTTGGTTCGTTTTAGGGTTTGCTGTACAACAGAGATTTTTGGGACGAGTGATATAGCTAGGGTTTTATTTTGTAAGAAGTCTTTCGGGCTTTTTTTGTTTTTTTTCCTTCTTTTTCGAAAAAATAGAAAGGACCCGGCCCGTAAACTCAAAGCCGAAAAGACCTCTGACACCCTATGGTGCGCTACACTCGCCATATATGTGACTGAGTGTGCGTTTTTTTTTTTTAATTTGAAAAGACCTAAGTATACTTTTAATTAAAATTTTCAAAAATTACAGATTCGACCCAAAAATTTCAGCCTAGACCACTATTTCTGTGTAAAAGACCGGAAAAAATCTATTGTCGTAAATGTTTTGGGCAGTTATTAACGCTAACTGAGTTACGAAAGGGTACAAATTGTAGATGATAAAAAAAAAAAAAGACAATACCGTAGATTTTCTTCTTCTTTTAATTAATACGAAATTCTTAACCAAAAACCAAAAGATAAAAAAAAAAAAAATAATCATAATAATAAATAGTGTTTATTATATTATGTTGCCTAATTCTATTCTCTTGATGCATAAATCTATATATCCAGATATGAAGCTTGTGGGAAATAGAGACTACTCGTATAAGGAACAATTTCACATCCATATATACCAATCTCTTCAAATTCTTCGAACGTCTTCTCGGACGGGCTATAGTACACGAATCGTTTCCCATCCAATCGAATTAAAATCTCGTTTCCCACGAAACATAGTGGTTGGAGCCACCATTTACTCCGAGACATCAAATTCTCGATTGTTATATACTCGTTCCAACAATTCTCGAAAACGCCCTTCTCCTTGATCCAGATTCGAACCGTGTTCTCGTCCCTGTCGTCGCAGTACAAATAAAGACTCCCTCTCAAAGAAGATATCCTAATAGTTGACGTTTCGTCGCCATTAAGTACTTCGGGCTTCTGCAAAGTCTTGAGCTCGTCGGTTGTTGGATCGAAATACACGACCAATATTTGTCCGGTCTTCGAAACCCAATAGATAGCTTCGTCGACGAATATTCCTGCATGACTACCGTAATTAGCAATCTCTAGGCGGGTTTTCTTTTCCTTCCAAGAACGGTTGTTACACGAGTAAATTGCATATTTCATCTCGTAAACAAAGACAACCTTGAAATCGTCCGTTATCGCATCGTAACAAACCCCATAATCATGCACTAATTCATCTCGTCTAAATGTAGGCGGGCCTTCGAAATACATCACGTTTCGTGTAGTCGGATTCCACAACGCGTATTTTCTGGTGTAGCGCCGAGGTTCCTTCAAGAGTAGCACGCCGTTGCATTCGCATAGTATGACGTCGTAGATGTAGTGAATATTCTCCTCTACTCGTTCGGCGTGGAATCTTTGACCTTCGAATTTAAACCAAGAAAATCTTTGGATACTGCTCTTGTACGTACTTAGGAAGAGATTATTATTATTTGGGGAGTTTTTCGATTTTTCGAGATGTTTGCGGACGAATACATGATCGGAGATCATCGTATTCCATGACTTGCAAACTGTTTTGAATCGAAGAAGAGATTTAACCGATGGTAATTTTAACAGGATGATTTCAACAACGTCGAAGGGAAGATATAATGATGGTGTTTTTTCTAATTCAATCGCCATGGCTTTTCTCAATGTGTGTTAATTCGCTTGTTTTTTAGGGTTTATTTATAGATAACAAGTTTTGGCCCGGCCCGGCCCGACAAGCAATAATACTTGGTTTCTCGGCCTATGGATAATCAAATTATCTGGATAAATTATTTTGGAGTACGTCATATATATATATATGCATAAAATAAATAAATAAATAAATATATATTTATTAGTAAGACATTCTTTAGGGAATAAAGAAAACATCAAACCGCACTGCAGAGGCTTTATATATAGGGATAATTAGCAATACCCCCCTCATCTAGGTAAATGAGTTAAGAAAAACCCCCATCCCAAAAATAATTAGAGAAAACCCCCTTACCTAATATTCTACCCAAATATTATTTAATAATTCCCAAACCACCCTTTCTCACTCTTATCTCTTCTCTCTCTTTCTCTCTCTCTCTCTCTCCCCTCTTTCTCTCGCACACATAAAAACACACACACACACACACACAAATTAGTGAGAAATCTCAACAGGAGAAAGCTCAACAGGAGAGTAAGGAGGATTCTGCCGCCGCCGCCGCCGCCGCCGTCGTCTCCGCGCACGCGTCAGCTGGAGTGAGATTTCGAGGACGTGGGATCGGAGCGCGTTGGGGCTGTCGCGCGTGACGATAATTGGGGGCTTGGGCTTGTTCTTGGATCCCGGAGGACGACCGCGCGGGCGGCGGTTGGCGGAGGGAGTACCCCCGGAGCTGGTGGTAGCGGCGGCGTCGTCGTCCTTGGAATTAGCAGACGGCTCGTGATGAATTTCAAGACGAGAAGAAGGCAACGGCGGCGGCCTCTGCTGCAAGTGGAGGTCCGTCGGTGGTGTGAGAAGCTGATGAACGTAGCGAGAAGAATTACCACCGCTGCCGGAGCCTTGCTGATGTTCGTAACCCGCCATTTCTATACATCAATCTCTCTCTCTCTCTCTCTCTAACTTTCTCTCTCTAGCAAATAGAAATGAAAACGAACACAGAAAATTAAAGTAGTAATAAAGAATGAATATAATCAGTTATATTCTCTATTCTGGTGTTGCTTTTGGGATTAAGTTAATTTAGGATTGGGATTAAATTAAATTAAATTAGTTTTCTTAATTGGTGGAGCTGAACATGCTCAAAATATGACGGGTTCGGCCATGGCAGAAGCTCTGGGTGGTGTGGGGACGATGTGGAGGCCGATTTTGGGTTTATTTGTGGCTGAAACCTTAATCGACTATGTACATGTTCATAGTCGATTAAGCTAATCGACTATGTTCTGGTATTCGATTAAGGTTGATCGACTCCAGTTTTTTTTATTTTTTTTGGATTTCTTGTTTATTGTTTCAATTGTATAAATCATTTATAACGTTTGTATATTTTTTTTTCTTTCTAAAATATAGTTGATTTTGCATTTTTTCGCAGTTGTAATTTGTTATGTTTAGTAGCAGATTCTTAATCGACTATGCTTCATCATAGTCGATTAATACCCCTGATATAGAAAAAAAAAATTAAAAAAACAAAAAAAAAATTAAATAATTAAATAATTTCCTTAATCGACTATGAAGCATAGTCGATTAAGGCTTAATCGACTATGCTTCATAGTCGATTAAGAAAAAAACCGGAAAAAAAAAAAAAAAAAAAAAAAAATTGCTGAGCGTGACCCAGTGATGATGTGGCGGGTGGGGACAAAGCTTGGAAAGCATAATGCGGCTGAAAATGGGTGTGGACTTTTCTAAAATGGCCTAAAATATTTTGGACCTCCCTCAATTAAAAAAAAAGAGGGGTTTCTCAAAGAGCCCCTTATATATATAT